TTGACTCGAATTTATCGTAATTTTTTAGGAGGGCTCAACGAAAAGGGAGTGTCAAACATCGAAAGGAAAACCTGAACTCACTCATGGACGGTCCTGCAGTAAAAGTTGCGCCGACAGTCCTCCCGGAAGACCAGTGATTTGAGTTCATGACAAGCTCTAGAAAAATATTTTGCATTTTTTTTTTTTTATAAAAACGCATAAAAAACGTCAAATAATTGGATAAATTCTGAAATGTGACTATTCTGAAATAATTTTTTTCATTACCGACTTCATGTTGAACCTCAGATTTGCCGGCTGTTTTTGCTACTTGGGCGACTCAGCGGGTAAATTTCGGCCGGAAGACGCCTACTTTTTATTTTATTTTTTATTTTAATCTGTACCTACGCGCAAAGAAAGCCTCCATTCGCCCCCACCCACTCTCCTATCATTAATCCTCACCCCTAAACGCGCCGCACTTTCCGAAAATGCTAAACCGTTTTTTGAGAACAAATACCGTCAAACTTTGACTTTAATGATACTGCAGCCCCAGCCAAGCAAAATACGCGTATTTCTAAGTAAAATCGAATTCGCGTCTGCGATTCTTTTGTAGCAATATGAAGCGCCTTAAATATCCAGAAGCAACTATTACAGCTCTGTGGATGTCCGTGTTGCATACCAAGAAAGATGAAGGCGCTCGAGCCCATAGCTGTCACAATGCAGTTACACGGAGATACAGTGAGAGCAGGGCGGCCAAAAGTCAGAGAAAACTGGGAAAAATCAGGCACCAGTGCAGGGTGTCTACGAGTCCGGAATTTCCGGAAAGTCCGGAAATAGTACTGATTTTTTAAGGGCGGCCCGGAAGTACTGAAAAAGTGCGGAAATTCCGCAAGGAGGTCCGGAATTTTGTCATTTCCGAGCGAGAAATTCAAATTTTTGAAATTTTTCGAATTTCGTCAAATGGAGGTACTTAAAAAGTACTGTATTTTTCTAATGAGGAGGTACTAAATTTCTTGGGATAGTACTGTAAAAGTACTGATTTTTGGCCAGCCTGTTTTAGTAGACACCCTGCAGTGTCGCGTGCACTAAAATGGCGAATTTTCACGTGTGTCCTAACTGTGCTAATGCTGCTCTTACCCTGATCGTAAATTCTTTAAATTATTAATTTTTACCCCGCAGTGTCCGAAAATTCAGTATTCTTTTTCAAAATTGGCTAGGAACAACTTAAAAAAACGAGAGGTCTTTTCTGTCAGATGAGACACGTTCAGATCAAATGGTGTTTCTCTGTCGTTTCAAAGCATATTAAAACTTTCACCGTCTCTTAGTGAAGTATTGTTTGATGATCAAAGTAAAAAAAATGATATCGTTGCAAAATCATATTTCTCAGCTCTTCGGTAACCGGTGAAGGTCGCCTCTGGACGTTCTCGCCAATTTCCACAGTAAAATAAATCGAAAACCTAGAAATATTTATAAGGTGAAAATTTTCAAACTTGATTCTCAGTAATTATTTAAGAGCATTGATGAGTCAAATATGTTTTCATTGCATCAACTGATTATTTTTTCGAAACTCCAGAAAATGACGGACAGATTCGAAAAGCAAATTAGTCGCTTCTCTGCTAACTTTCTACCATTTTGAGAAGTTCAAAAAAAAAAAAAATCTCTCACTAAAGATGTAATGAAAGTGGATCATATCAGGTATTCACTAATCTCCTCAGAAAATACCCGAGAGACGATCTTAAATATAATTGACGTATTGAATTTATCTACACTCTCGAGTAATTCCACTGCAAAATAAACCCCATGTTCCTCCCCATTAAGACAAAAAAAAAAAAATCACAATAGCTAACGACGGAATTCAGCAGGATCCGGCAGCCAATCAGAGGCGACTTTGCCTCGCCACTGAAAGTAGAGGGGCCATCCGGCCATGCCACGCAGCCCGTCGTGTGTCGCTCAGCTCAGTTTTAGGCCGGGTCCATCAGACGCTCGAACTTTCGTGAAATCAGTTCGACGAGCCAGAACTCAAAACTAGTCCGATTAAACGGCGCAGTTTTACGAACCACAAGTTCGACCGTCTGAACCGGGCCTTGAAAGGCTGAAGTTTCCACTTCAAATGTTCGGAAATTCATGTTCGCACACCGAGGATACGACACACCCTTCTTCAGCACCTTCCGGTTTTTTATTTACTTCACTGTCGTACCGGAAAATAACTAGAATACATTTTGAATGATGGAACTACTATTTCTGATTCACTTTAGCAGCACATATGCCATTCGTCTCTCTATGCAGACAGGTGCTTTCATGTATGAATCAAAAATGGCAGTTCCTCTATCCTTGATCAGAGGGTTATAGCATCACAAAACATTTTTTTAAAATCTTTTATCTGTACGCTGATGATAGTGTAAAGTTGATTTTCTTCTTCTTCTGTCCATTATTGACGACGCACAGTAGACCGAGTCTACCAGAGAGGTCGGACATGAAATTTTTGACTATTACTGCAAACTTTGACATTTATTTTGTCACATTATAAATTTCACGGGGTGGTTTCAGAAGAAAATTTCAAGAATAAACCAATGAAACCACTTTTAAAACCTCCCAGCTTCGTATGAAGGGAGTTATAAGCGTTTAAAGTTTCCAAATTTTGTCCGACCTCACCTATCGACTCGATCCACTGTGCGACGGCCGTTTCGGGTAGATCCCATCGTCAGGTCTTGCGTGTTTCCCTTGCGATTTACCGCGATATCGCGCGTCTGAACTGCTGCAACGTGTTACTTCCTAAAATCAAGACTCTTAAAAACTTAATTTTTTTTTTTTTTTCACACTCGAAACCGTTTAAATTTTTGCACTGATTTCGCGGCACTACCGTGTGTCAGTTCGGACGCGCGATATCGCGGTCGCAAGGGAAACACGCAACCAGTGGCGTGGCGTGAATTGCAATGTATCGATTGTTATGCAGTTTAAACCTATGGTAAAGAATCTATCATTAAGGTGTTCGCAGCGAACACCCTGTTAATCGATCCTTTTCCATAGGTTTAAATGGCATAACAATCGATACATCGCAAAACACGCCGCGCCACTTCACGCAACACCTAAAGATGGGATCCATCCAAAACGGCCGGCCGTCGTCAATAACGGATTGAAGAAGGAGAAAATAAACCCTACACTATCATCAGGGTGAAGATAAACATGTTTTTAGAAAAATTATTCTAATGCTCCAAGCTTGTTTCTGTCAATGTTAAAAATCAAGTAAAATAGGAGCAGACTTTTTTAAACGTCGCAATCAAGATATGGGGGGCTTTGAGTCTATTTTGCTTATTTGCTCATTCAGTGTCACTAATTATCATATTTCATTATGTTTAGGGTCTACGCTGTCGCTGTTTTGATCGATCCACTTCTAGCTGTCTTCCTTCCACTAACAAAAAGTGAGTAACTAAGAAAATCCTTCCTTTACAAGTATCTTAAGCACCTTATCGTAAGCAAAAATTCTGCATGATGCTGCATGGTGAATCATGATTATTTCTGTCTCTTATTAAACCTTATGCCGGACCTGTGTTCGAAACTCGCCTTTGAGTTTTAGGAGCCATGTGGCGCATCAAGCCCGATTTTTAGGCGCCATTGAAGATTTCTTAGGGGTCAAATTGACTTTTTGCCTATATATTACGGCGCATTTAGTGAAAAGTTAGACGCTAGATGTTTTAGTAAGTATAGCTGTAACTTGGGGAAGACAAAAACACTTAGAATGTAATCGTGAAGAATAGAAAAAGCAAGCTTTCGCTTGTAGTGCCGAAAATTCTGAGTTTTTTCAACTCAAATAGATTTGTTTTTCTTTCTTCATGTGACTTCCTGTGGAAATCCAGATTTTTAGGGGCCACGTTGGCGCAGAGCCTTCATTTTTTAGGCGCATTTGGCGCGTTGGCGCCTGTGAGTTTCGAACACTGTCGGACAACCTCTGAGCATTGTTCTGAAAGTTTTTGACAAACGACCACTTACTTTTATCTCTCGTGGCACGGAGCCTAGGGGAGCTTAAAATTTCCAAAATTTCAAAAACGAGGGATAGGTACCCTAGCCAACGCTATCACGTCAAAATCGCAATCAATATCGTGTGTTTCGTAAAATCGCGAAGAAATTCACGTTCTCCTCGCAAAATTGCGGGAGTTTGTGAATAAAAGACAAAAAAGAAGGTGGTAGCCTTAAAAATTTTGGGAAATAGGGATTTTTAAAATTGGAAAATTCGTTCGAAAAATGGGAAGGCCAAGAACTTTTCCCGTTCCTGGCTTCAACGCACAGTAGAGCAAAGTCTTTTTTTTAGAGCAGAGTAGAGCAGTCGTCAGGACGTAAGAGCCTTTAGTATAAAGTTTCATGTTATGCTGCTTTAAAAACCACCCTTGTGATTCTGACTACCAGTCATGTTACCGATATCAAATCAGTAATTTTAGTCAAGATGAAACTAGAATAAATCATTCAATAAAGCATTTTAAGTACACTATCATTTGAAATGAACCGTTTTTATCGGATGATCATTGAAAAAAGAAAAGTGTCTTGGCTTCTCATTAGTCAGATCTACTTGTGCAGTTTCAGCCTCTTTCTACTCTGTATAAGTACTTATTTACCTCTTTACATTCACAGATAAGAGGCACGTCACTAATGATTCTCAGTAAAAGTGTATCTTTCAATTGCAGTCATCTCAAAATCTGAATTGGTGAAAGGAATCAGTGTTGGAATTCTTAGGTTTCAGATTTCTAGACGTCTGCACGCTTACTTGCTGAAATTGTATCGTATTGACACGGGGCCCCTACTTTGATATAAATATTGAAAATCCAGGGCAAAAATGTAGCTCAATTTGACTTTTAACTGAGCCCTGTTGATGATATATCTCTATAGTGTTCAAGGCTCGCAATATAATAAGCCCTTAGTTGTGTTCTTCATCCAAGACAGGATGATTTCAGCACTAAATTTTTGCAAAAAAAAGTGATTGTGGAGACGAAATAAACCAAAATGCTGCTCCTTTTTTGCGCATGATGCTTTATTGGAAATTCCAGGAAGCCCAAATAAATAAAATTGGAACTATCTTGGAAACAATTGCCTTTATTAACAAATTATTTTGCGGGTGTATTCAGAATGGAGATGTTTCTTGTGTGAGTTTGCGATTTGACAATTGATTCTTACATAAAAGTTCGCGAGAAACACGATTGTGCCACTAGTTTTCCCTGAAATTAACTCCCAAGCTCAAAAAAACCTCTCAAGTTGAGGCCAAAATGGAGGGGATATCCCGTCCAGCCCTGAGAGTCCACGTCTACATCAAGACCAACTCTCCATGCAAAGATAGGGAGCAAATACATTGACAGGGCTGCCACTTTATTTGGGGACTCCAAAACTGAAAATAGGGCAACCCTGCCAATGTATTTGCTCCCTATCTTCGCATGGAGGGTTTGTCTTGATTTAGACGTGGACTTTTAGGATAGCGTGGGATATCCCCTCCATTTTGGCCTCAACTTGAGAGCTTTTTTGAGCTTGGGAGTTGATTTCAGAGAAAACCAGTGGCTTCATTGTGTTTCTCGCGAACTTTTACTTAAGAATCGAAAGTACAATCGCAAATTCCTCTCACATGCAACATCTCCATTATTTTTAAGAGGTTAGGCTACAGAGAAGTACGCACTTAAATAAGGGGGGGGGGGTTGTCGTTCAGAAACATGTAATGGGTAAGGGATCCCTCGTAAATATAAGGGAGTTCGCTCAAGAAGGGCAATCAAGGTCTACGGACAGACCCCAACTCCCTTCCACCAGAGACAAGGGACAAATTTCTGGAATGAAAAAATCGCACCTTACGCAATATCAGGAAACCATTTTTGCGAAACGCATTAGGAGCCACGAGTTATGATTTTCGTATATGATATTTCAGATGGATCATAGTATGCATGGACATGGCCACGGTGATCATGGAGGAATGGAAGGACACGCAGGCCACATGGGTCACTCGATGGACCACCAGCCTTTAATGGGAGCCAACCCCTCTACCGTTATCGATGCTCATGCTTCTGTGGGCCATGACATGAATGACATGGGTCATATGGATCACATGGTAGGTTTTTTTTGTTTTTCTCTGTGCTTCTTTGTCTTCTGCAGTACTCTTCAGTTTTTATCTACAAACCATCCTCCCCTCCCCCTCCCCCGGGCAAGCAGCTCGCTACAGCATTTTTGGTGAGCCATTTGGCATGCAACTATAATTTTTAGGAGCCATCTACAATTTTATGGAGTTGTGAAGGTTTTTGGAAATGCATAATGACATTTAGTGAAGAGCAAGGAGGCCATACTTATCAGGGCTACGCACGTGAATATTACATATCAAATTTGGCTGATCTGCCGTGCTAAAGAAGAACGCCGTATGAACATTCGAGAGTTGCCGAATCTCTCTTGATAAAATATGTTTTTTTGACGATATTTATGCGCACTTTTCTTTTAAATTTTCAGATATTTTACATAGGTTGTCCCAAAAGTACTGCACGTTTTTTTCTTATTGATGAACGGTAGTAGATATCAAAATGCGGTTTGTGTAGTCTTAAAGACCGGCTAATTACCGATAAAACAAGACAAATCCGAGCTCTCTAAGTAAAAAATTGACCAAGTTACAGCGTTTTGAAAATGACTTGTAGAGGGGACCCCTACGGAATTTTCAGGTTCTTTTCTNAGATGGATCATAGTATGCATGGACATGGCCACGGTGATCATGGAGGAATGGAAGGACACGCAGGCCACATGGGTCACTCGATGGACCACCAGCCTTTAATGGGAGCCAACCCCTCTACCGTTATCGATGCTCACGCCTCTGTGGGCCATGACATGAATGACATGGGTCATATGGATCACATGGTAGGTTTTTTTTTGTTTTTCTCTGTGCTTCTTTGTCTTCTGCAGTACTCTTCAGTTTTTATCTACAAACCATCCTCTCCTCCCCCTCCCCCGGGCAAGCAGCTCGCTACAGCATTTTTGGTGAGCCATTTGGCTAGCAACTATAATTTTTAGGAGCCATCTACAATTTTATGGAGTCGTGAAGGTATTTGGAAATGCATAATGAAATTTAGTGAAGAGCAAGGAGGCCATACTTATCAGGGCTACCCACGCGAATATTACATATCAAAGGCTGATCTGCCGTGCTAAAGAAGAACGCCGTATGAACATATTCGAGAGTTGCCGAATCTTCCTTGATAAAATATGTTTTTTTGACGATATTTATGCGCACTTTTCTTTTAAATTTTCAGATATTTTAGATTAAATTTTGCTCGGAATAGGNTCCAGAAAAGAAGCTGAAAATCCCGTAGGGGTCCCCTCTACAAGTCATTTTCAAAACGCTGTAACTTGGTCAATTTTTGACTTAGAAAGCTTGGATTTGTCTTGTTTTGTCGGTAATTGGCCGGTCTTTAAGACTACACAAACCGCATTTTGATATCTACTACCGTTCGTCAATAAGAAAAAAACGTGCAGTACTTTTGGGACAACCTATGTAGATTGAATTTTGCTCGGAATAGGCTGAAAATTTTGGGGGAAAATATTCACAATTTTCCCAGTAAATTCGGTTTTTATCGAAGGAAACTTGGCAACGCCTGAAGGCTTGTACGGCGTTTTTCCTTAGCACGGCAGTGATGCCCTACAGTTTTAATTTATTTTCTCAAGTATATCAAATGCACGAGAAAAGCTGATTATTTTCCAACCATTGTATCTCTTGTAAAATATCCAGTGCATATTGTCCGAAAGTACAAACCTAACTAAGAATTTATTCTATCTTTGTGCAGATGAGTATGAGCTTTCACTTTGGCAACAATGAAACAGTATTATTTGATTTCTGGAAATTCACCACGACCAGTGGTCTGATCGGATCAATGCTTGGAATCTTCATCATGGCTGCTCTATATGAGGGTCTCAAATATTACAGGTAACTGTGCATTGAGTGCATAATTCTTTTTCATCTCTCAATTAGATACCTTTCAATTAGATCCGAAAACACCAAACAAGTACCTACAAAAAGTAAAAAAATAATCAGATGTTTCAAGTAATAAGCAGATTTGTTGACGAGGGTAACCCTAAGAGAAATGCGAAAAGAAACTTTGCAGACAAGCAGAAATAATGGAGGTGATATCTGTGAGGGCAGCCATTCTATGAGTATTACACCATGAAGTCCAGATTATTGCTAAAAAATAGTATTTCATTCTTGATTAAATTATGGTACTTAATTTGTTTCAATGGTCAGGAATAATAGCTCTCCTAAATAGCACTTACAAAAATTTCAATAAATAAGATTTTTCTCTAGGATTACAGTATACATCTTGCTTGTAGTGTGCTCAATTGGATAAGTTTTGCTTTTAAACAATTTTTCCCAAATAGCAGTCTTTCTAATCGAAAAATATGATAAAGTCTCCTGGGTGGCGAATGCCACCTTCTGCCTCAAGTAATTTTACATTGCATTCTGATAAAATATAGTCAAGAAATCTGTATATTACATTGCATTGCATGCTGTTCTTAATGAATAATTTATTCTCATTTTAGAGAATACCTGTTTTGGCGGACATACAATGCTCTTCACTACAAATCAGTACAAACCCCTGGTGATAAGAGCCCTGTTGCCTCAGATGACAACCGAGTAATACAGTAAGTCAGCTTTGAACTGTTAAACTTTTTTTTATATTTAAAAAAAAAAGATTCAGGGAGTTGAGTGATAGTCAGCTAAAAAGAGATAGACTGAAATAAACGATATGAACTTTAAAAGGCAGAAAACTAGGGAGATCTGGGACTAGAGAGATAAACGAATTGAAGATGTGAGACTGAAATAGTTTAGTATTTTAACTTTTGAAGATTACGGATCGGGAATAAAACGTGAGATGAAGAAGAAATTATGTTGCAAATGAGTACTTGTCGAAGATGTAGGCAGGAAGACCCTGAGTTCAAGCTCATGCGTCCTCATAAACAGGTCATGACATCACTTTGAGCCAGTGCTTTTTATTGGTTGTTGGGAAGTCAGTTTAAGTCATCTCTATCATATGATTTACAGAAGATGTCAAGAAATAAAATTGACTTTGACCAAAGAGTGATTTTAAGCTTGAACAAAGAAAATAGCTGAATGTATAGAATTTTGAATAGAGAAAAGTAAAAGTTCGACAAATTGAAAAATGGGCTATTAAAATAGTAGAAAGTCTCGACAATGATGGAAAGTAAGGGGACTTACAATGCTTGCTTTCAGTTGTCGTATTTGATTCACATATGTTTCTTGAATGCTTAATTTAGCAATTAAGCAGGCATTTATCAATGATTGCTTTGACTTTACAATGAACCTCGCGCCTTTTTTTGAGAGCTTTATGTAGGGTTCTACCTTAACAAGCACGTATTTCAGAGGGCTCCTACAGGTCTCTAATTATTGACCTGTGGACTGGTTATTGAAATTAATGGACAAAAGAAAGCTACAGACAAAGAATACTTTGGAATTATAGAGCGATCCTATTGGTGTATATCTTGTGGGCTATAAGACAATGCCGTTGACATTGGAGAGACAAGGGTTAATTTACGGCATGGTAAATAAACACTTTTACTTAGTTCCAGTCTTTCAAATGCAAATACTCTATCATAATAATACCTTATCACCAGCATGCTTAATTTTTTCCCAAGGGTATGACACAGTCCTTCTTAGAATTATAAATATTTATTAGCTTTCCTGCAATAAAGTACTATGCTGCAGGAAAAATAAAACATGTAGTATGAAACCACGGCGTCAATGCATTGGGTGGCAACAGCACCTTATCTTTTTCGAGAAATTGAATAAAAAATTATTGAAAAATTAAAACGATTTCTCCTTTTCCCTTACTTTGGTGCTTACTAAATAAATAAACAGTTAGTATATATGTACTAATTCTTTATTGTAACCATTATAACCAGCAATTCTTATCAAGGATTCGTCTATGATTATTAAAGTTCTGGGGCTAATGATTATGGTTTTTTTCCAGGCCATCAATGCTGAGTGGCAATCACTTCCTTCAAACAATTTTACATATCATCCAAATAGTTGTTAGTTACCTTCTTATGTTGATTTTTATGACTTATAACGTTTGGCTGTGTATAGCCGTAGTTTTGGGTGCAGCAACTGGTTACTTCCTATTTGGCTGGAAAAAGTCTGTTATTGTCGATGTAACTGAGCATTGCCACTGACACATGTCAAAGAAAGGAACGCTACGTTAGGAACCTCTGCTCTCTGGAAGTGTAAGGCTTACTCATTGACTGAGCCCAAACTTTAAGAATGTTCTAATTGAAGCAGTATGTTGACTACTTTTCAAAACCAATATTTTACAGTTGTTTTAAGATTTAATCAATCACAATGAAAAAAAAAATAGTAGTCGGTCAATCCAGTCCCTGAATCCTGCATTTTTTGGCAAAGCGAGACTGTTGGCATGCCATGGATGGACTTCCTCAAATCATCCTGCAGCGTATCTCTTCTTTTCTTGCTTTTAATTGTCAGTCATGTACCTGGGAGAATACTCTTCCAGTTTCAATTGCTTTGTTAAAAAATATACTCGAACTCTTTCCTATAAAATCTTTAAACAAAAAAAGAAAAATTCAGGTTTTTACTCAAAGACTTAATTTCAACTCATAGTGAATCGATGTTTTAACTTCTCTCTTTTTTAATAAACATGAAATTTCTCCAGTATCAATTAGGGTTAATGTCCCATTCATAGTTCCTGGGAATGCATTGCAATGGTGAACTACTTATAAAAGGACATTCTGCAAATATTTTTTACTGAGCTGTTTTGAAGAGCTAGGAAAATCAGACTATTGTGCTTAAATCTAATTTCATCTCTCCATTTGATGATGTCAAAATTTTATACCTCCAATCCTGCCAGTACATATTGTCTAATCACTTTTCTAAAGATAAGTTTACTAAAACACTATCGTTGCGCTCTGGTATCAAATCAGAGTATACTGTAGTCTTTTCGAAACATGATGATGGGCCTTCATTGATTTTAACAAAGGAACTATAGTGTCAGAAAACAAATTTTCTGTCAATGTAATATTTTTTTGAGCTAGTTGGAGGTTGGTAAGAGCTGGAGAGCCGTTATTGTTCACTTTAAAGTCTATCGCTTGAAATTCAATTTTACCTGAAAATAATCTTTTTTAAGTCCCTATAAATGTTAAAAATCACAGGTGTTTTTTTAAAAAAAAAATTGGGCCAGCGCGCTAAAACTTCATGGTGGATTTCAAAATCGTGGTACCAATAAATTGAAGTAAGATAATAATTAGTATTTTTTAAGTCCCTCCTGAGAGAAACTCAAAAGAAGACTGAAAAGCACTATTTGTTTAAATCTCAAATATTTTAGGTAACTTTTAAAGTATTAGCAAAATTTAACCTCATAAGTGCTGTGTTCTGCTCGATTTTCTAGTATATTTAGTTGATCTGTTTTTTTTTCAAGAAAATTGGTTTTAAGCCCTCTTACACTCCTGAAAATAATTTACAATCCCACACAAAAATGCTGCGATAAAATTTTCCTCAGATGAACCTCTTATTTATCGATTAAATTAAGAAGTTAACTTCTCAAGTTGTCTCCACAACTTCTTCCTGCCCAGTGTTCTTTTTGCGATGGACCTCAGGAATATGGTGAAAAGTTCTGAGAATTATTGTTTAAAGCTTTATCAAGTGATAGCCCCCTAGGATATTGAGCCTTTTTGGAGGAGGCAGTAAATTCACAATCAGAACTGTTCGGCAGCAGGAAGATTTCCAATTTGAAACTTCGGACTAGGGGCGGTCTCCACTGCGGAGAGTCTGATTGCTCATAGGGGCTTTTATATAATTTTTTCTCTTTTGCATTTTCTATCATCGTTTTGGCAACTTCCTTCTCTCTTATATAAAGCTGTACAAATTTAAATAAGAAGTCATTGATAGTGGAACGTTGACTAGAAAAAGCCAGAATTAATGATATTTCATCAATGGCCAGTTAGAGCTGGAAAAAAAATAAATAAATAAAAAAATAAACAAAAATTATGGGAACTTAAAGGATCACTAAAGTAGATAATGAGGCTGACCAATTTATGCCTCCATCTTTTAAGGTATATGCTAGCATCGTAAGCTTACTTAACATAAAAATTGAGATCATCAAATAAGCTGTAAAGAATTCTAAAAATAAAAAGACAGAGATAGCAAACGAAAGAGTGGAATGACCGTAGCTTTCTTTAATTAGTTTAAGTTCTTTGGTGTATACATTTTTTCAATTCTTATTTTATGGTACATTGATTTTATTTTTATGCATACAAAAGATTGGAAAAATAGGACTCTCTCAGTCTAAGGATAGCCAGCAAATAATTTAAAAAATAATTAATTAATTCTGTCGAGCACTTCAAGCCTCCTGAAAATTCGATCTTCCATATAATTAATAAAAAAATATTGGAGAAACAACCCTGTCTCTGATATAAGCCGGTAGTTGGAACTATACATATGCAGAACCAATGTCAAGGCACTGGACAGTATTACTGCGGTGCTAAGGAAGAACGGCGTGTGAACCTTCTTGCGTTCCCAATTTTCCTTTGATTAAACATGAATTTTCAGGAAAACTTGAGAATGTCTTCTGTCCAACTTTTCAGAGAATTTGCTTCACAATGTGAGCTCAAGTATCTGAAAATTTGAAGAAGAAATGAGCATGATTTTTCACAAAAATTAATATTTAAAGAGGGGGAATCCGGCAACGTTTTAATGATCATACGGCACTTTTTCCTTAGCTCATTAGAATAGTAGTACCAATCAGTTCATATTGAGTTGTTAGTGAGAAAGAAAAAAAGAGTTATTTGCCCAAGGTAGATCATCTACTCAGCAGCAACAATGCTCATCATCACATCAGTTTTATCGGGAATTTTGGTTTTAGAATCTTTTTAAGTAGGTATAGATTTTGTGACATTTGTATTTAAGAAGACATTAGTAATTGATCAGCATCAGAAAAATTTAGTCTGTTGTTCACCTGTTTTCAAGTGTCATTGTTACGATTTTACTGTTTTTTATAAAATTTTGTTGACGTCTGTTAAAGAAACTATTATAGTTTTTTCAAGTTCCAACCATTGCTCAGGTGCTGTCACTAGAGTAATTTTCCTTTTTACTTGTCCTAATTTTCATTTTAACTGAGAGAGTCAAGCTCTAAGATTACAGGTACAAATTATAGTGGAGAAAAGGAAAAATGGTGTCTAAGAATTTACATAATACATTTGTTAAGTTTCCTATCAAATCATTCCTTAATTATTTGTAATTATTTATGAGGCATAGACAAAACAATGCCTTTATTTTTGTAAGGCTGTTTCTATGAAATTTCTGCGACGACACACCCTTTATAATGGGTTGTTCGTGAAATGAGAAGCCTCTCTCCTTTTCTTGAAAAATATAGAAGCATGACTACGCCTAAATATTTTGTTAACGATTTTATACTTACATCTTTCCAACAGTATTTGGTTTTTCCTATTCGTTTTTCTTCTTACCTAATGGTTGTTCAGAAATCGCAATCTCTTACATGCACCTCTAAAAATGTCTTGCCATCTTTTAGGTAAGATGAAAATTGATTTGTTTTATATTCTTTTCGCAGCAACTACTCAAGCTTTAAATGAGAATTAATCATACCTTCTTTGCTTTTCTGCTTGAATCATACAGCAAAATCAATTTATTTGTAAAGGGTTGAGATTAAAGAGTTTTAGCGAAAGAATGCACTTCTTTTAACTTCAATTTTGCCGAGGAAATATGTGAAAAATTACCCTATGGCAACCCTTATTTAAGCTTAGTTGCTAGCACTAAAGCAGCGCATTAATGAGGCATTGGAAATTTTTTATTTAAGGTCGAACTCACAATCCTCCCTTCAACAACTGCTTTTCATAGGAGGTCCCATTTGCTTTATACTGTGACCAAGGCAGTTTCAAGAAATCCCTCAAAATGGCATCATGAAAAGGAAATTTCTCACCAACATCGAGTAAAATGCAGCATTGTAACTTTAGAAAGGGTCCTTGAAAGAGATTACAATGATTAATCACTATAAAAAATACAAAAAAAATATATCGTGAGGTTCCTAACTTTAGTTTGCACCTATCTGCAAGTTCATCAAAATCATAAACGTTTTCCTTCCGTATTTTGTACTTATTGCAGTGGCTCGTCATTGTAATCCCTCACAAGGATCCGTTTCTGAAGTTATATTGCTGAATTTTACTCGAATAAAAGACTAGAAATAATCCTTTTTAAGATGCTATTTAGCGGAATTCCGTTAACCTCTCTTAATGACAATGTAAACCAAGTGGGGCCCCTAAGGAAAGGAGCTGAATGAATACGAGCCTAAATCTCTGAAGAGAGAAAATGAATACAACTAACGCAGGGGCATCGTAATTCTCTGAGATATTCGCGATTTGATGCAAAAAGGCAAGGAATATTAAAATTGAATCAATAAAATTGTAAGACGATTCTCAAATAACTGCGACTTTACCTGCTGACAATAAAGCAGTAAAAAATATTATTTTGTTGTTAATTTTTTTTAAAAAATGATAATGAAAAATTGTATTGAATTTAATCACGTCTTTCATTTTTTAACCAAAGAAGACGTTGTTTATTTGAATAAAGCTCACTGCTCCAGTTACTCTGCCTTAGTTTATGCCTTACCTTAAGAGTCTCTAGACTTTAGCTCAATTGAATCAGTGAGAACAAAAACACACCAACTCAAAAAATGAAAATTATCAAGACACCAACACAAAACTCTTTTGATGAACAAAAGATTTTTGGTGCCAAACGAAAAGTATTTAAGGGCATTTTTGAAGGGTCAAGTTGGAACAGGTACGCTATTCTTGATGACCTTTATAAATTGAGCATTTTTGAGTAACCGAGTTGGTGTGTTTTCTTTCTCACTCATTCAATCATTGAAACAACCTAAAAAGATCTGTAAAAAAGTAAGTTACATCCTGTGAAGCAATTAAACAGCAATTTTGCTGTAATACTGCTGAGGATAGCAGCAATGATATTTTGGCAATCTGGGCATGAAATCATCTTTGAGCTACTTTCGTCATTTTAAAGTTGATATTGCCAGCTGGGAAGGAAAGAAAAAAAACTGGGAAAATCCTAAGAGCTTTTTGAGGACATATGCCAAAAAAGAATTAGCGAAGACTAAAACACACAGTTTTTTTTTTTTTTTCAAAAAGTTTATTAACAAATGACAGTAAAAATAAGATAATTGGAGGAAATATATACATTGAAATTGAGATGAGATTTTTATTTATAACTGTACGGATTTTTTTCCAATTTCACTGAGATCCCTAAAAGTATCTTTATCTGTGTGACCCTTTAACACAGCCTGCTAAGAGTTAAGCTTAAATAGTTATTTTACAAAGGTTTGACTGAAGATCAAGGCATTATTGGCTCAGGATACATGGAATTTCTTTTTGCAAATTGAACAAATACCATTGCATGAAATGAGATTTAGGTTCGGAGTTGAGTCAAGTTAGTGAAATTGGAATGAAAATCAATAAAAATGCCATTTTATTCTTTTTGTACTATCACACTGATACAATTTTGCAAGTAAAAAAATTAGAGAAGGAACTGGGATGCACTTACAATTAGTTCATGATTTGATGTTGCAATTAACATCAAGAAAAGAAAATAGAGGATTTGTTCAGTCTTCGAGGATCAAAAACAAAAATGAAGTGGCAAAGGTGTGTGCCACCTTTACTCTTCCCTCTTCATTTTCCAAGGTCTCTAGAAACAGAAAAAAAATAATCCAATTAAAAATAATCTTTCAACAAAAAAGAACTCTCACAAAGAGTGACGCAATTTATAGCATTCCAATGGGCCTGTTGCAAACTTTTGCTAGAGCAAAACTAAGAGTTGTTTCCTACAGATAATGCCTCAAAAATCACGATGAGCGCATCGGCAAAGTCTGAAATGCACTCATAACTTCACAATCTGCGTAAGAAATTTGCGGTTTTTTGAGCTTCCCGCTTCGAAAACGATACTACGGTACAGGTGAACATTTTGTTAGAGGAGTCGTTCCATTGGCGACAATACTCATCATGGCCGACGCCAGTCCGCCAAAACACGTGTGATGGGACGAGATAACACTTGAACAGGATTAAACCGTATAACAATCGGCGTGTTTACGTTCATATTTTCCTCGCCCGCCTTAATTGACCTTGAACTCTCCTCGAATTACGCGAGGAACTGCGCAAGCGTCGGCCATGATGAATATTGCCGACGATGGAGCGACTCCTCTAACAAAATGTTCACCTGTGCAGTAGTATCGTTTTTGAAGCGGGAAGCTCAAAATAACGCAAATTTCTTACGCAGATTGTGAAGTTATGAGTGCATTTCAGACTTTGCCGATGCGCTCATCGTGATTTTTGAGGCATTATCTATAGGAAACAACTCTTCATTCTGCTCTAGCAAAAGTTTGCAACAGGCCCATTATGGATTCTCAGTTACCCCAAATGGGATTCAAACAAAAAAAATCCTCAATTTATTAGTACCTTCATAATTTGTAGTAAAAGAAGAGTAATTATTTGTCAATCTGAAAACAAAGGGTTTGCAACAATAATCAAATCAATCTAGAATCGATTGAATGTTGTTATTTTTTGCATAAATGCTCTTCCAGACCTTTTTGAGTATTTGGACTCTTCACCTTTTAGTCCAGGCAATAGAGCTCTAAATAGGAGGTTTGAGGGAAAGTTTAGTCGAACTGGCAATTATGGGCTAACTTTATGTTTTTTGGGTCGTAGAATTCGAATTTCGACTTGCCTGACAGATCCGACCCTCCCCCCGGCCGCTATTTTGAAAAAACGACTAAAATTTACGGTTTTTTCCCATTTTTCCCATATAACTTTTTTTCTGTTCAAAATATCGAAAATCCCGCCACTTCTGTCGAAAGACGATTAAATTTGCAAGAGATTGGTGTATACATATGTACACTTAACGTGAAAATCGCGAGGATGGGAGCGCGTAGAAGGCAGCGGGAAATATCGATCTTGCGTCATTAGATACGAGGGTCATCCAAAAAGTAGGGTTCCCTGCTTTGTATCTTCCGAGCGAAACGAGATAAATCAAATCAGTAAAAAAGCACATATCAGACATACTATAAGCTTTAAAACAAGCTCAAGTTTTTGAAAATCGGTCAAAGGATTCGCGAGTAAACTTAATTTTACTGAGACAACCTCCTGTCGCCGCGTGCCCACCTCCGGGGTCAGGATGCACGGAGAGGCGATTATTGAAGACTCGGGTTATCGCCTCTAATCCTCTATACATCACATTAACAAGGAATTTTAAAGTTTTCATTGAGTAGGCCTTACCTTACTTTTTGACATAGTCTCCACATATTTTTTGACATTTCTGGTATCATTACAGCAGCTTCTTGATGCCTTCCGCGTAGAACCTTTCGCCTTGAATCCAAAACCAGTCATTGACAGCGATCTGCACTTCCAAATCAGTTGCTTTGCGTAGGGAAATTTTCCCCCAATCCTTCAAACTCTCTTACTTTAGCTTCATGTAACTTTCATTTGTTCCCGAGCGGAAAAACTTCCACGATGGAAGCGATTTTCAACCGATTCAGAGGTACAGATAGCTGTCAATGACTCGTTTTGGAGTCAAGACGAAAGCTTCTATACGCTGAGGGCATCAAGAAGCAGCTGTAATGATACCAGAAATGTCAAAAAAAAGATGTGGAGACTACGTCAAAAAGTAAGGTAAGGCGTACTCAATGAAAACTTTAAAATTCTTTGTTGATGTGATGTACAGAGGCGATAACCCGAGTCTTCAATAATCGACTCTCCGTGCATCCTGACACCGGAGGTGGGCACGCGGCGACAGGAGGTTGTCTCTGTAAAATTAAGTTTACTCGCGAATCCTTTGACCGATTTTCAAAAACTTGAGCTTGTTCTAAAGCTTAGAGTATGCCTAATACGTGCTTTTTTACCGATTTGATTTATCTTGTTTCGTTCCGAAGATACAAGGTAGGGAACCTTACTTTTTGGATGACCCTCGTACTTAATACCCTTTATCCCTGCAACCCTTTACGTGTAAGTCATATTAAACAAGCGGTTATTTCAATGTATTATTTTATTAATCCCATTACATAAATGACTGGTTACGGATTTAGAAAAAATCAAAAATATTTTCAAAAGTGGACATGTTTGATAAGTAAGTCAGTTAGTCCAATCGTGGGCGTTTGGCAGCTCGGTGCAACGAAGTTCTATAACTTTTGGTGATGGACAGGTGAATGGGCCTGGTTCTCCTCCATAGACATCACGGCCGGCGTTGATCTCCGACTCTAACACAGTATCCAAAATATGAAGCCAGAAGTCAGACGAAAAAAAAAAGAAAAGAAAAGGGAAAAAAGGAACCTAAATTGATGGAAGATTAAAATTTTCGCATCACTAATCCCAAATAGAAAAAGCATTCTGGTTTACTGTATCTAGTAGTCTGGTGTTCATATATGGTGTGTATTTCTGATAATCCTTACCGAAATTTTTGGTAATGATTATCAGGAATACATGTCACTAACGAACACCTGATTGTTTAATAAAGCTTGCCATGGTATTTTTTCTATGCAAGAAGTTTTTGATAACAAGCGAGCAGTGTAAAAGAAATAACAAACCCTTAGGTTCATTGTTTATTTCTGAATGTGGGCTTTCTGGAAGGTCTTGAACTTCAGTCATAACAGCTTCAAAATTTTCTTCTGTACTTGGCTTGTCGAAAAAGTCATAAGCTTCAACATCATCCTCGTCCTCAGGGTCCGCTAAAGCAATTTCAGGCATGTTGATACACAATGCTGAGCATTTAAGCCCACATTTCCTGCAACCGCACGCGCCTCGACAACTCGTTTTGCACTTGCAGGATTATCAGAAATACACACCATAATGAACACCAGACTGCTTGATACAGTAAACCAGAATGCTTTTTCTATTTGGAATTAGTGATGCGAAAATTTTAATCTTCCATCAATTTAGGTTCCTTTTTTCCCCCTTTTCTTTCCTTTCCTTTTCTTTTCATTTCTTTCCTTTCCTTTTCTTTTTTTTCGTCTGACTTCTAGCTTCATATCCTAGATACTGTTATAGAGTCGGAGATCAACGCCAGCCGTGATGTCTATGGAGGAGAACCAGGCCCATCCACCTGTCCGTCACCAAAAGTTAGAACTTCGTTGCACCGAGCTGCCAAACACCCACGATTGGACTAACTCACTTACTTATCAAACATGTCCACATTTTGAAAATATTTTTGATTTTGTCTAAATCTGTAACCAGTCATTTATGTAATGGGATTAATAAAATAATACATTGAAATAACCGCTTGTTTAATATGACTTATACGGCAAGGGTTGCAGGGATGCAGGGTGTTAAGTATCTAATGGCGCAAGATCGATATTTCCCGCTGCCTTCTACGCGCTCCCATCCTCGCGATTTTCACGTTAAGTGTACATATGTATACACCAATCTCTTGCAAATTTAATCGTCTTTCGACAGAAGTGGCGGGATTTTCGATATTTTGAACAGAAAAAAAGTTATGAGCGAAAAATGGGGAAAAACCGTAAATTTTAGTCGTTTTTTCAAAATGGCGGCCGGGGGGGAGGGTCGGATCTGTCAGGCAAGTCGAAATTCGAATTCTACGACCCAAAAAACATAAAGTTAGCCCATAATTGCTAGTTCGACTAAACTTTCCCTCAAAAATTCTCTATTGCCTGGACTATTTGGACCTTCATAATTTGTAGTAAAAGAAGAGTAATTATTTGTCAATCTGAAAACAAAGGGTTTGCAACAATAATCAAATCAATCTAGAATCGATTGAATGTTGTTATTTTTTGCATAAATGCTCTTCCAGACCTTTTTGAGTATTTGGACTCTTCAGCTCTTAAAACATTCATCAATAAAACAACGCACTTAGTTGTTCAGCGCCAAATTTATGTGCCTAAGAGCTTCTGTTCCATTGACTACAGTGGTGAAGAGTATTTTCTTTACAATAGCTGATGCATCGTTGAAAATGTCATGCACATAAAATGGTCAATAGCACATTTAGTAGTTTTCTTCCCATAGAACATAATACAGTGTTTAGCAGAGAGATAGTAAGTTAAAATAAAAAATGCATTGGAAACTGCTCTCTACTGGATTGTATCCAGACCGGTAAAATCCCCCAATACATGTGATTCCTAACAGAATTTACCAATTCTCCCCATCCTAAGTAGGAGGTAAGTCTATTTGATGCTACCAAAAATCATCAATGCGGTGCACGCCACAGTAATGGGTCAACATTCATAAGCTTGATTTTTCTTCTGTTTTTACCACAATTTTACTTTTCGAGAAAAAGAAACGAGAAAAAACTATCTCATTGATTTCAAATTTCGAACACCCCTTTTCAAGGCTGTCACATATTTACCAGACCGGCCAGTTGGTAGGTCAAAGAAGTTCTGCACCCTCTGCCCAAACATAGCATCAATCAGTAGCTTACCATCATGTGTTGTGAATCCAATTTCACCAGCACTCCAGAAGCCGAAAATGGGGATCCCCGGCAAGAACCGATTGAGAGTTCTGCTCTCCAGGTTGCAAACTAAATCCATATTATCAGAAACATACAGACTTTGCCGATCAATGCACTCCGTCATGAAACACAATTTCCTTCCTGGCATGGATTTAATTTTCTCACTTACCTGAAACAAACATTTCCGATCAAATTAATAAACAGTAGAGGACAAAAAACATAAGCTAGAAACAAGGATGGACCAAGTTCGACCGAAATAATTCTTCGTCTTCCACTAATTAAATAGACTGTTTTCAAAAAGGTCCAATGTAGATACACCAGATTTGCATTATGCTATCTAATTTTCAAGACCACAAAGCTTTACTTCAACTTACGATCTAACTTACATTTTTTATAGTGGTAGCAATCTCTGATGCCTCTTTTTCTTTAATAACAGTAGAGTAGGCAGACACTTTTGCGCCGCGGAAGATGAACATGGCGGCTTGATAAGAGACATTGGGCTTCATTGTGTCTCTGATCTTTTTCACAACTCCTCCTCCCATAGATACAGCTGGAGTCTTTTGCCTGGAAGAAGGTAAAAAATATCAAAATTAAAATACTTGAGTAATCACAGCAAGAGAGGAAGTGTCATTGTGAGAAAAGTAACAATGTGACTGAGGGGTTGAACATTTAGTTGTTGGTCCAATCAAGAGGAACGCTTTCCCTTGACTTAGGGGTGGAAAAAGTGGTCCGGAGGAGGCAAAATTTGAGGGACTAAACTTCAAAATATGCTTCAAATTGACGAAAACTGCCTTAAAAACTGATAACATTTCTAATACATGGGAGGGAAGAGTGGACGTTGATTCTTTCTCCCTTCCTCGATTGGCTATCCCAGTTCGACCAATCTCAGATGGAGAAATTTTCTTGGTTTTCAATAAAGAAAAAAAGGGAATACAATAAAATAAGAGTAACTCCGCACACGAACTCAGTTAAAATTAAGCTGTTAAGAACTTCACTCATGTGCACGTCAATTTTTAACAGCAGTTTCTGGCATTTCTAGGGGCATGTAGGGGTAAAAAAATTTTATATTGATTCAAAACTAATTAGCACCTCTTAATTTCCTACTAAATGTGAATTTAGACTCCAAAAATGAGGGCTCTAGCCAATTTCTACCATACTTAAAAAGTATACTCAAAATCAGCAGAAAACGCATGAATTAAAAATTACTTTTCACAAAACCAAAGGGCGCAACCGTGGAAAATTTGTTCACAAAAAACCCTTCAGTAGGCTTCAAAGTGATGCCAGTATACAACTTTTCAGAATTATTGTGCTTTGACTTTTAAAAAAAGCTGATTTTGGCCCACTCCAGGTTACAAGTCACAGGTTAGTAGAATGAAACAGAGATTATTTTCGAACACAGCAACCCAAAATTAATAAAGTTAAGTCATCAGAACGCCAGGGCACTTTAGTGCGTGCAACAGTTACCAGCCCACTAGAAGCACCAAGCCTTAGCCAGAGGGCACAGTATAGGTGACTGTTCTCAGCCAATTTTTCTCTGTTTTGTTTAGTACTAGTTTCATTCGTGAGAAATTTATGATCTTTAAAGCTAATCTAGTGAGAAATGACAATGCCAATCTCAGACAAAATGTGTTATGGACAGGGGAAAACCTAAAAATGGTTTTATCAGAGGCAAAAGTTTTAGAAATCCTGGACGAAAGAAGTTAAGAAAAAAATTAGGAGAAAGCTGATGGAGAGTGCCGAGTTTGATAAACTGTATGAAGGATGAACTTACTTTTGTCGAAGAATTGAGGCTGTGTGTTTAGCTAGCGAATAACCATTGTTCATCAGTGAATAGTTAGATAGTGATGAATCCGTAACATAAATTAGCACAGCTTTGACTGCATGGTCATGCCCTGTGAGGATTTTCGTGAGCTAAAAATTTAACACACACCATCATTCAATTATTATGAATTATGAACACAATCTGCGGATTAAAATTTCCTGCTTCACAACTTAGAGAAAAATGGTAACTGTCAAAGTTGTAGATGAAGCAAAGTTAGAAATCACTTTTATGAAAGCATCTTCTTTGAGTCGAAAAACATTTGTTGTACAGATATCTGATGTGCAAATAGAAAAAAAATAGAGCTTAGGGTTTACTTTTCTGGTCAAGAATTGCTCCAAAGACCTTGGCCTTAGAAACTGAGATTGATACGGCCAATAGTAAAATAAACGACCATCTCCCATGGATCATTTTGTCTTTTCCTTATACAAGTTGTTGCAATGGCAACTGCCTGGCTATCATGGCAAATGTTCAAAAGGAAAAAAAAAATATACATGGGTAACAGTGCTGTGGTGGACCTAGAGAAAGGTTTGTAATCACACGATAATGTGATTAATACATACTGCACGGCAGCACCAGTCAAAATAGTCATTATTTAGGTCCTGATGGGGGGAGGGGGGACAGTCACCAAAAACAACTTGGGATTGACTGTATTACTAAGAAGATTACATAAACTCTTACCGCATGTTTTGTTAGATTGTTAAGTTCAACCTGTCGAAAAAGATGGGAGGAAATTTCTAGTCCTTCACAGTTCGGAAATAAAAGAGTTGTTTGGTTGAAGTCTGTAATATGAAAATGAAAATAAAGACTTTAAAATAAATAAAAAAAAAACCACTAACAGAAATCCATAGTGATAATTGAACGATTGAATTAGCAGTGTTATAGAAACTTTCTGATCATGCCATAATGATTGTATAGCTGCTTGCATGGGAAAATGGGAAGGCTGTAAAAATTAGAAAGGCCAGTTTAAAGTGTCAACAAAATTGCGCATTCCTGCAAAAATTGAGCTGTTGCTTGCAAACAGAGAGTAAGCAGTTGCCAACTTGTCTAATGTTAGTTCTAGTTCTGAGGATTTTGAGAAAAAAGGAGTTTATAGAATGAGAGGACCAGTTTAAAAAGAGGAAGGCTAAGAAATTTCTGCACCCTTGGAGAAATAGTTCTCAAATCAGACGAAGTTTTTAATCCAAAGAAATTTGATCAACAACTTTAGCTGATCAAATAAAAGGATGAAGAGCACAAAAAATTGGAGACATTTTTCTTAGGCCTGAAACTTATTATTATGAGGAACCGATAAGAAACAAGAGAGTGGTGATAGAGGAAATCCATGTTTCACTCACCATTGTCTTCAGTCGTATAAAGCGTGTGAAATTGGCCCAGATATGAAGATATTACACCATATGAAGTGATCCTAAAACTGCCTGCAGGTGTTTTGGGAAAAGCACTCTGATAAATTTTTTCAAAATCTGTTGGAAGGAATATAATATGATCAGCAAAAGATAACAAACTACTACAAGAAATTGAGAGGAAAAAAGGGTCTCTTGAATTAAAATCAGAGTTCAAGATAGCTTCTCAGAACCAAAATCAAGGATTTTTCAAGAAACTCGAGTGTTAGTAAAATCAAGATCTTTTGAGGACTACCAAAAAACTGTGCTTCCTACGGATTTATTTTTCTAAAAATAACCTGAGTGTTACTAAAAAATATTACATTGTGAGACAAGTCCAAAAATTGCCTTCAATCTTAAAAAAATGTATGTACAAATTCACACTGAAATTGATTAAATCAATGGACAACACAAAATTGATTGCACAATTACACCTCAAGCATTCACAGCATCTCGATGTGATACGTTGTGGGATGGAACATAAGAGAAAAAAAGAAGAAAAAATTTAGCATGCCTTCCTTTCATGCCAAAAACCACTCACAGCAAGGACAAATTTTTTATGTGTACTAACCAGTGTTCGAAACTCACCTTTGAGTTTCAGGAGCCATGCGGCGCATCAAGCCCGATTTTTAAGCCTCATTGAAGATTTTTTAGGGGCCAATTTGACTTTTCGCCAATATATTACGGCGCATTTAGTGAAAAGTTAGACGCAAGATGTTTTAGTAACACAACTAGTAAGCAGCTGTAACTTGGGGAAGACAAAAGCACAAATGATGAAGAATAAAAAAAGCTTTCACTTGTGATGCTGAAAATTGAATAATCACCTAATATGAAAATTCAGATTTTTATAGGGCAATTTTAGGGGCCATGTTGGCGCAGAGCCTTCATTTTTTAGGCGCTTTTGGCGCCTGTGAGTTTCGAACACTGGTACTAACTTATGCTTACCATTTTTAATGCATCTACATCTTTCTTGTTTCTGACCCTTCTGTTTCTCTGCATCAGGGCGATTTAAGGCCAAGCATGTACTGCAGGTGGGGAATTTAGCTTCTGTTGGCTCAAATCCTAGAATAAGTTGAGGGGCAATTTTGATTTCTTGTGAAAATTTGGCAAACCGTTCTGGTAGGCACTTTAAGTCTGTGGCACTGCTACCAGCATAAAACCACTCATAGGAGAATCTTTTTTCCAGAATAGTTGGAACCAAAGATTGCCAGTTTCTGTGAAAATTATGTTGAAAATAAAAAGAATACATGAGAGGAATAGCAACAAAACTGAAAACATATATGTAAAAAACCTTTGAGACAATCAAAATAATTTAATGAGCAATGCTGAGAAGTTAAGAATTATCGAGGTACCTAATGAGAGAGAGAGAGAGGGTTTTAAGAACAGAGATTTTACTGTTAAAGGAATTCAGAAAACTCTTCACAAATTAAAATTTGTCAAATGTTAGTAGATCTTTAGTTTTTAAAGAGTTCTTTAACAGCAGAGCAGTGGACCCAGCACATAAAACCAATGGATTTAATGCCAGCTATGCTTCGTTATTATTTGACATGATGTTCTTTACAACCTCCTGCCCATGACAGGCTTCAAAACTTTAACTATTCATGCGCCATTTTCAAGAGAAGCGAGGTTGAAAAGTGAAATTTATGGCATTATTACACAAGTTTTCCTAGAATGACTTGGCAATGCTGCTGGGTCAGATCAGCAGGACCTCTGTTCAGAGGGAGTTGACGCAACAGACACTGCTATCATTTGCAAGACTTAAGCTCTATATGTCGGTCTCATCTTCAAGGCTGCTTGCTCACCAATCAGGTGCTGCTACATTAATATGATATAATGCATTCAAACATGCTAAAAATTCGAATTTCAGTCCCTTTTTTCTAACAATAGCACAGAAAAAATTCAATTTTTTAAAGCTTATCAGGATCAGGAGGTTGTAAAGAACATAATATTACATAATAACAAAATTTACCTGTGTAAAACCAGAATCTTTTGAGACTGTGAATTCTGATTACATTCTTGGCGCTCACAATGTTTTACATTCATAGTGTCCGATAAGAAAAGAAAAACAAGAGTCTTTTAAACATACCTAAAAAAAAGATAAAAATATTTTTACTGACCTGCATACTCTGGCACAGTTTTGTAAATCTCCATGAGGTAGATAAGATAATATTTTGAATATTATCGGTGTTGGTTGTGACAGGAATTCACCAAAAGTCTGAAAAATAATAATTACAAATAAATGAAAGAAAATGTGGCTATCCGCCCAACAGGCAACTTTGTCAGAGTTTCAAGTGGTTTTATAAATTTTTTTTGGCAACTAAAGAAGTCAAGTCAAGTCAAGCAAAACTTTTGAACACTCAACCTTAAATGTATGTTTATTTCAATTTTCACTGCAAAAATCGAGACGACTGTTCAAGAATATTTTCCCTTTCTTTACTGCTGTTTTAGACGGTGATGCCCTAGTTCAAAATAACGAGTCTCACCTAAAGGACTTAAAACTAAAACATACTGAATTGATAGATTTCACACCAAATAAGTTTAAACTCTGAAACAGTGAGACAGGTGGTCTCACTGTGCACTTCAAATGCCATCTTTGTTCATTTGTAAACTTAAAATGCTAAAATAACAATGACAATTCTTCCAACGCTTTTTGGCAGTGTAGAGGGTGTTCATGACCACCTAATCATTATCCCAACTCCATCCCATAATCTCTAAATAATTGCCCAACACGCTCAATGCTTAAAACAAAATCTTCAAAATTTGTAGCATAAGAAGGTAAAAATAGTACAACTTGCTTACCCTATGGTCAACATGGGTAATAACATAAGCCAAATTTCGACTTTCTGCATTGTCAGACAAGTCTGCTACACTTGCTCCATCACCTACAGCTTCATCATTCTTTTTGTTGGTTTTCTGTTTTTTGGAATTCTTCTTGCCTTTACTCGCATTGTTTTTTTCTTTTGGGCCACTGTTTGACTGCTTAGAGTTCTTCGACTTGCCTTTCTTATCCATATTTTTCTCAAAGAGACTTCAAGAAGAGAAAACTTTCCAGACAGTAGGTGAGCTGAACTGCCAAAGAGAATGAGAAGGTTGCTGGAAAACACACAAAAATTGGTCCTTAAGAAAAAGTTAGATGATGGAAATTGAGGTTTTTAAAAAATTGAATTACCTCGTAACGACATATATAAACTCACTTGCATAGAAAATTATCAATATTGCGTACTTGTTTCACAGGCGCCATATTCCAGCATGCTCTTAGCGTAAAAACCAAGTAACGCTGAGGATACCGGAGTGTAAGGTTGGCACGATGCATGCTCAATATTGACAATTCTCTACAGTAATACCTAAGAGTACTTATTACGAAGTTTTGAACTTTTCCTTGCGCAGTTCTCTTTGTATATTTTAAAGAAGAATTACCTCTTTCCTGATCTTCCTCCACAATCACAAAATGACATTTAGGGAGCTTGGAGAACAAGGCACATAAATGCAGTTTTTCTTTAAAAAAATGAGATATTCATGACTTTTGCTAAAGCCATTCTTAAAATATGTTCTGTGAAAAATTTACAACTAAAATCCAATTTTTAAGCATCAGAAAGTGAATTTGAACTTTCATTCTACCATAAGGTCCATGTAAGTAATTTTGAAACTTAGAACACATAAGTATTACCTGAAATAATTAAAATTGCACTTATGCACCTTGTCCGCCAAGCCCCTCAGTTGTCTTTGTATGGATTGATCCACCAAAGGCAGGTGCAGCTACTTTCAAAAGCAAAAACTTGGTGAGTACAAGCAGAAGCAACTGTTTACGTATGAGAAAAGGCGGTAAAATGCTCCAACTTAAGACTCAATGTACAGCTAGTAGACGGATTTAGTACCTATGTTATTCTATATAATTATCCTCTTCAGTAATTCCCAAGTAAACAGAATCATAACTTCTCTTTTTCCGCTTATAGGTGAGTAGATGCATTATCAGAGAAAACTTATCAATACCCTATAGTTGGTCAGTTGGTTAAATGCTAATGAACGCTCCCGACAGCCTCTGAAGATCATTCAGCTTTGGGAAAAGACGTTGGACTTGCATGTAGTGACACGCAAGTCATCCGGTAATTCAATCGGAGTCAAGCAATACTAATAATCTAACACTGATCAATGTTGTTTCCTGATGCTCCCGGACAGTTTTAACTACGTGCACGCTTGTTGAATCCATCCATGTGTTTTTGGCATTTAAAATTTTGCGAGTCTTGGGATTCATGGATGAAAAATTTAAAAAACTGTCACCCTTACATAGAATTTGGGCTCGAGGTTATGGTTTTTGTTAACAATAAAACTATTGAAGAAAAAAATCATATCTCCCAAGAATGCTGAGGCTCTTGAATCAGCTGATACAGAGATTATTTATATTATTCAGGTTTCAAAATGGATAAAATTTAGGTAAATTAAATAATTAAATAGCAGGATAAAAATGAGAAGTAAGAGATACATTAGTTAACTGACAGACTTGTACATGCGTTAGCATGTTGTTGTGCTCCGATTCCCTCAAGTGAGGAACATTGCTATGTAGCGATCAAGCTGATAGCAAATTTTCTGAAATTTCCATAACTTGATGAATTCTTCGATACACAGAGGAGTTGTAATGCTTACAATATCAATTTTCACTTCGAGTTGGATGATGTTTCGAGCAGCGTCGTGAGATTTTCACCTGAATGGAACCAATGACTGTAGATCAGATTGAAGACTCCGACACTGGCTGTTCCCTTAAACTAATTTTTCTCGAAGATATTTCAAAAACTGGAAAAGTACAACGTAGGAGTTACCTTTCACAAAATTCTGTATGTAATAGCGTCGTAATAGTTGTCAAATCAATACACAACACCAACACGGCTGAGGCTGAGGAAGGGTTCAGTGAGGAGTGAGGTTAGGTTCCTGATTTATAGGCAAACCGGCGAGCATGGCAAAAAAGGAAAACATTCAAAAACCGGAAACGGTCAACAACCGGAAGCTGCCTGAAACCGGAAACAGTCGCAGCCGTGAAGAGCCAAGCAAGAGCCTCCTTGAAGAGTTACGAGAGTACAAAAGAGCACTGGTTCCCCCTTCATTATTTTAGAACAGGCATGTAGCTTATTTGAGAAATTCTTGGGAAAAAAAGGAAATGCTTCCACCAATTTCTGTTGTTAGTTTAAGTACATATACATGGGGACAAAAAATTAAGTCGGTGAGAGGGCACAATGATGAATATGAATAATAGGAGGATGAACCCCTGCTCCCTCTCTTTAGCACAAAATGGAATTTCAAAAGTCTGTACTTTTTCTTGTTTGCTAATCATTTTCATCTTGGCCAACTGCTTTAAAAGGCAGACGGTTTTGATCAATTAATCTCCGATCAGAGGAAATTTTGCTTCCGTTCATTCACGCATTGATTTTGGTTCTCGCAAGCACCAATAAGAATTTCGGAACTCGAAATTATAATTTGTGTTGATGGTGCTATCCTCATGATAAGCAACGTAAAAGAGTTAAACTTTTTAAACTTTATTCAGATATCCCCCCCCCTTCCCGAGATGTCATCCTGCAGTCCCTTAGACTTAAAAAATGAATTGAAAAACAGGATACTGCCTAACAGATCCATTTGAGATGGGAAACGAAACCTATAAGCCAAGAATTCGCTCACTTGCATAAAAGTTACTTACTTGCAACAGTAGAATACAAAAAAAATAACAGAAGTTTAAAAAAGAAAATAACTGCAACTTCACTTAACTTTTACTCTCTTCTTTATGGAACAATTTGCTTTTTAACTAACTTGCCATTTCTGTTCCTTTTATGATTCCAGTTCCATAAAAACAAGATTAGTTTACTGATAAATAGCTAAGGCTGATTTGGGAGATGCTTAATGATAAGCAGTCCAAAACCAAATACTTATAAGTGGGGTTAGAAGTTGTGAAATAAGAAGTTCCCATGGTATGTTACTCTGAAAAATGAGTAATTTTATTCAGTTCCATTTCATTGTCAACGGGATAGCCACTTAAAATAGAACAGTTGTACATTGTAAGGTGACAACTGACAATGGCCAAGACGATTGCATAAAACGAAAAAGTAACACTAAAAATATAAAAATAAACGGAAAAAGAGAGGAAATAATAGAAATCAGGCGGACATTGCAAAGTGAACTTCACTGACAATTGAAATTTGTAAGCAGACATCATAAAACAGGAAAAGAAACATCGAACTACCAAAACCAATTCAGACAACATTACCACTAAATATAGGCTCTGCCATCTGGCATTTGCGGCCTAGAAAATCTGCTAGCTTTCTAATAATTTATGGTTTTGCCTTTTTTCAAGAAAAAATTTATAGAGGGTCTCAACTTTACAATTTTATTTAGTTTTACTCAACCACTTGGGTGAATTAATTAGTAAGTTACCCTTCACAATGCTTTAGTTAATTTTTAAACAATTTAGAAACTTTTCATGCGGAAGAAAAAAGAAATCTGTGAAATAATTTTGAAATAAGTAACTGCGATTATCATCAGACTGATATAGGTGATGTGTTTTGGACATTTACATCCGACGGGAAAAACAGATTCTCGAGATGTTCCTCAGTATTTTTATTCACTTCTGATGACACAAGACTAAAAGGAAGATTTTTCATCCCTTAAACTTTGATCAATATCCACAGTAAAATTCCCAAACCACGTATCTTGTTTGTGGTATTGAAAAATCTCCACTCCGATTTTATTTCTTTGAAGCAGAAATAATCGACATCCTTCCTTGGAATTTTCCAAGAATTTGTGTACTTCGCATAAAAAAGAAATTTCACGGAAGCTTTTAAGAACTACAATTTAATTCTTCATTTAAAAAATATAAATAAAGTATGACAGGAAGTCTGCAACGTCGCAAACCGAGATACACGGCTTAGGAGTTTCACTTCAGAAATGCTTTTCTAGTTGATGATTACAAAGCATGCAAGAATGACTTAGTCTACACACTTGTTCCTTAGGAGATCCTGTTTAACTTCACAACTTCTCTGACAGCATATTTTATTTCCTCAGTCAAGTTAGAAGGGACTACTGAAAAAACAAATCTATGGGCTAAGTCATCCCCTGGAATCAGTGGCAGATCAACAAAACATGATAATGGATAAAGTTTGCAGCACAAAAATCCTTTCTTCTTCGCGGCTTGTTGAAATCATCCAATTCAGGCCCTGAGGAACATTTAAACCTTCCTTTTCCAAGAAGGATAGAAATTTCCAGAACACATCACTGAGAAAGCTCAGCCAAATTTGGTCCAAGACAAATCACTGTTGTACCAAAATTATAAGGAGAATCTCTACTTAAAGATACAAAATCAGTTACACACCAAGTTAACCATAGGATGGGAAAACTTCTTTCTTAATACTCTTGACTAGAATTTGCTGAGAATTCAGTACTTTTTGTAATTTCTAATTCTTAAACCATTGCTCTAATGCCTCTTTTCGCTACATGAGTTTTCTTTTCCGCTTTAATTTTCAGTCCTCTTCACATTATAATACTTTTGTTTTGTTCTAACTTATGGTCATATTTTAAGTTAATGGCAGTATTATTTGCTAATAAGCTGTTATTGTTGTGATCGTCTTTTTTGGTCTGCTCTACATATTATGCAAATAAATAATAATAATTTAATAAATAAATACTAAATAAACTATAAAAATTACAATTTAAAAAAAATTTAAGTAATTCTAAATTCAATTTAAGAAATTACATTTTTAACGATTATTAACACAGTTGTATAATTTAATGAAATTCGGCCACTGAGGGCACTGCAAGAATAGGGGCCTGTATCTAGAAACTGCATGATGAGTAAAACGCTCTCAAAGTTTTGTTAATGATGTACGCGGACTGAGCTTTGCAGGTTCCCCGTTTTTCTGTGACCTAATCCTTCTATTGAAGGATGTCCTGTGGATGTTGCGATACATTAATGGTTTTTGCTATAATATATTTCATTTAAAAAGTCAGTTTATAGGCCTTTCTTCCACCCTATAATCATTTTGGTTAAAATATGTGAAGTATAAATCATAATGATTGATCACAAATGATTAACGCAAAATGAGAGAATACCGATTCTGACTAAACTAAATTATGCCACAGGAATTTAGCACCTTTCTCCTCCCTCGTTACTGACATTGAATCATTGTAATGACTAAAATTTGGTTGATTTATGTTTGAAAATGGTATGATGGTATGAAAAATATAGCAAGTTGATGAAAAATTTGCACAGTCGCATGATAGCAGTCAGGTTGAAAAATCAAGCTTCCACATAAACCAAAAATAATTTTGCCACGTTGGTGGATGCAAGAACGGCCTTCATATGTATGGGCTGCTCCTATACCCAATAATCCACCCAGGTCCAAGGGCCTGACTCATCATGGAAAAAGAAAGATTTTTCAACCTCTGACCCTTACCGATCAATATTCTATCGATCCTACAGAGTAATCCAGGGTATGGAGTATCCAAAAAGCTGATAGGAGCTATTAGAGCCTTAACTTGTATGCAAGTGGTGTTCTCAATTATGCTGATGAAACGACTCAATAAGTGCACCCCTAATTGAACATTGATTAGGAGGCACCATAATAAACTAAAAGTATTCTTGCACATTTCCTCTTCAAAATCAGGTCAGTTATGACATTGAAACGCTCTGAATTACATTGATGAGAATTTGTAATTTTCCTCTTTCAAACAACTTTGATCTATTGAAAGTACCATCATGTCAAAGATAGCCATTCTTGGTTCCAATACTTTTTTTTAACAACCAGGCAGTAATCTGTAAAAAGAAAAACACTTTTTTTAAAGTCATTTTTCTTAACCAGAAGGAACAAGAGGAGAATGAGAGACCTATTGTTTCCGGCAACTTCATCATTCCTCAAAATATTGTACTTTAAAATAAAGTATGACAGGAAGCCTACAATGCAAGTTAAGTTTTGCACTCTGGCCATTGAAACGCCTGTAAAAAATGCCAGTGTATTCCTCCTTGTGTAAAACAAGTGGCTTTCGTACTACAGGGCCCTTTTGGTTTTATAGGCCTTAGCCTGAGAGAGTTTTAGTACCTAATGGCAAAATTGCAGTAGAGTTTGTAGAGTTTTAGTAATGGCAAAATGACAAAAGAGCAATTTTCGATTTCATAATAGGTAACTAAAATTCGGTACAATTGTCAGCTTAATTGAACATGAATACTGAACAACTTCTTTATTACAGAGGATAACCTGCAAAAAAAAAAATATTAGGATAGAAACAGCACACTAATTTTGAATTTTCTTTCATTTCTGCAGATTTTAAAATATCATCATCTGTGAAATTATGGGCCAATAAAGACATCTTCTTATAACATACTTACTTGATAAACTTAGAGGTGGGTTCAGCAAATTTGTTACGGACTAGAAAATTGGCAATCACACCTGCCACTTTATCAGGGTCATCTTCATGGACTGCATGTCCACACCTGGGTAGTACATGCATTCCGAATTTACCTGGAATAAAAAAGGATCATTATTCGGGGCCAAAATGGTTCCTTGAAAGTATATATCTGCAGTCTTTTGTAGGGAACCCCAAATCCTCTTTATTAGGAGTCGGAGTTGGCGGTTTTGGATTATGTACTTTTCAAAGTTCCTGGATCAAAACAGATTTTCTCAAAACTTACAAATCGGAATGGGAGAGTTATCAGAAGTTGAGTATTGAACCATTGGAGTCAAATATAGGAGGTTGTAAAATATTTTTTTCTGGATTATATTTTATTTTTTTCTATTGAGGAGGGAGAAGTTTGGGTTGACGTCTTCCATATTTAAGATAAAGCCTATCTAGGTAAATACAATAAATATAAAAATTGATCAACAAGTGGATTTCTTTCTTAGAGCTGCGAGTAGCTAAACTCACACATCTAGCAGTCAATGAAGACATTAATACTGTTATTTATGGATTAAAATGACTAAAGTTGGATGAAAATATCAAACAATATGAGAATGACGATCGAATACAGTCATTTTTGCAATTTATAAAACCATTTAGAAAGTAGGCACAGGCCTCTTTCTGAGCTTCTAAGTTTATTGATTCATAGCAATAAATGAAAACATGACAATGGATCACTAATCACAGTTAGAAATCAAGCACTTACGTCATATTTTCCCATCAAAACTTCACTTGATACATGCACAAATCATAATTTCATGGACATATTGAAATCAGGATTTGGCTCAAACAATATTGACAATGTTGCATTATAAACAAGTGGGTAATGAGTGCTTTATGGTTTTTTTTTTTTTTACTTTTGACGAATCTTATATTTATTGGTGATAGATTTATATGTGCTCCTTCCTTAAGAGCTTGACAAACAGGACCGTTGCCCTGCTCATCATTAGCAGAAGTAGAAAAAGATTATAGACAAGCATTTGCTAAGTTTATCAATCCAAAATTTTTGATCATTAAAATACCATACATTAGTCTACTAGAATCAAATTGGACACTGATATATTTCCATTGTGCTTTGCAATAATATAATTTTCTGGGTGTATGAATTTTTCTGGAAGATTTGGAAAGACTGTGTACCACAGGAGGGGAAAAGATTTTTGTGCACTGGTCTTCCGTCATTTGCAGAAACTTCATGTTTTATTTTGATGGTTAAATAGACCTACACTGATTTCTCCCTTAGCCAGTGAAACACTTGCCATGACTACACATGCCACTATCTCCCTTATGAATTGAATTTGAACATTTCCAATGAGTTCAACACGTTTGGCGGAGAATTCTGATGAGGAAACATGTTTTGTGATCCTACCATGTCTAGTGATCCAATAATCTTTCAAAGATGGGGATTTGATCCCCAGCAAACTCATAAAAATAATGCAATCAGAATTTCAATCACACAGTTGCTCACCTTGCATCTGACCAACGGTTAAATCTCTATCTAATCGGTCTACATTCGCTAGTATCAGGAGTTTCTGCTCAGGACACTTAAGAAAACTTTTTGAAAGTCCTTGAAACCAGCCAGACCAGTATTTTTCTGTGGCACAAAGGTCAATCCTCCATGTATACGGTCCTATTGCAGCTGGCTCCTGTGGTGTAATACAGTAAATATTATTAATTTACACATTCTTATACTTTAAAATGCAAAATTAAGTTCCTACATTAATGGAGTCAGCCCTAAATTACAGATGTAATAGTCTAGAAGGTGAATAAGAATCTTTGCTACCACTACATAGCAGTAGAATGAAGCAAGAGGTGTTAAGCGAAATGATACAAAAATAATTAGGGTGGTTTTCCCTCAGTTTTAAAAAATTTCGTCTCCGTGGGTGTGATTGAATCAGTGCAGAAAAAATAGAGGGCTGTAAATAACTGTAATGAGAGTTGAGTTTAGACCCCTTTGAAAGCAGAAGTTGAGTTGTCCTTCGGTCATGCGAAACGAAAATTGCACAATGTCTTGGTATAATATATGAAAGGAGCACACATGCTATATACACCACACATCGAGCTAGGATTTTTCTAGAATTCTCAGTCAATGCACTTAATTTTTGGGAAGAGGTGGCGGAGGGTAAAGCATTATGATGAGTTACAGTCAAGTAACATAGCTGAAGTAATCGGATCGAGAGTCACCGATAACATAAGTTAGAGGTGACCACAAGACCGCAGCAATGTCATCATGAAGACTAAAATTAGAATGAATCCGACACCAGGTTTTGAACTCTGCCTGTGAGAAGCTAGGGGTGCCAGAGAATGATAGGGATACATTGCTTAAACTGAATTGGTGATTGGATAGGTCATATTTTTAACATAAAATATTGGAAAGCTGATTAAGAGAAATTGGAATTGACAGATAAAGATATCATTAGAATCTGACAGCCAAATTCTAGCTCAAGTTTTTACCTAACCACAAATAATTTCATGGCTATATTCTTGGACTTTATAAGGTGGTCGAAACGCAAAATTCTAGAATTCAAAGGCATGGGGCGTCTGTCTTTTTTCCCCGCTGGGCGACACAAAGCTTCCAGTAATCACCAATCTAGTGGTGTTGCGATATTGGGAATCAGAGTTCACGCCAAATAAGTTTTCATACTTTAAGACTAACAATAAGACATAAAATCCATATACGTTACAGATATTTGGTAGGTTGTCACTCACCGGTGCTTTGAAGTCAACCTCATCTTCCTTCGATTTCTCTGATCCAGACGATTCTATGATTCTTGATGACTTCACTTCTCCAGCTGCACTGAGATTTACCCCGGTTGCAGCACTGTAAAAAGTAAATAAATCCCTGATGTATGACTAATTTCAAGGTTAGAAGTTATTCTGCCTTTTTCAAAAAATTGGAGTGTGTTGAGACCGCTTTTCAACACAGCAACTGCCGAATCATGGCCCATCATCGAGGTGTTCCAAGGTGTTCGAGGTGCTGGGTTTGAGTACAAACCAAATTTTTATCAACAAATGGTTGTTCCATGCTGTTTGGTCTCACATCAATGCATGTTGCACTTAAGTTGGGACCAGTATTGTATTTTACATGCAAAATTTGGGCAAACAATATTTTCACCTTAATTCTAAAGTTTCCCTGATTGTTCACCACAGTTTACAATTTTTTTGTTTATTTTCCTGGCGTGACAGGAACACACACACGTGTAAAAACACATTAATAGTTGATGTATTGAGTGAAGATAGCTAAATATTATAATAAAGTTCCTCATTATAAAAAAAAAATTACTAAAAATAATTTACATAGTATTTTGTAAATAATGGAGGGGGAGGGTAGTAAAATAGGTGAAATCAAGTATGATTGTTTGTATTTTGCCTTTAGATAACATGCATAAGCAGTTCTGGATGATCTTCACATTCGAGGTATATAATACTTTTGAATATTAGAATTCTTTCTGACTAATTCCTTCCTCTTTTTTCTGCTTTTTCCACAGAAAGTTAGAGAAAAGTAATTTAATTTATTCTTCCTAATTGGATTTGCCAAAAAGTCTTTTCCATCTCACTGTCACTTTCCTTTTACGCTAGCTCTGAAAAATTAAATAAGATGAAACAAAGTCCAAATGGGGGAAATATTTGTCTTAACATAAGTGTAATGTCAATACTTACTTCTTGATTTGTCCTGGAACTGAAACTTTTGCTGATTCAATATTCCTTACTTGATGATTGCGCACACTGAAAATCAAGCAAACAAAATTAGGAGAGAGAAAAAAAAATGTAACTTGGTTAATACAACGGCAGAGAATGATGGAAAACCAATGAGAAATATGAGTGTATTCTTCTTCTGTGTATTCAGGAGTTCTTTGTTTTCAGAGGGAAACAAAGCAAAACTATGAGGAAGAAAGGTTGCTAATTATAGTTCAAGAGCCTGATGACATTGCGTGACAAACTCGGGACACATGTTTTGACTACTTAAATCAAGAGCCTTAAATGCACTGATAACGAAAATGGTCATTGGCCATGTTGTAGCATGTGCCATTATGGCAGACAACCATTCTCTGAGTAAGTGTGGATTTAAGTGGTTAAAGCTTGTGTCCAGAGTTTGTCATAAAATGTTGTCGGGTTCTTGGGCTGTTATTCTAAAAGTTGACACTTTTCACAATCAAAATCAGAGAGCCTTTCATACAAAAATACAGAATCAAAGAGGCTGATTGTCCTGCTAATTTTTGAGAATTGTTATTCATACTTCAATGAACCTACGATTCGGTTTTCAACATGAAAAATCTAAATGGGAATTGTTAATATCAAAATTTCCTTATTGATCCTCATTACGAGCTGATTATCTCCTGATCTAGATTTTAAGACAAGCACTGAAAGAACACCCACAAGGAAGAAGTGATGGATTTTGATTGAAAATTTTAGCCCTGGATCATTCACATCCACAGAGCAGAGGGATTAATCCACCGTCCACATTCATCCTTAATTTATCTCTGATCTATTCATGCCCTCTTGTTTCCATGCGCTGAAAAAGTGAACAAACCTCCACGAGATAGCCTCTTCAATAGAGCTGAAACTCTTAGGCCGGTTCCGAAGGAAAGACTGCATGCTCGACAGTGCGTCCATCGCTGTGCCTTCAACAACATCAATCACAACTAAGCCAATTATATCTAGGGTATGTGACAAGTCTGCAACGTGTACTGCAACTGCTCCTCCCATACTGTGTCCTACGAGAATAATTGGTGGCGAGTCTGATGGGTAGATCGTATTGATGACATCCGCAACATCTCTAGAAAAAACCAAATTCTTTGTGATTCACACGATCAAAATTTGAGTTGGTGATTGTTAACAAGAAAATGGCTTTTGATCCCAAAATATTAAACTTTCATAAGCAAGTACTACTATTGTTTCGTCTAAACTTTGGCAAAAAAAATTCCCAAACCTAACCAGAGATATAAAAATGGGAAGTTTCACTTCAAAAATTGTTTTATCTGCTGTCTTCAGGGCTCAAAATGGTTAAAGGAGGTTTTTCTTGGTAGGGAAGCATGTTGTTCACTGGTTCTTTCTGGTAAATTTTGTGTTAATGTTTAAAGCCAGTTACCCATTTTACAACCTATCGGAGATTAAAAGAAAGAACCAGTCAATCAAAATTGATAGATTAAAATATACCTTTTTTCACTGTCTATGCCACAATTATATTCATCTAAAAATTAACTACACACCCATCAAACTATTCTGTGGAGTTCTAGAGAGACTTGCCTGCTGAAAACACAAATACAGATTTTGCACTCATATTCATAAAAATTGCTCTCCTAGAAAAATATGCCTCCATATAATAGGGTTCCTTCCCTATGGATGTGTATGCTCATGGAAAAAAAATCACTTTAACTCCTCACAATGCCCCATTCAATGTTTTCATTACTGAGGAGTTTTGATGCATACCTTTAGAAAGTCCAAAACTGTCAGCCACATCCAGAATAATTTAATGATGCCTGAGATTAGACTTCATCATCAACTTTGTTAAAGGCTATCGTATTTTAGAAAAAGTGAGGATAGTTACATTCTCAGAGATAATTTAATTTGATAGTCCATATGAGATTTTTACAATACCTGCTCAAATATTTTCCATGAGCAGAATATTGATGGTAAAATTTTTGTTTACCTGTCGGTATTGGGAGATCAAAAACTCCTTCACACTACCTTAAATTTTAAGCAAGTGGGGAATACAAAGCAAGACTTACTTGGAGAGAGTTTCAATTGTGAGGTCATTATCTGCTGTTGTTTCTGTGTCTCCATGACCCCGCAGGTCAATTGCCAGTACTTGGCATTCAACAGCTTCAACTATGTCAACCTGAAAAAGAGAAAAAATCCATCAAGGAATTCTGATTGTAAACTTCACACTTCTTTTTACAGTAACTCCTTGCTGTTTACTATTTGCAGAATTGATGAAATCAACAAGTCAATAGTTATCCGAAGTTTGATGAGATCAATGACTCTTCACCAATATGTAAACGCATTCATACCAGAGAAGTTTATCCTCATTAGAAAAGTACAATATAACCCATTTGTTAAACAGATGACTTAAGTTTTAAGATAAGTTTGAAAAGTGATTCAGAGATAATTTTCTGCCTAAAGGCTAGCATAAATGGAGGTCGGTGCAGGGAAAACAACATGACTCAGCCTGGAGCAGACCGAAGTTGGGAAAAAATAATTCAGAAATTATTTGGTCAATCAGCAATGTCCAATCAATCGTCAATCGGAAGAATAATTTGATGATTGATCCATCTTATAAGGTAGAGAAATCTGAGGACCGAGCATCTAGTCAGAGTTGCCACACCAATTTCAGAATTGCCGAATTATTCGCGCCCAACTCTGGGGCAGACACAGGATTTTTCCTAAAATTCGCCATGAATTAACTCATTTTAAGCAATGCTGCTCCAAGTGGAAATCATATTACGTAAAGAAATTTAACCGCAGAAAATTTAAAATTGCCCGACTGCTTCTAGCTTTAAATGGAGTCTTCGGCAATTTCTTGGGCCGCTCCTAATTTCTAATAGGCTCCTCTTCACACCTGTTGTTCCCTCTCAATTTTGTACGCATTTGAACATTTTAGCAGTCTTGAACTATTTCACACAACTATTCCTGCAAATTTCTTGATGCAGAAGCACATGGACTTCATTTGCACCCAAATAGAAGAAACACTTACTGAAAACAGAGCCCATGTAAGCGCACTGAATCCGCCACCATGCAGAAGAACCAAAAGAGGACCTGAATCACCATTTGAATAGGTGCAGAATTTGTTACCACCCACTGTAACAACATTTCGACTACGAAAATATTTGTCCCAATGTACTGGTGCATAGTCGTACTTCTGCTGTCTCCGGCCAATTCGACTGAAAGTAGAAAAAAGGATTTACTTTTGGTGAACAGGATTTAGGATTTCATTGATAGTTAGTTGGACTACATTTTGCAATTTGGAACTATAGATTCCGGCCCAGTTTAAAAGCAACGCATGTGCCATTAGTTTCCCTATGCACATAAGTGTTTTTTCAGATGAGCCAGAATTTTTAGGTCCAAATTGCAAAATGCAGTCCAGTTATAAGAACCATTCCTCATTTGGCATCTGGCGGTTTGGTTCACCTGAGATCCAACAGCTTTTGATTAGGAAATAGTCACAATTTATTCCGCATTGTCCGGAATCGTATTCACGCAAAAAGGTCGACAACACACTTACTGAAGTTTGCTATATTGTAAAGATGCTTTGGAAGATTTTTCTTCCTAGCCTGGACAGAATACCCAGTCAGGTCTTTTAATTTGTGAGGAAAAACCGCATGACCACTTACTGCCATTGCCATACTTTCTCAATGTATGGAGTGCGATGATAAGTCTATAAAATAGCTTTTTGTATAATTACTAGAGTGTACGCCAGCTAAGTTTACGCATTTTTGGGTTGCAACAGAAGATCTGCCATCTTCAGTTCATCATTAAAAGTAAATAAAATAATCAATTATTTACCTTGTCCCTGTCGGTGGGAGGGTGCCAGAGGACCCCTCCATCAGAGGTGGCAATTTTGATTGCATGAAAGACTTGTGAAACGCTGACATGTTGAAAAAGTGGCTGAAAATCTCAAAGTTTGTAAATCAGTGATGCTTCTCCGATCATACCATGCAAAGGTAACGATTATGATCGAAACTTTTTTTCTGAGTGCACAAACATACTCATATGGATAAAAAAATTCACTCCTGAGAGCACAGAGAGTTGAAGTGTGAAACAAGAAGAAAAACTGAAAGAAAACAAAACAGCTAAAGCCACTAGAATTTGACAATTAGAGAATTTAGCAATGAATCAGAAGGAGGAAATTTTAACCTAAAAAGAAAACAACTGATAGTTGTCAACAAACTTCTAGGATGATGTTTTTGGAATAAATAGTAGTGGCTCCTTGCAGCAGAACACAGAAAAAATGGGTCAAATAAAGTAGATAAAGTGGTCATATTACATTTTTCAAGTAAAATCCAATAAAAGAAATTGATTGAGAGGAGAGGAACCATAATTCGGCATATTTTTTATCACGCTTTCTTCACTGACTGTCACTTTTTACCGATTCATCACATAAAATAGTGTATATTCTTCGGAAAATGCACATGACTGCGAGGGTAAAACCGGGTGCGTTTTGACCTTTTTGACTGTTTGTGAAGATTCCGGTGCGGGATTCCGGTTGACCTTTTTGACTGTTTATGAAAATTCCGGAGCTGAAAGTGCGTATTTTTATACTAACTGTCCTAGAAATATCGCGTCACAAACAAAAAGTAACGTAAATAAACGTAATCGTATCGTATTTGTACTCTATGAATCGTATTCATTCTCATTGAAAACCGTAACGCACTTTCTCTATTATCTCCGTGTATCATTTTCATATTTTACTAAAATTCAAATGTGATGAAAATAACTTAGAGGAGTTGTTCGTAGAACAAAGAAAACGGAGCCATCGTTGTCCATCCTAACCACGAGGTGTCAAGAATTCTCTTATCAGTAATCAGTTGTCAACGGTTCTCCAGAGTGCATGTGACTCTTATCATGAAGAAGCGTCCAGTGTGATATCTGATAAAAGATATCTCATTTTTTTGCTAACAACCATCGTATCATTCTGCAAGTTGGAAGCTCCTCAAATTATTTTCATATTAGTGCACTCTCATCTTCTTTTGGTCCACATCATCATTGCTTCCTTTTCCTGCGATGCATCCCAGAAATATCTATCGTACTCCACCAAATTTCAAAGAACTAGCGCTGCAATTTCCAGAGCTGCGTCCCTATGCCAAACCTGTGAGTAGTTTTTATTAAGTAAGGATGTAATCTAATTGCAGAAAACCAGGACCCATAGATTTTTATATCGTACTTAAAGGCATTCCCTATTGCCGCAGCCCTTCACTTTTTAGTCCCAAGTTTTAGATATATGCACTTGTAGGTTGACAGTCAGTCTCAGAGTTGTATGTTTGTCTATCATAATGTCCAATTCACAGTATCAAACTTTTCATCTAACTTTTGGATGCAACTTGTCAAATAAAAAGTTGGATAATGTGATACTGGCGAGAGAAAACGACAATTTGATGAAAACTTGAATGTGACGTTACATTCAGGGCCGGATTTACCTATAGGGCACTGGGGCACTTGCCCATAGCGGCAAATTTTGAGGGGCGGCAAATTTTAGCACTGGATTAATTGAAAGTTAAAGCGAGAAAAAAGGAAAAAATGGAGACAGAGACGGAGTGAAGTGAAAAGATGAGCGGCAAAATGTATGAAGGAAGGGAGTTGATGCTTGACGGGAGCGGCAAAGCTGCCGCCCCTTAGGTCCGGCCTTGAGCGCTAGGATGATCGTTCGTTGGAGTGATACTAAACAACACGGCAATTTTAAACATTGAGGCAGACTTGATAATCAATTTAGACGTTGATGCTCTGGTTGACAGCTTTGCTAAACTAAAAACCCGGAGAAAAACTTTTTAACCTGATCTTCCGAAAATACATTGCAACTAATACATTGAGCTACACTAGCTTCAACTTTGTCTCCACATTTTATTTTTGTCTCATCCATCCATTCCATTTTATATATTCGCGGCGCATTTTGAAGCAGCTAAGCGCACGCGCCCAGGCGGCGCACGAGGGGGGGGGGCAAGATGAGATGGCGTGGGAAGTTGGGAGTGCGGAGAGGGGGAGGAGGAGATACTGTTGACAATATAGTGGCGAAATATTGCAGACCCAGGGGCGGCAAAATGTAGCTTGCCCAGGGGCGGCAAAAAGCTAAATCCGGTGCTGGAACCAACTCTTCGTTCAACTTTCCATCCAATTGGCGGCGCCAAAGTTGAAACGAAATCTTCCAATCATAATGAGCCGAAGCTGTATCTCCATGAGCCGCAGGCTGATAACGATATCACACTGCATCGGTAATTGAATCAATTTTCTTTTCGTCCAACTTTCCATCGAACTTTTCGTTCAATCATGTTGGATGCAAAGTTTGATAGTGTGAATTGGGCTTTCATTCCAACTTTCCATCAAATTTACAATGCCAATTGTATGGAAAATCGGATGAGGCTGCGTATCTTCCAGAACTGGAAGCTGATCGGAACACCTGAATGTCCATGTTTGGCTCATGACAATATCGCATGGCAACGGCAGCAGAATCAAATTTTTTGCATCCAACTTTCCATCTACCTTTGTCAATTGAAAAGTTTGATCATCTTGATTTGGCCATAAATTTCAACAATTTTCAACCATACTTACGAACTGTACCTGAATGATCGTCAGTATAATATTGACGTCTTCAAATATAAGCTTTCTCTTACCTAATTGATGCTTTGTTTCAGGATTTGAATGGAAAGGTACAAATTGACTTCAAGAATCAAGATGCCCTTCGGGTCTTACTGAAGGTACTTCTCATCAAAGATTTTCAACTGAATATTGAGTTACCTCCTGAAAAACTGGTTCCAACATTACCTCTAAGGTTGAACTATATCCTATGGATTGAAGACTTACTGGAACATGCCGGCCTTTCAAATCCAGTTGGCATTGACATAGGTAACTTAAAAAGTATTTTTTAAATTCTCATTTATCTCCCCCAATCCCTCTTTACTTCTCATTAAAATCGACCTTAATACTTACTTAGTAAAATTTTAGATTTATCGATTGACTCATTACTGTGATCAATACTTCTCTGCTCAAATGAACTAAGTTTTACTTTGCATTGTATACCACATATTCAATATCTTCCAATTCATTCAGAACTGCAAAAAGCACAACAGAAGCAAAATAATTTTCCTTTGGTTTTGTAGTAGGTCAGCAAAACATGATTTTAAATTGTTTTTATCAATTGGTAAATGTATGATGCACCATTTGAAGTTCAGGGTTCTAGATGCCTATATATTTTGTTCTTGCGACTCCTGATCAATTGTCATCTGCAAATGGACCCTCTATGTTTTGGACTGCATCACCGATGTTATTCACACACTTAATATGCATATATTCTGGCAAAGAAAGACACCTGAAATCAACATTGTTCTGCCATATCAGAAGATGATTTTGGTTCTGAGTGAAACAATAAAAAAATTCTGCTCAGGAATGGTAACAGAAAGTCATGCTGTAATTTTTCTGTAAGATTTTTTAGTTAAGTAACTCTCATAGACACAAATCCTCCAAGGGTACAGAATGTTCCAAAACGCCGACTGTACGCAGTTCTGTGATCTGGAGTTTTTGCCTCACAATTTTATATCCGATATTTTGGGAAAATGCCTGGTTTTCCTGTCAAATTTACAATTTGTCCCAATGTTTTAAAGTACTGAACAAAAAAGGAGAAACAAGAGTTTTTATTTTAATTGTTTCATGATCCAACATCATGCTTCATGCTTGGCACAAGCCTTGGATTACGAAATCGGGCATTTTCTGCACTCCTTAAGTTCATGCGAAGACATTGCACATTCTATTGAATTTACATTAAATTGACAGAGTTTAACAGAAATCCAAAAAGTCGTATCAAGTTTGAAGCAAGATTAAAAAATATGAAATTTTATTCTCTCATAATACTCAATGTCAAGAACAAAAGTGACAGACTGTTTGCACTTCAAAATATTTTTTCTTGACCTTAAATTTTTGACAGGAGAAAAATTAACTACTAGTTAAATTTAAATGTACTTCCAACCAATATTTTTCCAAAATGCAACGCGGTGCATTTCTGTGAAACATGATTCAAATGAAGGATCTAAAAATTACTGGCTCCTTTTCATCTCAAACTTTTTTATTCGTCTACTCTGACAAAACGGTTGGCTATGAAAACCTCTTCTAATGGAGCTAAGGCCCCTTTTTTGTTCCACGATTTTCTATAACAGTTGTTTTCATAAACAATTGCTTTTTTGCCTAGGAGTCGGAGCATCCTGTATTTATTCTTTGCTAGCCGCAAAGAAAAATAATTGGCGAATGCTTGGCACAGAAACGGATCAAGCAAGTTATCAAGCTGCTCTCAAAAATGTGGAAATCAATAGTTTGCAAAGTTTAGTAAAAGGTAAGTACTTTTTTGAAAATAGAGACTCAGGTTCAAAGTGGGATAAACAGACCCTTTTAAATTTACTCAAACATCTCAGAAAAAGCACAAAGAAGTGTTTGATTTAAAGTCAATGTCAAGTTCAAGTTATTTTTACCATTATTAAATTGTATTATGAAACTGCTTGCCTTGATGAAGGCCTATTTCCTCTTTTGAAGAAGTTTTCATGTTCAAGAAATCTTCGGAAGAAAACAAAAGTTTGTCTTGCTGAGAAAATTGTATTTACATTTTCAAAGACCACTACGATTTGCTCTTATTACTTTTTAGTAAGTCACACTCCCATCATGAGACCCAGTATAAATGGAAAAAAATTGTCAGAGAGACTATGGTTAGTTTGCTTACTCAGGTAAGGGTCACCCAACATATATGAATTAAAAACATTTGTGTGCCTTTAACCGGTGCCAAACCATTGACAGAACTAGAAATAGTTTTTAGAGTGAATATTAAGGGTACTCCTATGTGCCCCCAAAAATGTAAAAAGCTTCAATTCGTTTATGTGCTTCAGTATTTTTTTTTCTGTGCGGAATGCTTAAAGAGTTGTTTGGGGGGAGGGGGGTCAGCAGGTCTCTTGAGTTTGGTTTTAATGTGCTGCTCCTGCGTGAAGCATTTCTGGTGATTGTCTAGTGAGATAGAGATAAAACTGTGGTTTTTCCCCTCATATTTATGTGATCTACAGGCTGATTATTGAATGTGATCTAGATGAAGGAGACAAAGAGAAAACTGAGTGGTATTGGTGAAAGTGGGTTGTTGGGATGGACGAAGGAGCAGGGGTGCAAAAACTTCTCCACCACACGACCGGGTGGGTCGCCATCTGTCCCTTGTGAAAATGAGAAAGCCCCAAAAATGGTGTTTGGAAATGAGAAAGCTGGCCAAATCGCGATTATTTTGGCAAAACTGTGATAAAAATCATGTGTTCTTCGTAAAATTGCTTTAGAAATTGCTTGCTTTGCTCAAAGTAGCGCCAGTTCATGCGTTCGAGCCATAAAAAAGTCATATTTTCGAATATTTTAGAGAAAAAGGAGGTTTTTAAAATGAGGAGGCCAATTTAAAGAATGGGAAGGCCTAGAACTTTCTGCACCCCCGCAAAACAGTCAAGTTACATTCTTAGATCAACCAATGGAAACTTCGAGAAACCACATAGTTAGCCTATCATTATTCTATACCAACCATTTGTTTCAACCAATAAGATCGCTCCATTTTCCCTTTGTCTTTTTTGTCTATCAATTTCAACCATCAGCCTACAGATATTAAATTCTTATAAGTTTGTTTTCTCTGTTTAGTGGTGCTTGTGAACGAGGAAACCATTCTAGATGGAGCAATTGATGAAGCAGAAGATTATACCTTCTGCATGTGCAACCCTCCATTTTTCGGCAGTATGAAGGAAGTTTCCGGGAAATCAAGATCGCCTAACTCCAGAGCTCCTCCAAGGAATGCCCACACTGGCATTGAAAACGAGCTCGTGACTGAAGGTGGAGAAGTTGCTTTTGTTGGTAGAATCATTCATGATAGCAAGAAACTGCAAAATAAAGTGAAGTAAGTTTGTAAACTTTTTCTGATTTCTTAACTATCGTAGAATCCCAATCATTTGCATTGTTTGGTATAATTCTTGGTACCTATGGGTAACTGGACTGTAAGTACTGAGGAGTCCACTGTATCATTCAATTTTTGTGAATTTTAAACTCAGTTACATGAGGCTTATGCGAGAATGTAGGCTAGTAGGTCTAAACTTTTGCACATTGTTTTTTCAAGTGATTCTGTTCGATAGTTTTTCTGCAATAAATTGGACAAGTTTGCAACGTATGGTAGATAACATAGTGCCTGGGCGCAATTGGCGCTTGTGACACCTGTTTTGGCCAGCAGGTGACAAAGTATATTTTGCCCCTAATTATTATTAAAATTAAAATTATTAAAATGCTTTTTAAGGATTATTTGAAACCTTGGAAGTAATTAATGTGCCATAAGTTTTTTGTTCCAGTAATGCATCATGTACATTTAATTACTTACCCGCACCGCTCTCTTTATTTACAATATCTATAACATAAGCACAGTTTCTCAGCTAGCATTTAATTGATTTCTTCTTGCCATAACCTTTCAGAAATTATTCTTCAAATCTTAATCGATTTTAATTGTAATTAACTCCTTACTCATTTCATTATATTTCTTTTTAAAAAGGATCTACACAAGCATGGTGGGCATAAAAAGCAACCTAAAAAAACTAGTCAGCCTCCTGAAATCTACCTCAGTTGAATCAGTCACGCAGACCACTTTTTCTCAAGGCCGGACAATGAGGTGGGGAGTTGCCTGGACTTATGATAAAAGTGTCCGTTTACTCCCTGCTCCCGTGTCTAAGAAGTCAAAAGACAAACCTCTACAGCAGGAGTTTCACCCACCTCATACTCCAGAATCAGTGGAAAAAGATGTTCTAGCACTTCTGGACAAACTTGAAGTAAGACCCTATAAGCTTAACCAATCATTGTCAAAAGCTTAATGAAGTTCTCGTATGTGTTGGAAATTTGCAATTTTAGTGCCTTTTCTTTTGAAAATTTCGCAAGGAACACAATGATGCTGCTGGTTTTCTCTGAAATCAACTCTCAAGCTGAAGAAAAACTCTGAAAATTCAGGCCATCATGGAGAGGATATCCCATGCTGCATTGAAAGTCCAGCTCTACATTTAGTCTAATTCTCCATGCACAGATGGGGAGTAATGTATTTACTTCTTATCTGTGCATGGAGAGTTTGACTAGGTATACAGAGGTGGACTTTCAACGTAGCGTGAGGTATCCCCTCCATTACGGCTTAAAATTTGAGAGCTTTCTTTGAGCCTGGGGGTTGATTTCAGAGAAAACCAATGGCGCCATCAAGTCCCTCCCAAAATTTTACTCAAGGAAAAATATGTAAATTGCAAAGGTCCCACACATTCAAGAACTCCATTCTGTCAAATTTTTATTTTCTCTTAAGTTTTAATGTGGCATTTTACTGACCTTCCGTCAGTATTCGAGACAGATTTTGTCTCCCCCACATTCCAAAAGAAATACCTAACCTCCCACAGGGCCGCAATGTCGTCACAGTGTTAATTTGGAAAATAACGTTGTGACCAAGTTTTTGCATTCATTCTACCAGGCGAGTTTTCGATTCTGTATGATGTTCCTTGGTCACTGCCTTGGTCAAAAGCCAAGTGGTAAGCTGTATCTTTTTATGTCTGCTGCCTTTTGTCTGTGATTTGTCCACCCCGGCAAATTGCTGCCCGGAGCTCCAGCCCCCAAAGCTTCCTTTTAAATCCAGTCCCAGATGGAGTCAGGTAATGCAGGGCTCCAGGTGGGGGCGTTAAATTTAATTAGACCATATTTTAGTACCCTTAGAAATGTAGGTATATAGCATAGTTTTCTGCAAAGAGAACTTTAAAAATTAACTTTTTTTTGAACTTTTAGATGTTTGTTCCAGCAAACTATACAGAGCCAATCTCAGTAGATATCGAACCATGATTCGGTCAAATTTTACTCCCTTACCTGAAGTCTTCTTTTCCCTGACTCGGTCACTAAGTTTCAAATCAAAAAAGTGCCACTAAACCTTTTAATACATTTTTCCTGGACAAATCTGTGGATGAATAGGCATGGCACCTGGTATTTGTTATTTTCAGTAGCCTTTTTCAAGTTAAATATTTAATCAGTCGACACTGTCTGCTATCGATGCAAGATGATGACAAGCGTGAAATTAACTGAAACAGGACCAAAAAATGAAAAGTATATTCCTGTTCTGTTTCTTAATTATTGTAATGTGAATGAATGTATGAATCAAGCAAAATATGAATACGTATAGACAGAATCAATATCATGTTTTTTGCAAGAAATTTGTCTGGAGTCCCCTCATCCTCACAATTTTTTCTCTTACTTGTGTCCAATATTTGGCATGAAACTTATGGTTTTGTCTTTTTCTATTTCTCTCTGACAGATCAAACATACTGAAGTGAAGAAAAAAAATTCCTTGAAAGTGTTTGAGCTAACTGCCTATAAAAATACCTGGTCACATCAACGCAAATTAAGGCGAATGGCGAAAAGGAAGCAGCTTGTTGAGGAGAATTCAACCAGCATGGACATTGACGAATCCAATGATCCTGCAGTTAACAGCGAATCCAGTTCACCAATAATGGTGGACGCAGAATCCCTCTCACCAGAATCAGGAACGGAGAGAAAACCCACTGACAAATTAGCTGATAATTATCTCAAAAATTCTGAACAAGATTATAGTTCCTCTTTGTGTAGTTCGCCAAATAAACGCAAAATGAGCCCAGCCCTTCTTGAGGAACAAGATTCTGGTTTAGACCTAGATCATGAGAATCTTAAAAAATTGCGATTGGACGATGGCAAGAGTTGGTTCGATTATGCTGGAAATGATCCTTTGCTAAGCTGTACTTTAGGAATAAGAGATCTGAAAACAAAGGTTCTTGTAGATATGCTTTTCAGTGATGGAACTGGTGGTAAGGAAGCCATGAACCAAGTTTTACTGTACATCAGAAATAATATGAAACAAAATACAATCTAAACTTGCTGAATGTTCACTTTGATTCTTCAGTTTTTTCCCTTAACCTGTTTAATTCCAAAAAGCCTTGTCTCCATGGGACGTTTCGTGGGGTTTGTCCCGAGGAGAAATCTCATTTGCAAAGTTGGGAAACATATTAGGTCAGTCAATACTAATCACAGCACCAGGAAAAATCCTTGTGGTGTCCTAAGAGCTCTTCAGAGAAAAGAATAAGAAATTGTGTTGTTTTGTTTAACAGAGAAATAGCCCAGAAGTTTCATTCCTGAAGGTTCGATTCGAACTTGCGACGGATCCCACAAAACACATCCTATGGAGACAAGGCCAAAGGCAATCGCCCAGCAAAAGTTACAAGAACGTAATCACAACGTTAGGGTCAAAAGTAAGGTTTTGGCTTCGTTTTCGCCATGTTACTGTCAGTGGACGTTGGGTGAGAGGGCTGAGGGCTGCCCAAAAGGGGGAGGGGGGCTGGGGGTTCAAGAACAGGCCATAAGAAAAATCTACACGTACAAAGCCTGAGCTCTCAACTTTCAAACCTAAATTGCAATTTTGATGTGTTCAATTTCATGATTATCCGAGTGTCAAAATCCTTGCTGGTCATAGAAGATGCCTTTTTTGACAACCTCATGGGATTGTTATCAAAATTTGTTCCTTTAACTAGGTTGAAAACGGGTGGCTCTACGTCAAGGTATTGGGAGAGCAAAATAACAGTCTTCATTCCTTTTCTTTAGAGGTGGGAAGGTGAGAGATACAAAGGATGGCAATGATGAGATGCTCGTTGGCACTGCACGCATTGTTGAACATATTGTGTGTGGTTGAAAATGATGAGAAAAAAACTACGGTTTACGTTTTTGGCACGGTAGCATCAAAACAAGGATCTAGAATTACGTTCTTGTGTAACTTAAAGATTTTTTTAATGACTACAACATTTTTTTGGCATATAAAAGACATGTGCTACAGCTCGTCTGTGCGGCTTACTCAACACCGGCAAAAATTGAGATACTAGTCTTAGAAGTTACACCATAGGTATACCAATTCCAACAAAGCTTACTAATTTGCACAGACCTACTTTTGACCACAATATTCTTAACTTTAAACTGCTCATTTCAGGTCAACAGAAGAACACTGGTAATTAGTAGGTTTCAAACCAAATTAATTCAGTGAGGAGATAGTGGGTAGATCTGCAAATTACACCTCCCATACAGATGGTTTTGAAATTTTATAAGAGAAGAGACTGCTATACAAATTATCAGCAGCAACCTCCTCAGGAGAAATCTTGGATTTTTTGTAGCACTGTCATGAAGGTTCCCAGTGCTAGAATATTTCACATCATTTTCAAGCTAAAGGAAGAGCATAACAGAGGTCTTAATATTCATAAAATTTATTTTTCAAAATATAAGTTCACAAATCTTTTGAGCAAATACAAACAACTCTGCTTTATAATCAAAGAACGGTTTCTAAAATCAATAACATATAAGTGCTCTTAAACAGACATTTCAAAATGGAAATGAAATTTCAGCCTGGAACTTTGTGTGATGATTTTTCAGATAATTTGGACACATTCATACCTAGAGCTATCTGAACAAGAGATATATCTTGGATATGTATAAGCTTGCATTCCTGCCATCAAAAAGATCTTGCATAACATTTAAGATATGAATTGATATTTTGAAGATTGTTCAAATGTGCTCTCGAGACTTAGTAACTTATCTGAGTGATTATTTTTTATTCACTGCTATTAGTAGAACACATCTGTCATTTGTTATTATCAAAGTATTAGTGCTGCTTTTTCGATCTGAATATGTCTGGATCTTGACCCGAACACAGAAATGCATGTACATATCCAAAACAGTCTGAAACATCATCACACGAAGTTCCATTCTAAATCTTGATTCACATTTGACTCGAGAAGCATCTCAGGTTAGTGGGCAGCATTTTTCTCAGCTCTATAATGATAACAAATAAAAAAAAAAATTTGATGATTTCAAGGTAAGTAATACTAATACTGAGGGAAGTTAAAGCTTGTTCAAAATTTTCAATACAGGTAAGGTAATCGATTTTTTCTAATAATAATAATAAAAAAAAACAAGGGTCAAAATAGAATTAAAATGATTAAATGAGACTCCTGACATATTTTCATAGATAATAAACAAGGTTTGCTCAAAAAATAAGTTCCGTTCTTTTCTCTCTTATTTATGTACAGATTGAGAGAAGTGAAAAAATTCATCAATGGATGGCAAGAACAACGAATTTCGAACTTTCCGATCAATGCAATCAATACTAGCACTTTCATAAAAATATTGTTATAGTACAATTCTCATAATTTGATTTAAAATATTATTCTTTGTGATATAAGAATCTCCTCTAATTTTTAAATTTATAGTTCTGTTGGTAATTGAACTGAAAGGAGGAAAGAGAAACAAAGGTACTACCATCAATTTTTTTCTTTTTTTTTTTTGCCAAGGAGGGAGGGGATTTACTTAACATGGTTTTTCGGCACTTCGTAGAACAATTCGGTGGTCAGTTCATCTATTGATGATTTCCATATTTTGGGACATTCCTAAAGAATTTTGGAGTATCACTTCATGATGAAAAGCGTCAGATATTTGTGTACTCAATTTTACCAAGAAGCACTTCAAAATAACTCCGAAAATGAGTCCTGATTTAATATTTGCTAACATTTTTACCATTCGATTTGCAATATTCACTCAGGTACTTTTGAAGCTGTTTTAAATTGATCATTGGTCAAATTTTGTGTGAAAATACCTGACACATTAGAGCGTGATGGGATGTGTTGCATAGAAATTCTTCAGAAATGCACAAAAATCCAAGGATTATCAATTGATCGATCAACAACTGAATCGTTCTCCAAAGTGCAAAAGATCCACCTTAGCGACAAAAAGAGGAGGAGGAGTCTAATAATTGGAAAAGAAGCCATACAAATGACAACATTTATGGATAGCTTCAAAAACATTCAGTTGGAAGTATAAAAATTTCAGTTGAATATCTTAACTAATTCCCACCAAGTAGTTTCCATTGTTAAAGTAGAGTTGGGACACTGAATGCTACTTGGGTAGTTGAACAACTTTTCTCATACTGGCTCAAGGTATTCTAGACCTGGCTATTCAACTAAATCTATCACAATAGCTGCTTTTATCCCTAGTCTGAAAAAAATGAAGAAATTCAAGGTCAACATGAAGATTACTTAATATGCGAGTACGATTATGTTGGACAATGCCTCATACAGATTCATACGAGAACAATGATCCTGCTTTTTCTTAGAGTCTAATAAATCCGTTTTCACGAGTAGAAAAAATACTAAAAATAAATTGCAATGCACCATAGAACCTACTTCATTCCTGAGCATGGTATTTCAAACTCGGGAGCTGGTAATCTTTTTGAATCGAACAAAATACCTTCATTTGAACAAAAATACTAACTGGATTTACAATAACAGGCAAATTAATTTTTTGACTAATGAGACAAAAGGGCACAATGCAATCACAAAACTAACTCTATCGCATTAATTCTAATGAGAGTTATGCCTCGACTGCCTCGGAATTTGAAACAGTTCTAACGCTACGTTAATGCAAGTTTAAATCTAAATTAATATTAAAAATAATAAATAAATAATTTACATGGGAAGAATAATTTACAAGAAATTAAAAATTAAAAGTGGAATAAATATACAAAAATACTTTTCTGATTTATCAACAAGTCTTGATTGCTCAGAATTATTGAAACAAATTCTTGTTCGGATGATCCAGCTGAACTCTGGCTAGTCTTTGCTGGATTGCTTCGAATGTCAACTCGGCCGATGAGTCCTGAAACAAAAATCAGAAGTATTACCGATCCAGCAAAAGAAACAGAGAGGAATCCAAGCCTTCACTTTAAAGTATTGCATGTTATGTCAGTCATAATGACAAAGGAGTTTTTGCCGACAGTGCGCCTCACAACAAAACCGTCTGACAGCGCGCAGTTGACAAGACCTGTTTAGCGCTTTTTCCAATTGTTGGTAAAAATTTGTCCCTTTTTAGCCTATTTCCCTGGCACAGTAAAAATGGGTATGTAAAACTGATGATGCTGAGCCCATGAAAGAAAGAAGCAATCCTTTTACGTACTACCAAATTGACTTGTAACTTATTTCAATCCCAGTGACCTTCAGATAAAGAAATATATAAAAATACCAAAACATGATAAAACTTACAGTCTGTTTGTTAGAGTTGATATTTTTGGAGGCAAAAAGAGAATTGGAATCATTATTTTGAGAGATTTTCGGATTCGGACTTAGGGCAGAGAGTTTGGGCGTAGAGCTGAATTGAGCTTGGAGACCTTCGAGTCGTTTCTTGTACCTTAAGAATTCATCCCCGTCATCATTTTTTCCTTCAAAATTCCCATTATTCTCATAAAATGTCTTACTTTCGCCTTCTTTTCCTGAAAATAAAAAACAAGAACAAATAGAAATCCTAGTGCTTACTGATTACCATGAGGTAATAGACAATGTTGTGATCAAAATAAAGAAAACACCAGCTAACATTTGAGTGATTAATGGCCGAGCGATTTTGCTTCGTAAGTGAAATAAAAGGGAATATTTGTAATTTTAGCAACACATCACATGAATGAAGGTATTCCTTTTTAGGACAGAATAAATTATGTGCTTATGATGACGTATGACTAGAGCTTGGTACTTGGTGAAGTTGTGATAGTTGCGCAATATTTTTGTGTGCAAGGATTTAAATTTTTTACTTAATGCAACTTTTTATTTTTGGTGCTTGCACGTTTTCCTTAATCTTCTATTAGACCAGCAAAATTTAGGATTTATGAACAGGGATTAGAAGGAGATTAGTGAGGTCAAAGAGATTAAGAAAAAAATCATTTAGGCCCATCTCACCTGATAAGTCCAGCCTGTTTGTTTTTTTGCGTTCTTCTTTGATAGTTTGAAGTCCTTGGTGAATGTAGTCTTGGAAGAACTTACTTGACTTGGATAAGTGTGGTTCAATGCTGATGTCCGGGTTTTCACACATAAGGTCATACAATAGATTTAAGCCCTGTGAAGAAAATCAAACTCAATTAAAGAATTATAAATTGAGCCACCGAATTCATGCTGCCAAGACAAAACTTAAGTCCACGACCCCCATCAAGTTTATTGAGATGTTCGAGCTAAAGAGCTTAAACAGCTTTTCAATATTCGAAATTACTTTCTCAAAGGAAAAGCTTACTGTTTCACTGAAATGAGAGAATTGCAATTCTGGAAAATTAGACCCAAAATTCAAGGTGAGTGCTTTCGATTATTTTCATAGCTTTGAAAATCAAATCATAGCACATAAATATCAAGGAAATTCGAAGGCTTAGGAGAGTTCTGTCTGATATGAAGAACATATTCATTCCATCGTTTGATGATATTAGGTGGTTTCAGGGTTTGAGAGGGGTGATAAATAACGTTGCTACTAACCACTTTGGTTTCTTCTTGTGATCCTATTTTCTGGAAGATATTTGTCAGCTGATCTTGGACTTGTTTCGATAAGTGTGTTTTAGGAAGTCCATTTGATGTTTTACCATCTTCGTTTTCACTTTTCTTGCTTCCGTTTTCATTTGATGCGTGCTCCTCAACTTTCAAATGCTTTAAAATATAATACAAATAATGAGAAAAATTTCAGTTTCAGAATTATGCTAGAATTATTCAAGTTAAAATGAAAGATTGATTCTGCTATACTCCAGGGTATTTCAAAGATTTTTTAACGTCAGAGGCGAATTTTCATGTTAGAACATGTTACGATCTTTTGTCATATTCAATAGAGGTTCATCTTTTCTTTCCGACCGATTCGACTTTTTCGAGAAGCTGTTGTCCCTCTTTTTTCTTTCTTTTTCTTTCATTGTAGCAGAACATGTTGGTATTGAAAAATAGAGAAGAAATTAATATCATCGATTCTCTGCCGCGCAGCTTGAAAACATCATATTTAAATTTAATATTACTTAGTGTGCAATTATTACCTCTAGTGATGTTAAATTTGTTAAAAATTACGAGTACAGGGCAAATTTATAAATAAATATAAATTTAAAAAAAATATAGTAACAGATAAGATGGATGCCATGTTTTTTCTCGGCCTGTTCTGGACAAAAGGAAATGACCCCTTATTTACTACGTTTTGAATTTTGTTGATTCATCCATTTTTGATTCTGATTAGTTGAAAAATTCACTGGACATCAGCATCACATGGCACTCACCAATTCAAAATGCACCTCATTTCCAATGCAAAATTTGCAAAAGGCCTTCGATGACATTAACCTACACATAAAAATGCCCTCAAGTTCTGACAGACAGACTTCATTAATTTTGAATCCATTGATCTAAACATGACCTCCATGTTTTGGGTCTCTGTTTTGAGGTACAACCTCTAATTTATATCCTCTAAAAAATCCATTCAACTACCCGTATAAAACTAATACCATTATTTTTCAGCTGATAGGAAGGGTGCACTTTTTCATCCAGGTGTCTGATGAGCACTTTCACTTAGTTTTCTTCACGGAAACCAAAAAATGACCTCAGTTTTTTCCCATTGACCACTAACCTTTTGGAAAATCAAATTTTCTGTGTTGGTCGGAGACTAAGAAATGCATTTCTGGGAAAATTCAATTTCTCAATATGAGGGTTTCATGATGTTAAATGGGTTTATGGGGGTTATGTGATTGAGTTTGCAAGTGAAAAGACCGCCCTCTCCCCCCCCCCCCCAAAAAAGACCAAAAAAACCAAGGTCATTTTAGGACTCAGCAATACAAAATTAGCAATGTTCCGTTATCAAAACTTAATCCTTTTCATCTTTCTTTGTCACTTTGTGTAATGCCTCTGTTTACCAAGTCATATTTTTTTCATGAAAATAACCAATGAAGGTGGAAGCAGCTGTCACTACAGACTCTAATTCTCCTAATAAGTTCAACATGATTTTTGAGCATTTTTCTACGGATAGCAACTCATATGAGCTCCAGCAGAAGTTTGCAACAGTCATATTTATTGTAGACTAACAAAACCTGGGAAAATTTCTGCAGTTATGGTGATGAAGCATCTACTCCGTTACTATCTGGCAAAAAGTACTTCATGGCTGATCAAGTGATCAACATCCTTGAAGCAAAGAAAAATTCCTATTAGAAGCTATACTTACTTTGAATAGTTTATTAGCATAACAAACAAGCTCTGAATTTTCACCGGGATGATTTGCCACTTTCCTGATATGTACATATAAGTCTGTGCCTTTACATTTTACCATAGTATGAAGCACTGTTTTAAAAGTTCTAAGAGGAGTATCAGAATCTTGCTGCTTCCAAAATGATGATGGATATTCCTGAAAATCATGAAAAACAAATATTCAGTATTTCTTGAGTAAAGCATTTTCCATTTTGTAAAGCAGATATTATGAAAGAAGATCTAAAACACAACCAAGAATTTATTTATCAGCCCCGAATTTTTCCTCTCCGTTGACTTAAAATTGCACAAGAGGTCCGACCTAAAAATCGGGTTGTAAAAAGTAAAATTTATGTAAGTTTGGCAAACTATCAACTTGAGAAATTTTGTGGATAGAGGTGAAGAGCCATTCATAAACATTTTTGTGTTTTTTCCCCTCATTCCCCTTCTTTTTTTGTCCTTTTTCTTTACAGGTAAGGTTTTAAGTTTTTACATGGGTAGTAAAATTGTTCAAGTTTTCCAATCATCATTCTCTTGCTTATTGAAATTAATTGCTCTGATAACACAACCTACGAAGCCCCTTTTCTCTTCCAAAATAATTTTTTTCTATTTTCTTTTTTGTTAGTAATATTGCTCAAAAATAAACACAAAGTTGCCTATTTGTTTTACATTTGCAACTTGAATTCACCAATCTTTTACTTTCATAACAAAGCTTAGAGCAGACGTAGACTCTTCTTCAACTTCAAGTGCCTTTGCTGTTTGTGCTTTATGAACACGGTTGCAATAACTATCACCATCCACAGAGGCAGAAAATGCCAATCCTGCGTCACCGCTCACCAGGAGTTATGAAAATGGAGCGTGACGCAAACAATTTGGAAGAATGGAGAGTTAAAAGTCTAAATTCAAAGAAAAAAAGATGGAAAGGGTAAAAATTTTTGAAATTTACGGGAACTCTAGTGGAAAGCCGATGAAAGAAAGGAAACCTGATAGGCAGGCACATGAAAATGTGAGAGCTTGGCAGATTCTGCACCCCCGTAATTATCAGGGTAGGAAAAAAAAATTACCTTCATAAACGCATTTATCACAAATAGTATTCTATCGTAATCTATTTCATCAGACCATTCCGGCAGTTTTTTCAATAACTTCCAGACACACTTCATGACCAGTTCTTGAAAATGCGCTGAGTATTTATCAGATGAGATGCTCAGATGCAGTAATTTAAGTAGTGCACTGGAATCAACATCAGTAGAAAAATTAGGACAAAGTAAAAAGGGAGAAATAATAAACCAAAATTATTCTTGCTTATTATGTGGCATGGGCAGTATCGCAAAATAAATGGAAGTAACAGCTCCAGCACTATTAGGTGTAAAAAAATTATGTCAGAATTTTTTGGATTCCAGCCCCCATTTTTTTCCTGGCCAGCCATTTTTTTTCATTTCAACCCCCTCCCCCCCTTCTATAATAAACCTCATATTCAAATCAATTTTTCCAAAAGAAAAGGGAAAATCAGTTTCATCAATGAAATGTAAATTTATAAATTGGTCAATAAAAGCAATAAGAGTAGCTGACCTCACACCATATAATGCAACTCTAAGCCTCTCGGTAAACCTGGTAATTATAATTTTCCTATTCAAAATGAATTTACAAGATTCAAAGGAATTAAATTACACCATTTAAAGAAATTCATGTAACAGAACAGAATCACAATTGCTCTTAAAATTTTATCTTCCAGCAAAGATGAAGAATGGTTGAGTTTTACTGACCAGATTACGTTTGAGTGATCTGATCGGTCGATGACTCGAAAAACTAGAGAATTCACAGCACGAACAAACATTCCTGTTGAGTTATCGCTTCCCTTCTTCTCTATCAACAGTGATATAAGCTGGATCAAGAGTTGCTGCAATGACCCTTCTGAAGCTTTAGTACACAGCTGAGGATGGTTATAAAGCTGAAAAATGAGAAATATTTTATGATAAATATAATTAGGGGAGTGAACTGGTTCAGACTCATTAAAATCTCTGAGAGAGATTATAATGATTTGGTGAAATAATAAATCATTGCATTTTCATCTTCCTGTCAGAATTTCTGAGTCAAAACAAAGCCCATTTGGGCACCGAAAAGAAAGTCTTAATAGGACTGAATATTTGATTATTCTTTGGCCATAAATAAGATACTTGATGTTCGGCTAAAACTGGTTAGGTAAAATTGGTCAAGGTAGCTACAACGTCCCAAACTCCTAAAAAAGCACAATTTAATAAGTCAGAAAATAAGGAGCTTATTGAAATTATCAGTTTCACACTGGTTGATACAAAAAGCATTAATGAGTTCTGTGTCCGGCCAAACATCCAAAGCTTGAGAAACCAGTTTCCCTCTGTTAGTAGGACAATCTATAGGAATCTTTCGTAGACTAAAAGAGAACCCAAACTGAACGTTTGTCAGAAAATATTTTCAGAACTAGAAAAAAAAATTTTGCAGTGCTTTTAATACTGAAATCATGGGTAAATTTACCTTCAAAAGGAATGATAAAATAGCGTTATAATTTTGTACAAGCTCTGAATGATTCGATTCACTAAGAAGATCTAACTGTTTTGCTAATTGAAAGACTATTTGCTCTACACAATTTCCTAACGCCTCCTGAAACAAACAAAAGATGAGGAATTAGTTTCTCTATATTGAGAATCTGAAAACTGAGCACATCGTGCGTGGCACTAGCCCTGAGTTAGCAACCCCTGGACTAAATTCGTTAAAGAGCATAATGAAAGCTGTCTATAATTTCTAGAACTGAGCTCCATTATTTAACCTCTATTTTAAGAGAATATTCGCACAGAAAACAGGAGTTATGAAGTGCCCACACTATGATATTGGTATACAACCACTAGTTTAATCCACCAGCAGGCGAATAATGCTTGCAGCTTGTGAAATGTCCCACCAGTTCAATATGCTTTGATTTTGAATACATTAAAAAAATGAACTTTGAATGCATTAATTATTATGCATTTATTAAATATTTAATTCTTTTATATTTATGAAATTAATGAATATATTAGCTACAAGTGAATTGAATTAATAATCTCTCACTATAAGGCTGCAACACCTTAGAAGGTTCATAAACCAATTTTTGGACTTCAAGTCCCAAAGAAATGCTCTTAATTAATAAAAAAAAAAAAAAAAACAAACAAACAAACAAACTAATAAAGTAACAAACCTGATCAGAATTAAAAACAGCGTCCAGCTCCTTGATTGCATTTACAGAAGTATCCACGTTAGCATTGTATAAATTACTGATGATTTTTTCTACTTTGGAATTCTCATTTTTAATCGGGCTAGTGTAGAAGCCTGCAGACATTGGCCGCAATGGTGACACTACTGGTTCAGGCTTCCTCTTAGAGGGCGACCTTCATGTCCATAAAAATAGAAAAGAAAAGATAGAAAGTAAATTAAAAAAAGTTCAAGCTGTTGAAACAAACTATGTTCCATCCCTTTGAGAAGACCCTTGAGGTTACGAAAATTGAAGATATGGGAGGCTTCAACTCAAAGAGGGCTACTGGCTCATATATAAAAAAATTAATTTGACACAACGGTAATAACAATAAAAAATTACCTTAATCTCATTAACAATACGCTCATGCCATACCAGATAGATAGAATTAGACAAGATGTACGAGTCTGCTGATGTACATAATAATTGTTTAGAATTACTGTAAATGAACTGTGCATAATTTTACTTTATCTTATTAAACTGTCTCAGGAACCAATTTTACTTCCTGAAAATTGATTTTGTCCGGCTTCAGATCATGCACCTTAGCCTTACTTTTTCTTATTCAGCCGATTAGAGAGCATCTCAGAAATTTAAATTGGTCCGGGTACTTCTAAGGTCTATTTGAGTGCAATTTCACGGGACTAACAAAATTTCACTTCGGGAAAAAATTATTCAACATTTCAAGAATTCAGTCTTTAAGATACTTTTCTATCTAATGATACTTTTTTCCTTCAGCAAAAGAAACAAATGTGGGTCAAAGGAATAAATGAGGACAAATTAAAAAGGAATATACTCACATCACATGAGGTTCCGACAGGAAATTCAAGTCTAGCTCAGCTAATTTAGGAATGTGATACCGGACAGGTGTGGCTTCAATCTGCTCTAAAATTGCTGAATCAAGGCTAAAATGAGGTTCTACTAATGGTTTCGGTGATGTCCTGTAAAGAGAAACATTGCAAGTTAGCAGAGACAGCAGGGTCAATCAGATGACCTGACAGAGAGAGAAGCGCACCTCAGTTACAGGTCTTGGGATGTGCTGATGGCAGTGTTTTTAGTATCGCTCTTGAGATGAGGATGTGCTGAGCTAGAATGCACCCAGCTGTTGCTGCCTGATATGCTTTAACAACATAAAAACGGGTAGCATTTCTGTCAATGGAACTCTGGTAAAAAAATCTGGTGTTACTGAGCACAGTCTCACAGGGACAGTAAAGTGAAGGCAAAGTAGTTTTGAATGAACAACAATAAGAAGGTAGCCTTGGAAGTTTAAGGGCAAAGAACTTCTTGCACTCTTAGCATTTCAACTTGGTGAGGAATAACTGTATTTAAGATCCCTACATGAAGAATGTTCCTACAAAAATGATGAGTCTTGAATGTGCCTCATGTCCTGCAAAGTCAAAATCTAAAAAAAGGGGGGGGGGAGGGGAAAAGAAAGAGTAACTTGCTGAAGAACAAACCTCCTTTCTAATGGAGGCGTAGTTTCAGCGTAGTTTTGCTCTTCATCACTCTCCGAATCTGCATTGTTGAAAGTCTGCTTCATTGGGGTTGGCTGCATTTGCGGTTCTGGCTGTACAGGGACTCTTGAAGCTTGCGGAGTTTGCTGGATTGGACGAACGCTAGCTACTGGCCGATTCCGGCTCATCCGTTTAATCCTCTCCTCCAGCAGAGACATATCTTTGTCAGAGATCTGGAAAGGAACGAAAATAAACTCACAAAATTATAAACTAACACAACAATTGATTGATGTCACTAAACCATTGGACCCTGATACCACTTCCAAGGACCTTTTCTTTACAGTCCTAAAAATAGGAGTTCCAGAGATTTCCAAAGTCCTGCTTTTGGAGCGTATATGTAATATAGCCTTTTTGCAATCGTTTCGACCCCCTCCTCAATACTATGTATTGAGTACCTTGGTTTCTTGCCGTAGAATGACTGGCAAGCTGGCTTCAAATTTTTTGAAGCGTGTCAAAAATTAACTAATTCGTCAACAATTAATAAGATTAAGGCAAATACACTAAGTTAGAGTTCACTGCTTGTTTTCATTACCTTTCCCTCACTTTGTATTTACCTTAAATGCATTTTTGCGCACTTGCAAGAAACAGGATCAAATTATCATAGCTTTACGTTTCAAGAAAAACTAGGTGAGCAGTGAAAAAGAAATTCTTGTACACCTAACTGGATAAAATATGAAAATGAAACTTACCTGACCGACCATTTTAAGGACTTTTTCTCCTTCTAAGAAATATGCAGCCACTACACAATTCAGTGCGGCGCTTCTGACTCCATTATCTCTGTCAGAGATCTGACGAGCAACTTCTTTTAGTGCCGCTGCTGGTGTTGGTTGACAAACGCTGATACCAAAGTTTTCAATTAACCAGCTTAGCTGTTCAAGGCATTCTGGAAACAAGGATTGTTCATTAAATTATAAGTTGGAAACAATTTTTTTTTTAATTTGAAAAAAAATTCATTGCTGGAGATTTTTAAAGAATTGTGTGAGATGGTAGCAAATAAAGAATGCTTTCATTCCAAAAAATACTACTAAGATAAATTTTTGAGGTGTTAAACTTATGAAATAGTTCTGCACAATAGGTGAAAAGAGTAGGGCATACAATTAATACCTACATGAATTATTAATTGCGTAAACTCATCAAAAGTTTTTAAAGTTTTGTTGCATGAGCGGATCAATTTTTTCCATCATTAAAGAGTGAGATGTGTGAGAATGCTCATTTCAGATTCAATTTTTCTGGGAGATTAATGTCATTTTTTAAGCTGTCTTTAGATTAACCAGGTGAGACTTACAGTTTTTATCAATTATTTGCGTTAAGTATTTAATTGGAAACTTTTAATTTGCAAGATATAATCTTCACAATAGCATATTTCGCAAGAATTTCCCCCTGTTCACAATTGATAATACAATTATGCATTCCCAGAAAAACAATACCGACTCAAACTTAAGCCATTTTTGTTCATTTTGAATGAATTTATCATGCAGCTCTCCAAAACCATTAACTAACCTGTTCGCTGGCGAGCATTTTTAGACTTCAGACCATCCATAATGTAGGTAAAGAGTTTGCTGACAGAATATATAGAACCAATTAGTTTGAAGATTGCCTTTACACTGTTTCTGACTGCATCTTTCGGATCTCCAACCTGGAAGATGGACAAACGGGACAAATTTTTATACACAATGTATGATAACACAACAACTGTTGCAAAACACAACAAATTGGACACAACATTACAAATTGGAGTAATGAATCAGACAAAAGTATAAAAAAAAAAAAAAAAAAAAAAATTATTCTCCAAGTGAAGGCTGATGGAATAACAATGACATTGGGAAACAATCATCAACAATCAAACATTCACAACTATGGAGAATTAGCTTCAGAAAACTATTGAAAAAGTAGGATGTGCCTTGACAGACTTATGATTTTGAAAAAGCCATAAAAGTATGCTGCTAAGTGAGTACGGCAGAGAATGCAATCACTTGATGGCTAAAGGGCTGGACACGCGTTCAAAAAGAAGTTCCCAAGTAGTGGCTATTGAGTCAAGGGTTGTGCATCAATGCGTCAAAATAAGTAGAGTAGGCCTTTAAAGGTAATCGATGGCAACACTTGGCTAAACAGCCACCACTTTGAAGCTTCACTTTAAATGTGTGTCCAGCCTTTAAGCAATATTTTAATCAATTCAAAACTGTGTAAAGAAAAGCTCACATGCACGCACCTTTTCAAAATTGCATATGCATTTCACCAGCTCCACACTCCTGCATCCTCAGCACAACACCATTCTCTATACAGTCTTGCTAAAGAATCTGGAGTGTGGAGCCAACCAAACTTGTGCACAGTTTTGAAAATTTACAGGCAAGTGAGCACTTCTGTACATGGCTCTAAAATTTCTTTCGTGCGGTTCTCCATATTTCAGTTATTTTTTAATCTACTGTTTCAGAGGGTACATTTTGTGGAAGTTGCTAATTTGGCCCCTTTTTTTTTTTGGTACTGATTTTTAAACACTTATGAACAGCTATTGCATCAAGTCTAAATATTTACAGAAGTACAAGGAGATAAAATGCTTCATTGGGTCAACTAGATGATAGAATACGAAAATTTTTAAGTACTTCGACTGTGACTGGAACGCTCAGAGATTAGTGGATTTTCACTCTTGGTTGAGAAAAGACTGAATTCATGGCAATAATGCCGCTTAAACCTTCTTCTAGAATAAAAATAAAATACTATAAGAGAAGCAAATAAAGAGCAAAAAGATAGTAAAAACCAATGTAAAATTGGTAAAAACATATATGATTGATTATTAATCTTACCTTCAGTACTAAATATGGGATGAATGCTGAAGCTTCGAACTCGAGCATCTGATACTGTTCTTCGATCAAAACGGAAAAGACAGTCTGCAAGTACTCCAATCCTTTCAGCAGAACTGATGGGTTTGTGTCAAAAAATCGGAGCGTCATCCATTTTAAAATCAAATCTAAATTAGCTTTGAGGGCAGGAATGTTGTTCATTAGATCCTGAAAAAATGAATGATAGTTACAATTTTTGTGAATTAGCTATAATTTAAGAGAGACTGTGATTTGTTCTGAGAAGGCAGAGCTTTTCTAGAATTTTTCAGAAAAAAATTTTCCGCGTACATACATGATTTACGGAGGACATTTTTTAATGAGAAATTTTAGCTTTTCTACTGATTGAAAGTTTTTCAGTGAGGGTTGTTTGGTCGTTTTTGGGCCCACCTTAGCTGAATTCTTCAACTCAACAATTGTTCGCTCATTGATGGTCTACATTTTCCGGGATGCACCATGTTTTGATCATTGCTGGTATCTTTTTGGGTCTAATACTGGCCTAAACATGGGTCTGAGGGCCAATTTCAGCAGAAAATGCGGATTCTTTGGCATTCGACCACAATCCTATATTATTCGCCAAATTCGGCCTTTAGACCCGAGTTTAGGCCAGTATTCGACCCAAAGTGGAATCTAAAATGACCAAATCATACAACATTCTGTAAAACATAGACCCTCAATTATAAAAAAATCGTAGAGTCCAGAAAATTCAGAGTGAGCCCAAAAACCGCCCTTAATGATACCCATACTTTCATAAAAAAACCTGCTAAAACTTGGGAATGAATAACATATCCAAGTGTTTGAAAAATTACATTTGATGAAAGTAGTGAAGAGTCATGGAATTAAACATCCTGAAAGTTTATTGAGAGAAAAAGAAGCCACATTAAGAAACTGAAAAATCCTTCTTCAGTATGATTGTCAAGTTGCTACATTCACGCTATTTCTGGTATTGGCTTTGAAAATTTAATGAGAATTTGAGGACCTGGTGCCTGTCATTTCATGACTGAATACCAATAGTTTCAATAAAGAGATAATTTAGCATCCTAATTCCCAAGTCTTCAAATGTCATATGAGTTTTGAAATGGTTTTGCAGAGCCATCGGTGATTGAATTCGAATTCAATATCAGACTCTTCAAGTAGCAACTTGTTTCATGATGCCCCTATTTACCAAAATTACATGATCGTCAGAATACCCTTGGCAAAGAGAAAGAATAAAAGTGAGTTGCGGCTTTTTAATGACAAGTTTTTGAGTGTTTGCCTTGAGTCCTTACATCATTAAGAAGATCTATTGCCTTCAAATGATACTTGAAATCAGCATGGAACATGTTTGCAATGAGAGTTTTGTTGACATTGGCAGTTGTCATTTGTTCCTTCAGAAGCTCGAAAAATTCTTCTCTTGGCGTAGTGAAGTTCCACTTAATGACCTGGAAAAAAAATGAAAGTGGTGATAATTTGAAAAATAAAATTCTCTGTTTTATTCTTCAAAATTAAGTATAGCCAAACACTTGCACTAAATCCAAAGATGCAAAGAACTACAAAACAAGGGTCAGTGCTGCACATGTATGTGTCTTGTACTTTTACCCTATCTGGTTTGTTATTTATCAAGAAGAGTAAAAGCAATGAAGTTTTACTGCCCAAAAATTTCAAGGCTCCGGATTCCGGATCCGGGTAAATGAATTCTACAAGAAGAATGTATATTATAACCTAAAAGAATATCTAGATTAAGAAAATTCTGTATACCTAGATGTAGTATTGTTTGACTTTGTTCTCTTTTGTACAGCTCAAAGGAACCAATAAATTATTATTATTAGCATACTATCTCACAAAAATAAATCATTTTTGGTGTGTGTTTCAAACCTAGAGCCTCAATTATTATTGTTCCTTCAAAAATTAATAAATGCTGATGTGACAAGGGAGTCTCAATCGGCCTTTCAGGTATATTTGCAGGCAGGAGAGAAGTTGACTATTACATCATAATAAATAATGAATTATCATTATCATAAATATTGGTATGAAGCTCTTTTTTAAAGAAATAATGGGTGAAAAGGTGTCGAAGTTCAACTAAAAATTTCTTGCAAACCTTACTTACTTAAAGTGNGGGGGGGGGGGGGGGGACTTAATTAACTGATATGCAAATCTTTTAAATTATGAGCTAGTTCTAATGACCCTTATGCAAAAAATGTCAATCGAAATTCGACAGTACGTAACAATGATTTTGGCTCTCAATACCTTCATTTTGTGTTCATCAATGCTGCGTTGATTCTTCTGACTATTAACCTGTAGAAGCGGTGATGAGTCAATGTCTTCATCCTTTTTCCTGGAGACTGGTTTCAGAGTTGCAGCCTACAATAAAATAATAAAAAAGCTGTATTATGATGTTACAATTTGCAATTACGAGGAACACTCAAAAGTAAAATATGTACCTGTATTCTGCGTATTGTCAAAGTTTACAAGGTAAGCAATTAATTCATTAGAAAAAAACTTGAATATTCTGAGCGGAGGATTTTTTTTTAATTTGCTGTTCTATCATGGTGCATTCAAATTTTCTGAATTGGATTTGGTTTGAAATCAGGTGTGACCCTCATTCAATAAAAATACAAAGTAGCGATGTAAAAGCATAAATTTCAGTTTTTCTTCTATACATTACAAAAAAATAATGAAAAGAAATCACAATGATTAATTTATTTACTTTGGTCTTCAGCGCTCCTCCAGACTTGACACTAGGAGCAGCCCCTTGTTTTGAGGCTGCATTTTGTGGTTTCGATGCTGTGGCTGGAGCAGCATTACTTTTTGCTGTTTTAGCACTCGAGGGCTTCTCAGGAATAGGAACATAGGCACGATTTTTGTCCAGAATACCTTTGATGGTTGTTACAGAGGCTGGCTGAAATTAAACAAAAAAAAAAACAAACAAACAAAATTAATTTTAAATTAGAACGACACACATATACGACAATGTTTTTCATTTTAAATGATAGAGAGAAAAATATAATTCATTTGACGTGCATCTTTTGTGTAAATCTGGCAAACAGTGGCTTCTGGCCTTCCCTTCCTCCTCCCAGCCACCATGCGTCTAATGCTCCTAAAAATGGGGGGGGGGGCGCTGGGCCATCGTGGCGCCTAAAAAGGTTGACACACCTGCCAAATTTTTCAAACTTGCAATTGCAGAGCAGCGGTAGTTTATATGCTTATGTAAAAAGTCAATTGGGCTCCTAAGAAATTTTAGATAACTCCTAAAAATTTGGCTTTCTGGCCTAGGTGGCTACTAAAATTTTAGGGGTAAGGCAGATCACTGCTCGCAGAACTATAGTCAAATTTTCCACCCTTGAAAGTAAGCCAATTGAAGAATTGGGGTGCCAAAATTTGGCTAGGAAAAAAAAGGCCTAATTAAACAAGTTTCAGGAAGGTCACAGCTCCTTTGAAGGTTCATCCTAGAATTCATTGGCGCTGGCTTAAAGGACCAAATCAGTTTATCTCACTGAGATTCTGAACATGATATTCCAGGGTGTCTACTCAAACAGGCTGGCCAGAAATCGGTACTTTTACAGTACTTTTTCAGTGCATTCCTAAGAAATTCGGTACCTTAACGGAAAAATTCAGTACTTGTTTAGTGCCTCCATAGGACAAAATTAAAAAATGTCAAGAATTTGAAACTCTCACTCGAATTTTGACAAAAATGATGCAGACACAAAATTTCATTAGTGCACACTAAAAATAAGACATACCATACGTTTCGGACTCGGAGACCGAAAGTTCCAGGTGCTGGAGCCAAAGCTTTGATTGCTCCGAGTGCTACACCAGCAACTTTCCGCCTCTGAGCCCCAAACGCTGTCGGTATGTCTATATAGCCTCTAACTACGGCTTCCAGGACCGGAGTTTATTTCCAGGGATGGCTTGAAGATTAACATACTGCACAGTTGCAACCTTGCAGGCGAATACTACCCTAAGAATCAACACGCAGGGGATTGTATACTTTCCAGGCTTAATTAAAAATCACAAGTGGTATAAGGAAAAAAATAATTCCGCACCTTTTTGTAGAATTTCTACACTTTTTCAGTATTTCCAAACTGCCCTTAAAAAATCAGTACTATCTTCGGACTTTCCGGAGATTCCAGACTAGTAGACACCCTGTATTGACAAAGAAAGGCAAATACATACCTTTAATTTCTCAACCTGGGCTGCCATAGCCTGGTAACCAATGTGCGTCATAATGGGAACGATCACTTCGTTTGAATTCTTTCGTACATCCGCATTTCGATCTTCAAGGTTTGCGTACAAAGTTGGTAAACAGGCTGTCAGCTCCTCTTTCGGCACACTTTTTAGGGTAGGTAGCTTTTCTGTTAACCAAGCCCATAACTCACTTCGCAAGGCTGGCGAACCTGATTTCAAAGCATCAGCTATCATTTCTCCATCAAAAAGTTCTCGAAAACCGCATGTTTCTCCCCATGTATTCAGGCATTTAAGTGCAGGATCGTGAATGAAACTCTGGAAAAAGAACAAATAAAGTTATTTTTGGCTCTTAAGAGCTAATGTTGACCCTTCACTCTGTTGCCAAATTAACTCGAGCATGGGGAGAAAGTTATGTATACTTTATCTTCGTCTCTTCTGGTGATTCTGGAAACAGTAAAATAGATAAGATGGTTCTCAAGGGCTATATAAAATATTTCACATTAGATCCCAACAATTTGAGAGATACGTTTGCCCCCTAAACTGAGGGACATCTTGTTGCTCCTCTGACGTAAGGGCGTATCTCAAGTTCCTCATAAACCCCAGAAAGCATGGCATTATACATAGTGCAGGGGTCACGTTAAAATCGAGATACGCCTTTACGTTAGAGGAGCAACGATCTCTTCTGAGTTTGATGAGAAAGTGTCAAAATGTGATAATTTTGCTGAGCACAGCGCCTCAAAATTGGCTGAACCATAACCCACCCTTCTCCTAACTAATGGGTTTAAATGGGCCTTTATTGTTTAAAATAGACCTCTAGATGCCTTCATAGGACACAGTTAGGTTCTTAGAATTTGGTCCCATCTATTGCCCAGAAACACGTTTCCACAAATCAGTCTGTTGTCCCCCATTGAAACCAATAAAAATTTCTTTTCAGAATTTTGATCGTTTTGGTGGTCATCAAAAAATGTTTCAGATTAGCTCAAAATTGAGATACTTTATTATTTCTGTGAATAAAACCAATGGCCACCTGAGGCAACCCAATTTTCTAACATGACTAGAATAAGCCGCACCCTAATGCAGTTACCTCAACACTTACATAATGATTACCTACTTCTTTCTCCTACAAGTATTTTAAAAGAAAAAATTGGCCTCCGGCCAATTTATGCGCGGCGCTTCGCGCCGCGTACCGGCGCTACGCGCCGGCATTTGGGGGGCTTCGCCCCCCCGTCCGCTTAGCGGATTGGTGCGGGGACCGCACGGGACTTTCTCGCTCGAGCCGGCGCTTCGCGCCGGCATAGACACTTTTACTGGAATATTTAGAAAAATACTGCCAATTTTACAAAATCATAAAGTTTGATTGGAATTTTGATCACAGGATAATAGTTATGAAATTTTTATTCAAACCACTGAACTTTATTGTAAATGTCTTCGCGATATGTGATGAATTCATATATTCGGACTCGACTTGTTGATTTTATGAGGCATGTTCAATTAAATATGTAATTGATTAACAAAGTCTCCTGTCAAAGATGGCGATCCGTAAAAATCTTAGCTTTTCTACGATTCATTAGGATCCATTAGATTCATTGACGTCATACTTCAGATACGATTTTATATTATAATCTCTCCTTAAGCACGGTCAAAAGCCATCAAATATCTACTTGAATGGGTAGAATGACTATTCGATGTTCAAATAGTCTTAAAACTAAACGGTTTTCGCTTAGCATCTCCCAAATTTTAAATTTGGCGGGCGAATCTACCTGTTGGAAGGTTCACCACACGCCCGCCAGGAGCGCCATCTCCTTACCGCGTATCCCTGTAATTCAAAGCGAAAACAATAGAGAGCGCTGAGAGCGCCATCTCCTTGCTGCTGTTGACAAACGTCAACACGTCGTTCTAACAATTAATAACCTCCTTTATTAAGTAACAAGCATTAAATCAGTCATATTTGTGCCGTATTATTATATTATATTTGTGCTTAGTACCTCGTAAAAAGGAACCGCGAAAGATGGAATCTGCCGGGATTCTAAATTCATTAACAACAAACATATTAGTATTTAATAAAGATGTAAGTGTCAGTTCTTGCGTCAGCTTGATGACTCATAGTAACTACTTATATATTGTAAGTACCTACCTAATTAGTTGTCTAATTTTGCTTGGTGTATACCTACGGAGTAATTTTGGAAATAGTATATGATGCATTATATAATGCATTTGAATTCCTAGGTTCAAAGCGTTTGCTGCTATTATCTAGAAGCGTTCCGACTCATTTATCAGAGAATTGAGCGTTTCCTATCGGCCCCTCTGCAATTATGAGATTAGTCCAAGAATCCTTTAGGAACCTAAATTAATGACTCAGATGGTGCTTTTGAGCCAACTTTCAAAGAATTAAAGGCATTTTTTCAAAATCTACAGTCCATGAGCTCTCCGTGTGACCGAAGTGCTCTCCTTGCTATATGACGCGTAACCCTTCAATTTTTAGTTTAGTCCAAAGACCTCATAGGAACTTACATTAAATGAGTTGTTTGTGTGATGTCGCGGAGCAAAGTGCCCTACTTTTGGGCCTCGTAATCCCTTGAATTTTGAGTTTAGTCCAAAGATCTTTTAGGAACTTAAATTAATGACCCAGGTGATGTGCTTGATGCCCACTTTTAAAGAATTAAAGGCATTTTTCAAAATTTACGGTCCCTCAAAATGAGCTTTCCGTGTGATTTTGCTGAAAATGGACTTTTAACCCAATTTGACCCTAGCCCCCCCAAATTTTAGCGTACCCCAAAATCGTTGGACGTGCATAAGGAGACCATAAATATGGTGTTCTGTGAGAATTTTGAATGAAATCGAACAGATAGATTCTGAGATATCGCTGTAGACAGATTTGGGGGACGTCGGACGGACGGACACACATTTTTTCAAGTATGGTTATTTTGACTCCTGGGACCTTAAAACGTCTAGAAATGATGAAATTTCAACTTTTTTTTCTTTTTTTTTCTTGGAGGATGACAATACTTCCTCTCTACCCTAGGGGAGCGAGAAAGTAAAAAGAACCTGACAAGAACGTTAACCAAGCTCACTTACCTTGGGATCTCCAAGTCCTTTCAAGACTCCTGGTATGAAAATTGAGGTGTACATTTTACAGGAAGAGCCCATAGCAGAAGCAATTTGAATCACAAGATTTAGTGCAGATGCCGTGATTTTAGCATTCGAGTCAGATAGCCTCTGCTGAATCAATGCTGCAGCTTCACCGACACCGTTCGAAATGAATCGTGCTTCTGTGATGATAACTTTCAACTTGTCGAGTGCTTCATCACGAACCTATGAGCAGGAATCATTACATGGTTAAATATGCGGATAAAATTCCCGAATAGGTTTGATAATCCAACTGCAGGTGTCTTTTTCACATCTACAGGGTGTCCGGAAGTTAACGTACTTAACTTTCAGGATCGCTTTTTCGGCTCAAAATAAGACTTTTTTTCCTATACACATATGCCCGAAAACGCTTCATACGTGAGCTATGCGCTTCCAAATTTGCCATTTTTTTTCGTTCAAATTACTATAGCTCCTCGTCATTTTTTCATAGGTGGTTGAAACTTTGTTTAGGGGGGTATTTTTTAGCGCTCTATTCATTTTTTGTGTTTTCAAGGACGTACGTCTTCGAAAAATGACGTCACAAGCGTTCCCGAATTTGAAAATTGCGATAACTTTTTTGGTAGATGATATTTCGAAAAACGGATTACGGCACGTGAAAGAGCGTAAAAAATCAAGGGGTCAGGGTACTGCACAAAATTTTCCAGAAACGCGTTATTTCGACGCAAAAGAACTTTGAAAAATTTTAAGATTTTCGAAGCTCCTTGCTGTGTAGGCAATTTTTCCTACAAGGATTGAAAAATTGCCTACAGAGCAAGGGGCTTCGAAAACCTCGAAGCTATTGAGACGGCTCCCTCACACTTTTTCCAGGCTTGGGACTGGCCCGAGCATCATCCTACGAAAATTGCGGTTAGGCGGCGATATTTTTGGTATCAAATATCCACCGAAAAATCATACTCGGAGGCTTATCGAAAACATGGTTTCAAAGTGTGGAAGTAATTCGGTTTTCACATCCGAAGTACTTCGATTCTCACATCCGAAAAACTTCGGTTCTCACATCTGAAATACTTTAGATGTAAGAACTGAAGTTTCAGATGTGTGATCCAAACCTCAGCAGCTAGACCTTAAGTGTTCGGATGCTCAATCCGAAAACTTCAGAGATCCATATGACCTAAACTTTGGGTCCCACGCACGAAGTTTTTTTCTCCGTGCAGTATCTCATGCAATCCGTAGTGCGTGCTTTTCTCCATGAAAAGAAATAATTTGACAAAGACGAAATTCGATGAAGATATTCAAATAGTGAAACAATGATAAGACATTGATTGCAACTGCAAGATTATTGATGTGCTGCGAAATCGGTATATCAAAATGTGAGGAGGAAAAAACCATCAGAATTCAATTTTTAATCTGATCGAGCGCTCATCATAACGCTGCCACGTGCTATGGGAGGTTGTGAGAGACCATAATGCACATTTGTGGAGTGCAAATGAAGAATTTCTACCCACTGAAAAAATTATTTAAAAAATTCGGCTGATGCGACCCCTGAAAGTTGATCAATTGGCCTGAAATTTTGTACGAGGCAGTTCTTTTACTAATGCAGAACACCCCCTCCCCCCCTCACTGGAGGTAACTTATCCGCATTTTTTTTGGTTTAATTACTGTTCTTTGTTGTTTCTTTTCTTTAATACGAAAAAATCCGCTTCTTAGCTATTCTCGCGCTACTGTGTGGGTAATCATTTCGAGCGACAGTACACACATTGGCAAGCATCAACATAAGTAAATGAATTGAATTTAATCTCCGAACCTTTCACTGCACCCAAAGTACTTACAAGATCTGCCATTGAACATGAAATAAGAAATTCGATGAATAAGTGCAGAGCAGATATCACGAATCTCTGCATTGAGAGGAGCGGCGTTGAACAGCCCCGAGCATTCACAAGTAATTATTAAGGCATGACTTGTTAAACTTATGCTAAGAAACTACCACACTTTGAAACCATGTTTTCGATAAGGCTCGTCGAAAAACTCGAGAAAAGCGACGACAACGTCTCTCTTGAAAAGATACAACGCATGCGTTGCTGTAAACGGCTCCCATTTTGAACAAAACCTGTGATTGAACTGTTTCATTCAATTTTACTGTTGATATCGTCCATTTGTTATGCAAAAAACAAAACAAAAAAAACCAAAAAAAACCTTTTAAACCGCCCCGAGCATTCACAAGTAATTATTAAGCATGACTTGTTAAACTTATGCTACGAAACTACCACACTTTGAAACCATGTTTTCGATAAGCCTCCGAGTATGATTTTTCGGTGGATATTTGATACCAAAAATATCGCCGCCTAACCGCAATTTTCGTAGGATGATGCTCGGGCCAGTCCCAAGCCTGGAAAAAGTGTGAGGGAAAGGTCAAGAGCCGTCTCAATAGCTTCGAGGTTTTCGAAGCCCTTTGCTCTGTAGGCAATTTTTCAATCCTTGTAGTAAAAATTGCCTACACAGCAAGGAGCTTCGAAAATCTTAAAATTTTTCAAAGTTCCTTTGCGTCGAAATAACGCGTTTCTGGAAAATTTTGTGCAGTACCCTGACCCCTTGATTTTTTACGCTCTTTCACGTGCCGTGATCCGTTTTTCGAAATATCATCTACCAAAAAAGTTATCGTAATTTTCAAATTCGGGAACGCTTGTGACGTCATTTTTCGAAGACGTACGTCCTTGAAAACACAAAAAATGAATAGAGCGCTAAAAAATACCCCCCTAAACAAAGTTTCAGCCACTTATGAAAAAATGACGAGGAGCTATAGTAATTTGAACGAAAAAAAATGGCAAATTTGGAAGCGCATAGCTCACGTATGAAGCGTTTTCGGGCATATGTGTATAGGAAAAAAAAAGTCTTATTTTGAGCCGAAAAAGCGATCCTGAAAGTTAAGTACGTTAACTTCCGGACACCCTGTATATTCACTGGTTTTCCTACACGATTAAAATTTTATCTTAGCGCCCACAATACTACTTTTATGAATTATGAAAGAATTTTAAGCATTAAACATTTTTGGCTATGCCGTTTTACTTCATTTTTGGCATATTTAATTGAGCTAGGACTGTATCTTATTGTATCCTGTTTGTTCAAAGTTCTCTGAACTCCTTCGGTTAAACCACTTGCATGACCTTTTGGGGACTTATTTGACTTTAATCTGAACAAATTTGAAAATGGACTGTTGATTTCTGACGTGTTGTCACAGAGAAGGCAAAAATGTCACTATTAATATATTTCCCCAAATTTATCTGACGAACACTTGTTTCACACTCCTCTCGGGACAGATGGTTCTCTCATGTACAGAAAATCAAAATTTTTCCTGTACCCTCTCTTTTATTTCCAGAAAACCTTTCCCACCTTGTCCAGACTTTTTGGATTTGTAATGACTGTAGGAACCCTGTACCAGCAATCATACTATGAGAATCAAAATTCCTTAACCAAAATTTTATCTTACCTTCCAATTTTTATCGCCCAATTCATTTATCAAAGAATCTGTTATCTGCGGTCGTATGTCAACACGTGGAACAATGTCTTGGATCTTCACTTTAGGTACCTCTACTTCCTCTTCAACATCATCATCTGCATCTTTTCTACTTTCAGCTTGTTTTGCTCCTTTGCCACGGATTGGCACTGGGGGTGTTTCACCAGCTCTCTGTATCGATGAAAAGGCAAAAAAAGGAGATTACAGTGGCAGAGCATTTGAAACAAAGAGTTTGCCTCTGTCTCTTTCTCACAAAATTATCAATACTGCAAAAACAGCTTCCATAGGAAAATCTTTGGACAAGCTGATATCTTTGATGAAAATGGATTCTGTCAAAATGCTGATGGACCACTGGTCAAGGTCTGAGTTGAAGCATTCTGATAGGTTAACCTTTCAAAATTTCATGCAGAACACAATATGCGCAGCAAAAATTAACACCTGACCAAGAAATAAACGCACTGGTTGTAAAAAATTTGATTTTCCTGCTCACAAGAAATAAAAGGGTCTACATGGATCAAATTGAGTGTTAAAACGGTCTTGGAGGGCTCGTTGATAAACACACAACACACCATAGGAGAAGAACATCAACTTACCCGACTGAACTCTGTATTGATTTGCTGGACCAGTGCAGCTTTATCATTTTCAAAGAACATGCTCAGCTGTTGCCCCATGTAGAGATACATGGTGCCTAGCAGGGAAATGCCTGCACTTCTGACGCCGACGTTGGTTGCATTAACAGCTTTTTTCACATTATCCATCAGAGATTTTGGTTCCATGCTAATGTTACAAAGAAAAACAGAAACAAAATTTAATTAGGGATAAAACGTTGTATCATATTTGTGCTTTCTAATTCTTTTAATCATTCATTTTTGAAACAACATTTCCTCAATCCTCTCTCTTTTTTTTAATTGTTTGAAAACTCTCCTCCTACTGGTACTATACAAATTCCAACATTTTATGACTTAGGGTGATTTGACTGAAATGTATGGAAATCTAGACATTATTTGGACCCAAAGCAGCAAAGGGAAACTATGAAAATTGTAATATTGTGAAGATTAAGCCAATTTTTCTTAATTTCTTCACTATTAAAAAAAAAAGCTGCGACATATAAATAAATATATTGGCTAGGTCTGTTTCCTTCCTTGTCTCTGTCTAGTGTCTGTGTTTCTATTGGAGGACCCAGTCAGTTGCTTGGTTTGCTCTTATTTTTAAAGGAGGTTTGCAGTGTACATGGTTTTTGGTTTTTTTTTTTAAGAGCAATTGTTTTAGAACATCTCACCCTGAAATTCCCTTTAAGACTGAGTGATACATTTCCTCGAATTTTAAAATTCTCTGACTTTTAAAGGATTTCAAGCTTAAAAAAGCACCTTATGAGACAAAACAAGTTCAAAATTCTGGCTCTTTTGATAAGCAAAAGCAACTGAAAAGCTTCAAAAGAATAAGATTTAAAAATGTTCAAAAATAGGATATCCTGATTTTTCAGGATCTTGCCACTTTGTAAGATTTTGCTGGACAATGCAACATACCCTTGAAATGCTAAAATGAGTAAGTTGCGCTAGTCACAAAATTGTGTTTTGATGATCTTAGATTATGGATCCGCAAAAAGTTATAGAATCCGTCCTGATACCAAGTTTCTACATTCATTATGAGAGGAGATATTGCCCTTCGAAAAGCATGGTGGACATCCATTGCAGTAGTGCATATCAAGGTTCCTTCCACTTCAGTTCAATTCGTGTTCTAAACAGAACAACTAGTGAAAACGTGTGCATCACTAATTGATAAGCATGGTTGGTACTACCGAGGTGGAGGACATCATGAGCCGTATTTTTTCGGAGGGCAAGGTCTTCATTAATTTTGAACATAGAAACTTGGCGTTTAGACAAGTCTCATTATTTTTGGCTGATCTATAAGCACAAAAACATCAACACACAAATTTTTGAATGGAGTAAATGACCCATCAAAGCAACTATATTATGTTTTTCCTAACTCATTTCCTTCAATGCTGCTTCCACATTCTAATTTCTGAACAGCACTGGAGAGACTGAAAAAAATTGACATATTCATGCTGAAATGAGTTATATGCCAAAGAATTAACAAAAGGAACTAAGATTTGTATACATCATAGTTCATTTTGATTCAATTCATCAGCACGGGGTTCCTTTCATCAGAAATACAGTCAAATGAATGAATTTTTATGATGATTATGCCAGAACTTTACGAGGCCCAGAATTGAGGTAGACTTTGCATTATGAAAATTACATACACAAATCCGAACTCGAGAATAGCGTTGGACATCCAGTTCAATGTCTCCTGCTGTACTTTTGGATTTTTCTGGGTGTTGAAAGCATAATTTAAAACCTCCGTTGAAACAAGGTCTAAACGTGAGGCTTCTGCCAGAAGGGTCAGTGCCTCTGCAGCTGCCGAACCATTCTTGGGATCTCCCAGTAGGGATGCAGTGTCCGTCAAGACAATATTTAATGCCGTACTGAAAATTGAAAAGCATTAACAACTGGGTTAGTAGAAGGACTTAAGGGGGACAGAGGTAATCCAAACAATAGGTGAGAACAAAATTAAATAAGATGCATTGACTATAAAATAAATTAATTATCAAACTATAAACTGAGTCTAAACACAATGCGTTAACATAATCTGTATTCAGTTTGGTTGGTATTCCTCTGTTCAAAAATTTCCATAAATTTGTACCATTCAAAAACTTTTCTCTCTCAAAATTTTAACTTCTTGAAACTTGGGAAGAAGAAATAAGGCGTTCGCAGCACCTTCAGGTATTTTGTTAACATATTTTTGCCATTTCACTCACGAACTTTTAGAATATAACTGGTTGTCTACATTTTGAAGGTTGCTGATTTTCCAACAGTAAAATCAGTTTTAGACTTGGAAGTGTATCAGTAACATTGCTGTTGCAACAAAACAAGACATGACTAGGTGAGAACTTCTGTGCAAACATGTGTTCGGTTTCCTGCAGCTCAGCAAGAATTTCTTAAATATAAAAAATATTTATGCCATTTTCAGTTTTTGACAGAAAATTGCTTCCTGTAAAGATCTTGAACTAACAAGAAAATACAAGTGAAATAAGTACCCAGATACGTTTGACAAAAAAGAGGTTATCATTGTTTGCATTTCAAAAACTACAATTTGTAGAAAGAGTTTTTTTTTTTTTTTCAGTTATAATTTGCCTTTGAAAGAAAATAAAATAAATCGCCATGGTGGCCAGACAATAATGTGACATTATGTGATAGAAGATCATTTAAAAATTACTTACTTGCACGTATTCATTTTGACAGCGCAATCAAAATCAATATATTCAAGTTAGTAGGTTCTAAATGATCTTCAAAATTGCCAGATTTAAGTAAAACGTCACTCTTTTTATCGGTAAAAAAAATGAACAATATTGCTTGCAAAGGTTTCTTTTCACGAGCCATTATCTACAATCAAAAATCCAAATTTTGATTCTTCGAACCACCTAGCTAGACAAATACTGCTCCTTAAAAGAATTTTCTCCTGTAGAGTAAAACTTTTATTTAACGGACATTAGTTCAACAAATTTTTCAGATTAGCAAATTTCTCCTCAGTCCCGAAAAAATCTCTATTTTTTCAATGTAAATATAATTACATTGAGTGGATTTTGGTTTCACACATGTTCAATTCGATGAAGAAAATCTAGTCCGAGTGCAGTCTTCACCATGTAAAACAAACTAGATTTGACAAATGGACTAAAATCTTCCAGAGCCTAGCATTTACTCTGGGAAAAAGGCACACATGTCTATGCCTGCATGTTTCTTCGCATGTCTTCAGAAACTCATTAAAGTAAAGTTTAACTGTACTAAGATCCATTTTTCCAAGAAGGGTCACATAAAAGATCTCTGAATCAAAATATTTTTGCCTTCAAAAAGAAGCATGTAAAAGAGTCAGGGAGTCTCCACACTGAGCAATATCTGATGGTAGAATGTAATTTTGCATTATAAATTTTCCTGTTTGTCTTATTGGGATGGGTTGAATAGAAATTATCTACAAAATAGGTTGAAAAAATACTAATCCAGAGCTGCAAGTCTACAGTTTACGATAGCAGCTCCAATGATTGCAAAGAAAGCACCATTATCATTATACTACCATCAAAAGAAAAAGGTACAAACATGGAGAGAGGCGAATCATACCTGGAAATGGGAAATTTCTCTGCAATCCTTTTCAGAGTGTCCAGACGAAACTTGAGGACTTGAAAGTTATTATCTTTTAAACCGGGCTTTTTCGTTAAAACTTTAAAAAGTACTTGGCTTGGTGCTTCGCCAACACCGATGGATTCAACAAGCTGTAAATTATGATTATTTTTTATTAGAATTAAAGCACCATAAAGATAAATTTAGTCTTTGTAAAGAGACCGTGCTCCTTCTCCCAAACTTTTTGGAACATGCTATCCTCAGTTTTTTTTACCTGAAGCATATTTATGAGAGCAGCAAAACTGAAATTACAGGGATTGCCATCATTTTTCTGCTTGTTGGCAAAGTTTCTTCATGTTGCAACATAAAAGTTTTCCAGAGGATGTGCCTTCTTGGAGGTTAATCATGAGGTTTTCCCTTTTTTCTTATTGAGCCTTCTAGGACCTTGCTGCTATGAATATTAAAACTGGCAGTGTTTTATGAGTGGATTGGCAAAGCAGTTGATCATATTCTATGCTTGTTGTTAAGATAGCTTTATGCCTATGGAACATACAGCTCCCTTTGCTTAGTATCTAGTTTATTTCTTCTCAATTTCCTTAAAATTTAGGCTTTTATAAATCTGCTCAAAAATGGCCATCTTCACACCTGATATTTTACCAGTAGGTAACATATTTCACACAGAGGATATTTTATCAGATAGAGAAAAAATTTGACGCAATATTTAAATAAACATACAAGCCACTTTTTTGTATGAAAAATTAATTGTGGTAGAAGACACAGAAATACTGCGACTGATTTCATACGTATTGCTCCTATCATGTGCATTTACAAAGAAAACATTGTACGTAGGGTTTCTACAATCCTTGCACTCAACTAAATGAATAAACTTTTGATAGCTTAAATGGTTTGAAAGGTGCTGAGGACCTATTCTTCAGACCATAAAGGACGAGACACACTAAAAACTTAATTTAGAAATATTATCCAAAAAATGAGTGGATTTATTCGACAAATAGAATAATGGTCGCGAACTCACCTGTAGAAACTGCTCTGCCGCAGCCAATCGGGTCTTCCAGGAGCTATCTGTCAAGTGGTTCAATAAGTTAGGTGGCAGCAGGGATTCACACTTTTCTTCAAACTCTTCATCTGTTATTTCACGCTCAGGAGGCGTTTTTGCTGCAGTGCTTTTGACAGATTTACTCGCCACTGAAAAATAACAAGAAAAAAAATTAGAGCATTATAAAAATCATTATTAGGTTAAAAGAAGACAATCATTGTATCAAGCTTAAAAACTTATATATTAGGCAATATATTTTACACTTACCCAACTTTCCCGGAAATATTCAGTGGCACTTCAATCTATTTCACATCCTCCTTTCTTATATAAGAAAGTCGAGAATTCTAAATATTTCTAGGTATTATTTCATTGTTTTTTTAGCCTAGGATTCCAGAAAATTGGTACTTCATCCTTCTGGCATCCTGGCTCGTGGGGTACGACCCAAGAAACCCTCCTCCCGAGCGTGTTTCGCAATGTGAAAGCAACCCTAAGTATCAAAAAGACATCCACCCACTTAGGGACTCAAGCTCTCTTCTGCATAAATGCATCCAAACTGACAAGTTAAGATAACTCATACGAAACCATTGTCATTTAAGACATGTTACACCATAAGTAAAAGAGTGGAAATACTTAAAAAGACACATCAAACATTGCAGAGAAAGTTATTTTTGCGATTAATTAGTTACTCCTACAGCATAAGGACCCAGCAAACGGAGTAAAACCATTAACATATATTGAAGTAAAATAAAGAGCACTTAATACACTGCTTACGGTTGCTTGTGGATCCAGTGATGGTCTTCTTGGCAAGAGAACTTTTGGATTTGGTTATTGTGCCTGAGGCAATTGGACGCTTAACAGGCTTCGGGGCAACGCTTCCGGCTTTGGGTTTTTCCTCTACTTTCGGAGCAGCAGAGGCCGGTCGTTCATCTCTCGTTTTAGTAACTTTAGCTGTGATGACAGCTTTTTCACAGCCTTCTTTAATCTGAAAACAAAAGATGTATCAGCTAAACAATAAATTAACATGACATAAGTCAACTGAGGAGATGGACTCTGCCCTTAAATTGTTAACATTTCCTCTGAGCACTTTTTTTTGTTCCTTTTCTATACAATTTTTCATTGATAAAAATTAATATTATTAACACAAAATAAAAAGTATTAAAGTCTATGATAGAATAGTACAATATAACTCTTAAAAGTAGGCAGGAGCTCAACAAATGTTCCATCTTGCCTTAAAAAATGCTGAAAACTAGAAGGTTTCTTTGTGGCATGAACATTTATTTTAATGACGAAATCAAAGTGTTCAACTTAATCTCACAAAATACTGAGTGAATTCTTTAATTGTTTTTGTTGCTTTTACCTTGGCTGTATTTCTCAGTTTGTTATCTTTTTTTTGGTTCCGTTGTTGCGTGTTTTGCTGCTTGTACTATCCATGATCAAGAGGTTTCTGTTCACTTAATTAAGAAGATAATGTATTCTGTGACTTTTTCTTCTCTCTGATTCCAGGCTTTTATTAAGGTTTCCAGATTATAGGGGCCCAAAAATGGGCATAATTGAACTATTTTGGTGCAGCGATCTTTAGCCAAGTCTTCGTGAAGAAGGAATACTGGATTACGAGAAACACCATATTAGAAATTTTTGCACCCCTCATGGTAAAAATTTGAGTCTAAAAAGGTTATAAGTTTGAGAACAAAGAATAGAGTGTTGCTTACTTTTCCTAGTTTCAAGGCATCTACATCAGGCAAAAATGGCATCATAACTTTTTCTCCTACGACTTTCATGGCTACTCCTAACGCATCTGCTGAGCTATCTCTCACCAGAGGGTCTGCAAACACAAAGAAAAAATTGGTAAGTGGAAAGCTAGAGAAAAAATTCCAAATCCTCTCATAACAGAAAATGAAATCACTTTTGAGATGCAAGGAATACATTTAAGAGAGAGAAGAGTGAAAATCTCACATTTAAAAGAAATAAAAAAAAAAGAAAAAGACTCAAAGCAGAAAATATTGGTAATGTAAAATGGTAGCCTTCTTTAAATACATTATGAGACTATTGAATGATAGTGCTAGTTCATGGTATTACTTTTTACACATGCTGGAGAAATTAAAGAATATGTCACTCAAACAGTTGGCATTTACGGCAGTATATTTCACATCACTTTGTTTGTTAGAGATTGAACATACAAAGTTTCCTACACTACCCGTATCAGACTTTTTTCTCCAATATTTAAGTTGGGCTGAGTCAGGAACCGCAGGGTTGAGTGAAGAATTGTAATCAAAGAGGCCGAATTTTACCATCTTCAAGCCTCATCCCCCACCCAGTCCCATTAAAAGAGAGGTTCTCTCTTTGATAAGCCAGCTCCATCACAATTTTGAAATTATTTTACAAAATCAGAAATTATAGAAAATTTTAACCAGAACTGATATCAAGGAGTTCAAAATCGGCCCATCCCTGTCCAAATTAGAAGTACAGACGTCAAAGTTGAGGGACAGAGCACCCTGAAATGAATACTAGGGCACTGACTTGGTGTAAAGGCCAAGGAAAAAGGGATATCCAAAGTAATCAACCCTGAGAAGTCCGAATATGATGGTCCCAAAGTCACCTGAGGGCTTTAATGATGGGGAGGAAGAGGTCCCTGAACTTATAAATTCAAAAAATCTGGGTTTTTTTACAGTGCTTCATTGGGGAGAACCCAAGGCACCTCAGGACTGTTAAATCCATTCTATTTGGGGTTAGTTACTTATGAAAACATCTTTTACCAAGGCCTCTACATCAATTTACTTATTCTGCAAATATTTGTTGAAGGGACTCTGTTCCCCAACTTCAAAGGTCAGTATTTTGGACAAGGATGGGCCAATTTCGAACATTTTGTTATAAATTGGATTACATTTTGCAATAAAGAACCACTATCTCTTGCTCTTTTTTAAAAGCATCTGTCTGCATAAGGAAACCAAGGGCATTTATATTGTTTCTAAAATGAGCCAGAAATAGTGGTTCTTTATTGCAAAATGTGGTCCAATTAAGGTTAAAATTTTTAATACTCTCAAATTTTGATTATGTAATTTTAAACTTGTGACAGGAACCCTACTTTTCAAAATCAGGACTGCCTAAGTAGCTCTTGAGGGAGATCAGAGGGCTTCAGAGAAATGAAAGCCGAATTTTTTGGGGTCCACTCCTGATTCGACCTTGTGGTTCTCGACTTCATCCAACCTAATAAAGCTAAGAAAAAAGACTGGTATGAGAGGTTTGGGACACTTCACAAAAATATATTCCTCAGATATTTCTCAAGAGCTTCCAATTTGAAACTAAACCAACCGGATTCATTGAGGGTCTTCAGTAGTGCAGCAGAGTAAACTTTCAACAGCTTTTTGTTTAAAATGGTAGGAGTGCATTTACAGAAACATCGTCCTAGAAACGCTGCTACTTCTGCTTTTACTGAGGGATTCTTATTATCTAATGCAGCAATGACATCTTCCTGGATTGCTTCTAAAGTTGTCTGTGAAAAGAAGAAGGAAAAGTTAATAGTATGTTATTTATGTTGAACTTTTAAAACACAGATTTATGCCACAGAACTAAATCTTCATTCTTGTGGGCGGAGGGTCTCCTTGGCATTTTTGCGACTTTTTATCTAACACCAATACTTAAATTCATCAGATTTTTATCATCAACTAATGTTAAAGAAACCGTCAGTGAGGTCATTTACTACACCACTGTTCCACTCATTGCTGACATTATCTGTAAATCATCAGTGAGGCCATCAAAATAATTATCAAAGAAAGAATAATGTAAAGATAAACAAACTATCTATGCGTAATTCAAACATTCAATTAAGCGTAACAATACAAAAATAATTCAATTAAAACTGTAGTTGAGCCAAACTAGCTTCCTTTTTTTAAAAAGTCAATTTCCTTCTTAAATGTGTTACTCTTGCTCTATTTTTGTTGTTTTCAAAGCTGATTTAATTTTTAATAAAATAAGTAAAATTTATGAATGATATGAAATAATATTGTACATACGCTGTTATAAATAGCATCTACAGCATCTCGCAGGGGAAGAACGACCGACTGTTTCTTTTCACGAAACTTCTCCAGGAATGATGGCAAACATGCAGCTGAGTAGGGCTGAAACCTCTTTTTCAGACCACTGGCAAGCATGGCGGCACACTTAGCTGCTAGTGAAACTACAACTATATTACTGTCCTTTGTTAAAATCTGTAAAGGCAAGCAAAAATATGTGGATTCAGCGAGGAGGACAAATCAACATGTTAACTATCATTTAGTCCATAAGACGACTTGAGAGAATCTAGAGATTGAGCAAGATTTAGAAGCTGTAAAAATCATACTAAAGCAGAAATATACCCGCCACTTGTGTGATTACATATTGTGATGTCTCCAAACTGTGTGTGGACAGGTATTACATGATAAATCAGAGTGGGGCCTCAGGACAGCATTACCCTGCTCTGCCAAGACACCTATACTGCCAGGCTATGCAAGAACGCCGGAATTCTATCAAGATTCTCCCTTGTTTTTAGGAACTTAACACTTTATAAATAAAAAACTGTTTTACCTATGCACCTCAAATTTTCAGATGAAGTTTTTGAAAGCATTTGTAAAAGAATTCTGTAAAAACGTTGCCCCAAGGCACCAAAGTTTTTCTGCTATGATACATTGTTTCCAAAAAATAAAAAGTGGCATTTACAGCATTTTAGCTTTGCATGGCAGTATAGCAGACTGCAAATGAAGAGCAGGCTCTAAGAAAAGAACAACTTTCATCTTCACTCAATTATATGACATCTCACAGACCAGTCTTACGTCAAGCATAATTTTTCACATTTTTAAATTACAATTTTTGTTTTAATTTTAGCATGAAGTTGTGAATTTCTATCCGTCACAACTTAATGTCAAAGTACATGCCGCTCACTGTGGCATGTATGAATGAGATTCATATCGTGCCTCTTATCATGTTGGTCAAAGGAATTATGCAAGAGAGCCTCTGTAAATATTTAAAACCCTCAAACTTCCTGATCACCTCCTCCATACCATGCAGAAGTCCCTGATTTTCAGCTTATGCAGTATAGTTAGGGGTTTCCTTAACTGGAATAACTATTTTCTTTTCATTTTCCTGTTTTTTGGTACTTCTTTTCCGTTTTCAAATTCAAATAGTATGCACAGGCAAAGTTCACTAAGACTTTGGTCTCTGATCCATGCTGGGTTCTGACATCAAGAGAAATCCAGTGAAAAAGAAAAAAGGAGCAAGGACTGAAGCTTGAAACTTGCTGGATAATATTTAAAGATGCTACCCTGCCCCAAAGATTTCTGCTGAGATGAGGCGTCCAGGCTCATAGTCGGTCGCGAAACTAGAGAAGATCTCATCGGTGAAATGATGAAAATCCATGAGAACTATCTGAGAAGCCTTCTTGTAAAGTCCTGTTCCAAAATGAGATTGGCGTTGAACTCCATAAACATGTAAAAATGTTCATGGCATAAAGTTTTACCTTTTTGAGGGCACGCACGAGGTCCCCATAATCCCCATTTTCTAGCTTGGGCGCATCTGTAAGAATCTGCTCAAGAGTAGTCAATGCATCCTTCCGCTCCTGCCACTTTTTCTCTTCCAGTTTGGAGTAGAAATCTTTTGGAAGTTTTGATAAAATGTCGACTGGATCCATCAGGTCATAGGGGTCAATCTCTACTTTTTCGTCACCATCGCATCCTTCACCAGGAAAGTCTAGACAAAACATGAACATTAATTTACAGCAAAACATAAAAATGTAATGAACTGACTGTAACAAAAACCTATAGTGTCCATTATTCATGATTTTGAATTTTCAGCTCACTGAAGTTGGAGCAGATTTAGCTTCTCGGTAGTTGATGATTGGGAAATCTTTTTTAATTGGGGATAAACTAGTGTCATTTAGAGTCAGGAGGAATAAATAATGGTGAATTCACACTGGAATTGGCCAAAATTATAGAAAATTATATAAAATAAAAGAGGACCAGAACACAATAGATTCGAGTGAAAAATGAACAATATATTTACCTCCACCAGCTCCAGATTCAGTTTCTACTGCATTATAAGCTTGCTTTTCTTGTTGTGATCGTAAGTAGCGCGTTGGCACGGCTGGTTCATTTCTCATTTTTTCTAATTCTGGTTCCAGCTCCGCAATCTGACAATGAGAGAAGGAAAAAGCAACGTTATTAGTTAAAGGTAAACAATATTTCTTGTGCAGTTAAATAAATTGGATAATGATGTACCTGCAAGTGCCCTGACATTACTGTTAGAGGTGTAGAAAAAACTTTTTTGACTACGTAACAGTTATACCGGCAACCAGATTGCACAGTGCATGGTACTTTCACATCTTAAAAATTTGCTTATGAGCAAAGAAAAAATGAAATTTTTTTAAGTAAATACATTTCCTTTCAGTCATGGGCACCATCACTTTAAATTAATGAAAAAAAAAATTGTACAACACATAAACTTCAGTGCTTACCTGTACTGGTTTTAAATTAGATAGCTGAGGCTTGAGTGCCATTCCTATCCACCGGTACATTTCAATTACCATGGCTTTCCCTTCCTCTCTAACATTCTTATCACGATCCTCCAACAGAGCAGGAATTTTCTTCACTAATGTCTTAACATTGAAGATTTTAATACCGAATTCTCTGCAAAAAAACATAAAAAAATATTAACTACATAATCATGAAAACTTAAAGGGCTCAAATTTTTCGAAGGCAATTAACTTAAGTCTTATTTTCTTACTCATCAAATGCAGTTTTGAGCCTCATATGAGTTGTGTCTAACAGAAAAAGGCAAAAAAAATTTCCAAGTGTTATGAGCGCTTGATACATAATTAACCGTTGGCCACTTTTACACCTAAAATGTTTGCCAATTTGAGCTGAGAACATCTAAAACCACATACATCAGAGGATTTGACCCGTCCAGTCGTGTTGGAACAAGAGCGAATTTCACTGTGTTTGCCTTCCATAAGGCAAAATTGATACATACAATCTTACTTGAAACCAAGTGGCAAAAATAGATGTCTCATTCCAAGTCGATCTCCTCTTCATGATTCAGAACCGTGAAAAAATGATTTAGGTATTAAGGAAAAATTCATTGATAACGTATCTACACAATAACACTACTTTTTCCCAATAGTGATCACTGTTATATCCCCTCATTTTCACCGACTTGGTAACATGGCCTGCTAGGCAGCCAAGGACACAAGATGTCATTGGTCCTGTGAAAGTTTGCGGTTCTTTTCATGTTTATGTCTTGTCGAAAGCTTTCCGGTAATAAATAAATGTCTCTCCCTGGCTTTAGTTAGTCTTCATCTGTTGCTGAAACCTCCCAGTCTCCTGATACAACAATCACCCTTTTCCTTTAAAATAAAATACGTACATAATGATTTTACAAATCGCCAAATCATGGAATTCACCCAAAATTTATCTCAGTTTGTAAAGGGTTTGAAATTTTAAAAGCAGATCCTTTTGTTTAAGAATAACTTTGACAGTTGCTGGGTTAAAAGAATAGTTTGCAGCATAAACATACCTCACAGCCTGTGTCATAACACTAACACAAGCAGCGACAGTCTTCGGGTTTTTGTGCTCGAAACCTTTCATGAGTTCTTCTTGAACTTGTTCTTGTTTCTCGATTTCAATATACATCAGCGTAACTTGAGCTGCTAAATCTTTAGTTTTAGTCTTAGGGGCGGCAATACATTTGTTGACAATTCCAGCCATGGTGTCACCGACAGTTCTAAAAAAAGAAAAAGATTGATTGACAAATTTTGATACCAGCATTGATTGATGATTTGTCCTTGAGATTACAGGTAATGGGGTAGTAGACAAGCTGTAAATTTAGGCATTATGATACATGTGTTCTCATCAAAACTTCACATAGAATAAGATTTGTGCAACAAAAATTAATAAATAACTTTTGACCAAGACTGAATGAGCAGTAACCAATACCTGATGGAAATTAAAAGACCAGACATGGTCAAAATTGGAGCACTTTTGTTTAAGAAGGAATCTAACATGTCAGCTTATTGCCAATTGTAAATGGATGAAGACTTACTTTCCAGCCGGTCCTGCATTTTCAACAAAGGCTAAGGTTGCTTCCAGACCCTTTTCTTGTGCCACAGCATTGCTGTCGGTGACGAATTTCTTTATCAGTCCTAAATACTTGTTCCATTCTGGCGATTTTTCATCGAGTGTACTGAAAAGCTTCTTTGCTTCCTCATAACCATGGACTCGAGCCTTCCAAAGCTGTAATTTGTGAAGATTAAAAATAAATAGTAGGTAGGAAATAAATTCATGAAAAAAAAAAAAAAAAATCTTAGATCGACAAAATATCACCTAGTTTAATACAGATGGCAGAACTTTTTCCTTGTGAGAATGAAACTTCACTTATACAGGGTGTCTCAACATTAAACCAACGGGTTGCAAAAGGGTGTTCTAAAGGTCAATTTTTTTTTCTCTCCAAAAAAGCTATCAGTTGGAGCTCCCACTCCCTTACCCACAAACCATACTTTTCATTGATAAGGATGCTACTAACATTCTGAGTAACTTGTTTTTAAAAGTTGGCAACAGTGCCGGCAAAATTTCACCAAGTTTGTCTCAAATTCTTGGTTTATTGCTCTCCAGCTTTGAATGTTCACACAGGGGAAAATTTTAGGGGGCCTTCTCTGCCAAATGACACAAAATTAGCTCCTCTAAGATACAGTACAGCTATTTCATTTATATTTCTTTTGGCGTTAAAAACCATTTAGCCTGATTTCATCCCATACTGTGTAGAAAAATTACAAAGATTGTGGAGCTGGTACTTAAATGATTCCTGTCGCTTGCATACCTTGTGGACACACTGATCTTCGATTGGTAGCTTCAAATATTCTGTATCCTCTTCCATCTTTCTTTGCACTTACAACTACCCTGAAACATGGGAGAACATTAAAATAAATTGACTGATATGAGCGTAGTATTCATTTTACTTACAAAATCACACGATTAAAATCTTCACTTTGTGACAACTAAAAATACGCATAGCAGTTTTGGGAGTTGGAAATGGATTTGTCAGATGAAGGCAACACAAAGTTCTGACCTCAAAAACATGACAAAAAAGGACAAGTTATCAGAAACAGGCTGCAGTGAGTATCCTACGCAAATGTTCCTTGAACATAACCTATCATAGGTGTTAGGCACTTTAGAGTTGAAGGAACAGTAGAGGTTCTTCTTGACGGAAGCATTAAGCTGTTTCCTGCCAACACATCATAACTCAAATATTTGTAACTAACCTTCATTACTTTCAATGTTCTGTTACTTGAGCATGTATTTCTCTTCCTGCTGAAATCCAAGGTGCTACGACAGGAAGGATTCAAATGAAGCATGGCTTGGATCTACATAGCTCTAGACTGATGAGAGAATGTGAAATAAAGCCTAAGATCAAAAGCTGAGCGAGTTACTTTGATTTTACAAGAAACAGGGCAGATTAATCTCTACAAGAGCTATAAATGTGGGCTAATCACAGTGAAAGGAAATCCATGGTTGCAATTATCTGCATCCCCCGACTTTGAACAATCTTTAGCAAGAATGAATGCTTAAAGGATGCACGATAAGAATATGTATCAGGCAAACAATATTGTGGAAGTAGCAATACATCTTTCCTGGATCTGTATTACATAGCAGTGTGAGAGAAAGAGCGAAGGCAGAACCTTGCAATTCAAGCATCCATTCACAGCACAAGGTAGTAAATTAGCCTATGGTACACGGATACGATATAATTTAATAAGATTTTCAAGCCCACAAAAGTAAGCAAGCCTGACTTCATAACTTCAAGAGGAGCAGGAAACATGTTTCAATGGACGGAATGGCTTCAGATACTTGCGAGTAGAAAAATTGCTCATTGTAGGGTTTGTTTAGAGAAGCTTACGCATCCAGATGACATTCATACACATAGTGACAAATTAAGCTAGTCAGTAGTGCTTATGACTTGCAAGGAGGTGTAAAATATTGATGTATGAGAGCAGGTGCTGAGAATGGTGCTTACCTGTTTACAAGTCACAACTGGCTTACAGTTTCCTGACACTGCAGTCGATTTAGATTGAAACAAAGGCTTTTACCTATCAAGATTTGATGAATCATGAAATTTAGGCTATGATGTGCACTTGGAGGAAAACTCGATCAAGAAAGATATAATCACGACGTGAAAGAACTTATTTCAAATTAACTGCTCAAATGCTAACTGCTAACATCGATTTCGTGATAAAGAACAGCGGATTTGCGAATAAAGAGAGGGTGGTCATTTTCAGTTAGGCGGTCATTTTTTGCGTCATATGGCAGGCATGACGTCACTAGGAAGGGCCAGTTTTCTGTATTTTCTGGTAATTTTACGGAACCAGGAGTTAGTGTCCTCCGAAAAACTTTTCAGAATGATAAAATATTTGTTTTTCAGACCAAAATGTACCATCAATTGTGTTTAATAAAACGATTAGAAATTGGACAACACATGTGCAAGGACTAGGATGATTTGCAATCAATCAGTAAATTTTGAATTGAGAAAGTGTTGGCGCACGAGCGTACCCCTTTTTCTGATTGGTCAGCACGGCACCCCTCCACCTTACCACTACCCCAAAATGGCACCGCATTGTTTTGATCTTGCTTTTGTTTTTGTTTTGTTTCCTTTCCTCGAGCTTATTTGAGGTTATTTTAAAATTTATCAATTTATCATTGAATCTATTTTTTCCATCATCTTTACTCAAACTTTCTTTAAGTGAAACATTATTTTCTCTTTCCTTTTAGCTTTCTGTCATTTCCATATACCACACCACAAACTACAAGCATTCAGATATCTTGTGGCGCCACATACTTTCATCATCTCACCGGTCTGCATGCTCTGATTTTATACTAGTACACCTATTGGAACTGTAAATAAGTCCTGTCAAATGGCTGGTGAAGTAGTTGTAGATGCCCTCCCATACATTGATCAGGGATACAATGAGCCTGGAGTTCGAGAAGCGGTAAGTTCCAGAAACTTCTCTCCTACGCTTGTGATTCAAAGTTTTTGTTCATCTGCCTGTGTTTTTTGCAAGTACAGAATTATCTTGCGGAAGTTTTTAAGTCTCTACGAAGCTAATGACGTTTTCTTACTGACGGTAATAAAACCTGGAAGCATGCACTTACCTAAATACCTCACCAATTTTCTGACCTGTCATCACTAAGAATGAAAGAAGGTACCATTATTCCTCTCAGTCCGAGAATATAATCCAGACTGAGTAGATGGCTCTTATGATGAGATGATCAAATAACAAAATGTGCCTGCATAAGTAATCCCAAAGAAACATACCAAGCTTCGTTTTGAAAAAGAAAAAAAAAATGGATTTGGATTAGTTATGAATCCAACAAGTCCTAAAGGACCCTGCACACTCCTTATGAAGAAGTGCACCATGATCGATTTTAATTTTTTTACTGCATTCAATTCATCTCAAGTTGCTGATCCCAAGTGATCATTGCGCCAACTATCTACATTGCACCGTTTTTGCACAATACATCCAGAATGCTTTAATTATTCAGCAATAAGGCCTTCAAGAACAGGTCTGATGTGAATAGAGGAAAACGTAGCGAGTGTCTGTCTTCTTATCTATTCCTGCCTACTCTAGGGCTGTCTCTCTCCCGCTCTCCTCTGTTTTACGTTTCCTGTTTTTCTCCGACTTTCCTGTTTTTATGCTCCTCACGATTCTGATTTGGATGGTTGAGCAAGTGCAGAATCCAAAATAAGACTGCTGTTCGGTGCTGGAGTTCCCCTGATTTCCTTGTCGACACACAGCCGACCGTTCACTTGAGTGCTGAAATGAGTAATCTTTCGGACTCTTTTTCGCCCAATAATTAAAGTGTTTTGGGCGTACTGTGCGAAAACGGTGCATCATAGAAAGTTGGCGCAATGATGACTTTTGATCAGCATCTTGAGATGAATTGAATGCAATAAAAAAATTCAAAATCGATTATGGTGCACTTTTCCATAATGAGTGTGCGGGGTCGTTTTTTCCTGTCAAGAATTCTATGTCGAGAAAAAATATTTTGAATGTGAAAACAATTGTCTTTAACATTGAGTCTTGCAGAGGTATGAAACTTCAAACCTCTTTTTCTTTGTTCAAACTCATTGCGAATAGGTGTGTTTCTAAGTGTTTTGTAAGTTTTCTCTCTCTAAACCCTTGAATCATCATTTTTTTAAAGTAATGAAAATTCTCAAAACTTTTTCTAGGCTTTATCGATGGTAAAAGAAGAAACGAGTCGTTACAGGCCCACAAAAAATTATTTGGAGCATCTGCCTCCTCTGAATATTAATGCATTTGAGGTAATCTCCTTATTCTATTGCTAAGTAATCAGCATTTCATGCCATCACACATCAACGGTTAAAGTACGAAACCACATATCTCCTTTCGCAACATTGCACTTTTTCTGTTATACTTTATTTCTTTGGAAAACTAGTCAACATAATTTTTTTAAAATTTCCTTCATTTTCCTTTTCTGTTAACAGAACATTCTGTAAACATTTCAAGCTATAAAGTTGGCTTGTTACTTTTTGAAAAAAAAAAAGGAGTGAAAATTTTGAAACATTGTAGTGGAGGTATGCGGTTCCACTTTGGCCATTGATATGTTCTTTCTTTACAAAGATTCTTTGGTGCCAAATAGAAATGTTTGCCTATGACAGCAGTTCAAGTTTCATTTAAATTTTTCTAACTTTGTCAATTCTTGAACCAATTAGATCATGGTCTCCATTGATCTAGCTTAAAATCTAATCTTTCAAATGAAACTAAAATTATGCCTTCAGTATCATTACTCTTGTAATGAAATGATATCACCACACTTACTTTTGGGACAACCAATGTAATTATAAAAAATGAATGTAACAGCAATAAAAAACTATTGAGACTTATATGTACTTGATTTGTCAAATCAGCTGCTGTACTCATAAGAAAACAGATGTTACATTCCACAGTCTGTAGGTTCAAATCCACAAATAAAAAAGCACGCACTAGCACATTAATTTTCAATCTTGCGGACTCGTTCCACCAGCCCCACACTCCAGCATCTTCAGTAGACTCAGAGGATGTTGTTCCGTTGATCCCAAAATGTGGAGCTGCCAAATGAGTCTGCAGAATTGACAATTTATGCACAAGTGAGTTCTTTTCTACACGGATTTCTAACATTGTCTTGTGCGGTTCTTCGTAAGTATTTTACTGAGTCCGTAGATTGACAACACTTTTCTATCCTTGCGCTTTTTCAATCATCATATTTTTTATTTTAGACGGGAATAATGAAGGCAGAGTTTGAAAGAATGCAGCAAAGATTACCAATGGACACTCTAAGCATGAAACGGTACGAACTTCCACCCCCACCGGCAGGAAAGCTTACTGATATAAGTGCTTGGAATGAATGTGTAGAAAACTCATTAGCCCAACTTGAACATCAAGCTGTCAGGTAAGAAAAATTATTGTCACTTGATTTTCTCCTTAGTGGTGTATGATCATTCCATCAGAACCATGCTATTAAGTGCTGGGTGTAATCAGATGAACCGACAAATTTCTTTTCACAATTATGTTCTGCTCTATGTTATGTTACTGCTTAAGTTCTCTGGAACTACAGCTAAGTCTACAAGCTGAAAATGGAAGGTATCGATGCATTTGTTGAATGCCTCCCTGAAATTTGCAGAATATCACATAATTTTCAAGAACTGATGAGGTCTTTTCGATGATCATCAACAATATTACATAAACTGGAAAACTTGTTCAATAAATTTGCGCCCACAATTACTTGGTCCTTTTTCTCAAAACTTCATGTTTGAAGTAACTACTCTCATTGGCATCAAGGGTACGGAAACTTCCGGACCATGCGACCAGCCCGGTTCTTTGAAATGAGGGAACCCCTTCGAGAACAGGGAAACTTCCATGAAAATGGTACAAAACAGGGGAATCCTGTACCAATTACTGTGTTACATGCGTGAAAAATGTCAGATTTTCTAGACATTAAAGTTTGTTTTGTTCTTTAAGTCTTCACAGGGAAAAAATAATGAATTTTAATTACACAGGAGAAAGGTTGATTGAATTTAAGGGGAGGCTTGGAACTTTCTGCATGTGTAGATGTTACCTTTCTGTTTTATTCTCATCTTCTAAAAGATCACTTTATCTTTGAATCTATTTGTTAACCTACCTTGTTTCAGAGTTACAAATTTAGAATTGATGTTAGAATATGGAATGGAAGTATGGAAATCTTATCTTCAGTTGTTAGTCAAATGTGTAATGGAGCTTCAGAAGCAGGTGCAGGATCTTAGGTAAGACTTAGATATTGCTTTCATTTATCCAGGGACGAGTTCTATAGGACCCTGGACTCCTGTAAGAGTCATAAAAATTCGTGAGCAGTCACTAATGCTGCGACCTTGTGTAGGATCCTTGATACGGACTGCTATCATCAGTCGTTGGATTTCACAAAAACTCCATAGGATCACATTTATCTGCCAGAAATCGAAATTTTTACCTTACTTATCTGAGCGGCAGGCACTTCCTTGTCGAAAGGAGTTGGAAAACGTCAAAAATGTACTAATTTTTCAAGAAATCAGCCACTTTATGGGTTATTTTTCAATTATCGACTTTACCTAACTTTTGGATCGGGCAATGGATGGGTAAAAGTTCGAGGGTAGGATCCTCTAAGTTTACGAGGATCGTACGCAAGGTTGTGCTGTACGCAGTGCTCCTGAGCATACAATGTCTTCTAGAACTTGACCCTGATTCATCTCTGAATAAAGTTGTGCTGTATATTTTGAAACAATTCTTCCTATAGTAAATTATTAAAGGAAAAACAAATATCAAAATAAATTGTATCACAAATGAAAAGTGTTTACCCATAAGGCTAGAGTGTTCCAGAAATCAAGAGGTCTGCTTGTTAATTGGCAAAATTGCAGCCCCTAGCTGTTTCCAGGAAAATTATTAATCAGGTAAGATTTTAATGGTTCTTCTAGAATTGAAATGAGGGAGTCCTTTCTTTTAATTGGATTTGCATCCATCACCCTCATTTTCCAGTTCATAAGCTGTTGCTCAATATTTGCTGTGTAAAATTTCAGGAAAGAAATTCAAGAAATTAACTGGGAAAGGAAGACAATGCAGATGGAAGGTGGTGAGAAGTTGCGACAACTAGAGGCCAACTGGGTAGGACTGGTCAGTAAAAACTATGAAATTGAGCAGGCGTGTGCTCATCTGGAAAGAGAAATCATTGATGCAGGCTACGAATCTCTCCTAGAAAAATTGTACTACAGGAATAAAGAAGAAACCGATTAGAATTGCATGTCTTCATTTTATCTTTGCTGGACAGAGTGTACCTCAGAAAATTCTCATCGTTCAGAACTGAGAAAGTAAACTTTTACATATTTCAATCCGAATTGGGGGAAACTGTGGAAATGGGGGATGTTATGCTTCGGTGTTAATTCTACTTCTGTTTTTTCCAATTTTGCTGTAATTTTACTTGAAGTACAGGATTATTTTTGTAGCTCTTCCTGGCAAGAAATCATGAAGTCATTTTCAGTATGATTTTTCAACCCAAGTATAAAATATAATACCGGGAATTTGAGTTAATTGTCTTGTCTCTCAAGACAAATTCATTGTAGACATCATAAAAATTTCGAGTGAAGCGGCAATATGCTTGTCAGTATTCAACATCTAGAATCTTTGCTGGTTTTTAGGATTCTCAGTCTTCAAATGGAATTATAAAGAAACAATTCCTTAAAGTGAAATCGCAATTTTTTTTCAATTTTTCAAAAAAATGTAAGCTGCTTTTCACCTAAATTCTGATTTTTTGTATAAGCTCATGGACTGTTTTTCAATGATTGTCACAAGGGATGCCCCTTCTCTGCTCCTTCTGTGTTTGAAGGTAATAAACACTGAATCCATTCTTAGCACTGCTTATCTTTTTCATGCTTTCTCACAAAACCCGAATATTTTCTTCGACATAGGGGTATTTTTTTAACATTGTTTCTTATGATAGTGTGTAGAAACCACAAAAAATTCGACTTTCTCGAATTTTTGTCATGAGCATCGTTCAATTTATCAAACTTTTACTTTAAAAAAATGTTTTCAATGGACAATTTCCTTGCTGATTTCCTGATGCCATGTGCAAGCCCTGGCGCCCTTAAGCGTTTCTTGCAGGGGGAAACAAAAAAAAATTCAATATTAGATACCACATCCTGTACTTCCTGCTAATGATTTAGGATGGTTGGTCTTAAGTACGTCCATCTGGTCTGGCGTGTAACCTGCTACCTAGAATAATTTTTTACATTCATGTAGTTGAGTCAATGAATGAATAAATTTTTTTCACAGTATTCAACTCTAGGTATGTTCTTTAAATATCCTTCTTAGAGCACGGAATGACCCATCAATTCTTATTAGCAATGTAAGGAATGAAAAATTAAAGAAAGTATTTGGAGGATCAGTAATTTTATTCATCAAATTTAGGCGCTGGAATTTACATGAGCAGATTAAGAACATCAATATGACAAAAATTTAACCCTTAGTTCCTTGGTTTAGGTGTCATGCAGTATCGAGTCTTTCGAACTGCATTTTTTTGGGTGTTCCAAGAACCCAGACATTAGATAGCAGATCAAATATTACACAACAAACTCATGGCACGTACATTCTTATCCTGCCCCTTTACTTCCAAAGCAAAAATGCAACCCGAAAGGATCTCAAATGAATTAAGAGAATTTCGTCTCAATTGAATCTCAATCTGAGAGTCAATTACTTATTGTAGATAGCTTTTTCAATTAGAGAGAAATTTGAAGTTCAAGGATACATAAATTTTCATTAGTCAAGTGAAGAACGCTGCAAATTGCAAAAACACACTGTTGTTTCAGCATATAAATGAAGATAATCCTTACTCATTCCCACTCTTTTTAATAGAATGAAGCCTGAGATCGTACTGTCCTCCTTAAGATAGAGCAAGCTTTATTTTCAAGTAAAAAAATTAAAAAATATACAAACGAAGATGCAGTAACAGAGTTGCTTATTTAGAATGATTTATTCCTACTTTCCGTCCAAGCCTTGGCGATGGTCTGCTTCATAGTATCATCTCCATCTTCGTAGATTGACTGTAGCATTTTCATCATTCCACTCGAAGGATCCTCGTCATCTTTGTCAATCTTGGGTAGTCGGGCTTCTTTTGCAGCCTTGTCAATCGATGTTAAGTGAGACCAGTTGATTCCTTTTTGGTTCTTCTCTAAGAAAACCACCACAGTATCTGTCAAAATAATTTGCAAAGTGTTAAACATAGATGAGGTCACCATATTTGATCTTACCGCCAGAGGCCAGGGTGCCTGTCAATTTTTTTTAAAAAAAAAAAAATTCCTTGACATTTCCCTGACAAAAACGGCCAAAAAACCAGGGAAAAATTCAAAATTCCCTGACAATATGGAAAAAATTCTTAATTTTTCGACACATTTGAACTGATAGATGTAAGTAAGAATTTTTTTCATGTTTTTGGAATATAATGTAATAAATAGAGCAAACCAATTTGGAAATTATTTCATCAAAATCAGAAAGGAAGGACAATTTTGACCTAAATTGATACCATAGGGATCAAATTCGGCCAACCTTTGTCCGAAATATTGAACTTCAAGGTTGGGGGATCAGTCCCCCCTCCATAAAATGCTAGGTCACAAAATGGACATAGGGATCTGAAAAAAGGTTTTTTTATAAATGATCAATTCCAAGAAATTCAAATTTGACGGTCCTGAAGCCCCCTGGGGTTTCTATAATGAGGCGGAAGGGGATCCTGAAATTAAAAATTTGACAAGTCGATGGCTCATCCAGTTCTCCATCAGCAAGCAGAGCGTCAGCGGGAACAAACTGTGTATGCTTGTGGTTCAATGTGCACCTTGGACAAACGTGGGCAAACCTTTCTGACATTCTGCCACTCAGATCAAGATAATGATTGGACCCTCAGGTCTGCTATGGCATCCCTATCTTCTTTCTCATTTTGTCTCAAATCCGTAGGAATTAATTAATGAGGGATTAGTAGGATCAATGAGGGTTGTCTGGTTCAATATTGGTGCGGTCACATCTGTTGCCAAGGTTTCAGAAGCACGAGAAAGCAGAGTAAAGTAGGATCTGATTGAAATAAAAATTTGGCAAATTCGTTATGTGCATGCCCCTGCTGCCTGTCATTTGGAAGGCCCATTGATATTGAATTCACAGAGTGCTCTTACAGGACCACATTTTGATAGACAATAAGCAATCATATTAATCTTTTTCACCACATCTTTCCCTCAAACTTGTAAAATTGATGTTGTTCTACACAAAAGCAACAGTATGTGCAGCCAAAATACCCTTCTGCTAGAGGGAAATTTATAAAATAGAATTTTCTTTTGACTGAAAAACTACTTCGTTTTTTTTTGTATTGTTTTTTTGAGACCAAAAACGAAATTTGTTGATTTAAAAAATTCACATGCATCTAAGTTGTATTGTATCTGAATCAATTAATCAACTCTAACAAACTTACCTTTCTTTATTTTGATGTAGCTTTTCTGTGCATCAATAGTTTCGAGTAGATTTGCTACTTTAAAACAGTAGTTTTTGTTCTCAAGTTCCCGTACATGTAAAGCCACTGATCTGTGAAAAAAGAAAAAGGTATATTTCAGAAGAGAATATTCCGTATAATACATTCAAAGAAAATGAAAGGAGACTTGAACAAAAAAGTTAGCATGGGGCGATGCAAGATGAAGAGTGATAGACGGATAGTAGGTGGGGAGGGGGAGCGACTTGCATCAGCAGTAGGAGAGGAGTAAAATTGTAGGAGTGAGAGAAGAAGCAGAGGATGAATAAGATTTAAAAGTAAGGTGGAGATAAAGTTCGCAAATAGAATCAACGGATTGGCAGAGAACAAAAATGTGACAGCTTGGGGATGCTTTAACAAAGCAAATCCCATTTGAACGGTCACTCTGGGAACAGTTTGTATGAACTTGCATTGATTATAAAAGTGCATCCCTTCACTAAGCAGCCCTAAAAAAGGAGGAGAATGTGAAAATGGGAAGGTTGAGAGCTTCCTACAACCCTCACACATACCTTTCAAACCTTAAGACATAGTGAATTTTGATCATATAATACTTCAAAAAAAAATTTTTACCTTTCAGTGAATTCATGAGTTACATTTGTTTCTGGAATTTGATGAACATTGGGTAAAGTCACAAAAAGTTTGACAAATTTATCTGACTGATCCCAACCTGAAACAAAAAACATTTGAAGTAGAGAGCTAATGAGAAAAACAATATTGCTACATTCTCTGGAGCGCTATGTATTTTGTAAATGCGGATGGATGAATAAGCATACGGGGAGTGGAAATAGAGCCTCTAAAATAATAAAAAATTAATGCTTTGGAGGCAAAAATAAATAAAATTGGTAAGCATTAGAAACTCTCTGAATTCCTGGGGGAAAATTGTGAAAGTTTATCAAAAATCACCGAAAAATGCAACTTTAGCCATATCGTTATTGTCATACAGAACAATAACGCATCAGAACCCGAACTGCCCAACAATGGTTGAATAATGTCCTAAAGAAAAAAATAGAGTGTGGCCTTGCCAAAAAGAGTTACACAATATTAGCATATAACTAGTTAAATACTCTTGAGGACCGGTACATACCGAACATGCTGATACCAATGTAATGGTTTTAAGTCTTCAAACATAATATTACCTGGCATTAAGAAGCGTATTTATGGGCATTCCTTGAACCATACATATTACAAGGGTTAAAAATTTAAGAAGCCTTGAGGTTCAAGGCACGACTATGAAAGCAGCCATAAGTTATAGTTATAAATATACAAAACTTTGGTTAGAATATGTGGGCATCAAATTGGTGCATATTGAATTTGAAGGATATTATGCATATCAATTATGCCATGGCGTTGAGTAGCCCAGTGTAAAGGTATTTTGCTGATACCAGAGGGAATTCTCTGCTGAAGGTGATGACTATAACATCATATTTTTCATCTTAATTGAAAGTCCAATGAATAATACTTTGGAGTTTAAGATCAGCATGTGAAAGGCCCAATATTCTGTCCGAAATTAGGCCCTACTGAAAAGTTAGTTTCGCTAACACTAGTCTGCCTTCATTTCTCTGCATTTTGCCGATTTTTGGGTTTAGAATGATTCTTTGGGCTTAGGCACAGGGGCCATCGTCCTTTTTTTCGCTAAAAATTCAAAATCTGCCTAGATTTTTTACCTAATTAATACGACACATCCCATGCCAGTTCGACCATGTCACTCGAACTTGACGAATCACCTGAATGATATTTTCCATTGTTTCTGTCTTTAAATAATGTGCACCTATTGCATTTACCGGTTTTTTTTGGAAGGGGGGACTTTTCAGCTGATGGCAAGGGGGGGGGGCTACACAAAAATTTCTGTGCTTGGCGCAAAAAACTTAAATCCTACTCTGGTTAACATACCATAGTTTGTTAGCTGGATCTCATAACTTCTGGGTGTGTTTGATACTACAGGTGTTTTCCCCGTCTGGTTCGTAGCAGTTACTGGAATGGAAGACTGTTCTGTTTTTTGAACCAAGAGTGTTTCAAGTTTCCTAACTTCGAGCGATAGGATTTCTTGGACTTTTGGCCTTGATGCTTGTGCCTCTAGAGCCTTGAGTTCGGCAATGTCTAATCGTAACTGAAACAAACATTTAAATCTATTAAGAAAATCATTTTAGAAAACCCTTCAGTTTGACTAGCTTCTATTTTTCAACCAAAAATATTACTTAAATAACGCAAAGGATTCAGAAAATTAAGTTATCTTTCCTTCATTTTACCTACTTTTGGGGGAAAGTAAACTTTGAACAGTCTTAGTAGCATTGCAATGTACTTGGTTCCTTCCTGAAGAACTCGATCCATTTCATTTCTGGTCAAAGCAAAATTAAAAGCACTATTTCTAGGGCTTGTAAGATAAATGAGGGCTATTTCTCACCCGAACCACAGAGGAAGATGATAAAATGTACTACTTTTTGATCTTGGTCCACTGCCACAGTCCAACCTGATCCATGCATTCCTGTAGAATGCTTGGATCGCTCTGTAAGGATGGTCAAGAAGCAGTCGAACCGCGTTCCATAGATATAGAATAGCCCTAAAAGTGAATCCAGATGACATTTAAATGCTGAAACTCCAAAACCACATATCTCATTAACAATGTTTGAAAACCTTCTCTCTCCTATTCTGTTTTTAGAGAGAACAGTTCAACATCATTCCTTAAAGTTTTCACAAAATTTTTTTTCACAAAGAAAAAATCAGGGTAAAGTTCAAGAATTGACGGTCAAGTAGTTTACCATTTAGAAAATAAAAGTAAGAAGCCTTTAACACCAACATCCGAGGTTTAGGAGTTTCACCATTGATTTACGTATAGTTCTGGTACATAGGGCATTCTAGAACCAAGGGTCAAACCTTTAATGAAATTTTAACAAGTTCCCAAATTGTCTGTTCACTTTTGACCAGAGGATAAATCTATCAAGATAATGTAAGATAAGTTGGCAGTTGTTCACTATTTACTGACGAGCGTGATGGACCGGTTCACGCATAAGTAACGGCAGCTTTGCCTGCAGTTGTTCCCCAGTGGCTATGGGGCAACTGCAATGCAGTCACTCATAAACAGAGAGTAAACAGCTGCCAATTGATTTGAAGACACCTCTAACAAGAGTTAACTGAAGCAAGTCTAAGACAGCCATTGATAATTCTTTGACTAGATGCCACGCTCCGAGGGAGAAGAAAGTTTGAAAGGAAAGGCATGGCGTTGAAATCATAAACAGAATGGGAGACTAACATATGCAGAGATGGTCGAAAGATTTAAAAAAGGTACAACCAAGTTACCTCGGCCAGTTTCTTTTCCATATCGCCTATTACAAAGTAACCTGAATCACCAACAAGCACCGGGGGAAAATCTGTGAGCGCAACTGAACAAGTGCGATGAAAACGTTCGGGCTGGATAAGGTGTAAATTTTAGATGGACCAGTCAGAAATAAAGCCACTTTCTGCAGTTCCTGTCTGTGGAAAGCAAAATTCAACTGATTATTAACCAAACTTTGTGACTACTTAATCACGAGACATGCAGGTAAACGTTGATAACAGTGATGATGAGCACAATCTTTGAGTGAGGCTTCGCTTCAGCATGGATGAAATGGATTGAGCGTTTTTGCAGGCAAAGACCCCCTACGAATGAGCAGGCGATCACAGAGCGGGAGTAGCTGGTGGAGCGTGCAACGTGCATGAGGCTCGCTCGGACTCCATGATTATACTCTGTTGCTCTCTCCTCTTCTCTACTCTTTGCACATCACATAATGGCGCCAAGCACAAATTTCACTCTCGGAGAAAAATTAAACTGCTCAGCTCAGGGAATTGACCTTTTTGATCGGGATTAAATTTCTAAAAGAGTTCAAACCAAGTACTAACCAGGGTAATTCTCAAAATTCTTTGGCAAGACATTTTTCTGATATAATTTAAGGATTACCTAAGGAGGGAAAAT